AATTGAAACAATACATAGGTTACTGTTTATTTTTTTTAACCGTTATGAGCGTGGTTACATATGGTCTTGGACAGCCCCTATCTTTTCATGTTTGATTAACACTGACAACCTGATAAGATTTGATATACACTGATTTTCTCCCCTCGGGCCTCAGTTAGGTCTAAAAATAAGGGGAGCAGTCTAGATCCGCCACTGCGGCCGGTTATGTCGACTTGGGAGCGAACTCGGCACAAGGATGCAAAGAAGTGGAAAAATCGTTCGGTATAATGCATGGGGATACCAGTTGAACCGACATCCTGTTTCATATTTTACCATAACAGGGGCGTCGTACCACACTGTTCATTGATAGGGTTTTCTTTTTTCTCCGGGCTTCGCTACACAATGGAGTTCTGTTTTCGTTTTTGAATACAATATACTCTAGGACCTCTAGCTTATCAAGGACGGAAGAATTTCGACAGATGTCGTAGCCAAATTTAGTGCGAAGGATTTTGGTGCCAGCTGAATTTTCTTTTATTGAGGGGTGATTTAAGAACTAAGGAGATAAATCAGCATGATTAGTCATGATTATGTTGACAAATATTTGAGTAATGTCAGGAGGCGATAGAGCCGGTATAAAGTTAATTTAGAAAAGCTACAAAGATGTTTTTTCAATTGGCTTTCTTTCAATGGCAATCCTCTGCTGTCATCTTCTTCTTCGGTTTAACTTCAATGTTTTCCTTGTACCGACTTAGAAAGATTATCTTTTTAATGTCGCATAAACTGGAAAAAGAAAACAGTTTTCTTTTGACTAATCCTTCAGCTAAATAGTCAAGAGGCGATTAATTGCAAAGAATAATTAGAAGTGACAGCAACATGAAAGGATTTTTTCATCGTGGTCACTAGCTTTAAAACAATGTTAAAACTGGCTCACAGAAGGTCTAAAAGAGAGGTCGTTAATTGATCCGTTAAGCAAGACCTGCTGTTTGGTTTCGTGTGATTTGCCTTATAATTTTGTCGCAATATATTTAACAACCTATTTAACAACCTTTGATCTTAATTTACGAATTGCGTTCACAAACTCAAATGTCAGTTACTGAGCTGACGTCTGTGAACTTGTTGTAGGACAACAGCTGTAATTTCCCGAAATTTCTCCTGAAACCATTTCGCCAGTCCGTACTTGAGTTGTATGTTTGTGTGGCAGATATAACTGAGGGCTCGATAGGACGAGAAGAAAGACGTTCTTTTGTCGGGTCAGAGTACAAAGATGAAATGTAACAAAGTTAAAACCCTAGAACTAATTGTCTAAAATGCCATTCTAACCTTATGAATATTTCATAGCCATTAACACTGGGGTTCGTCCCCCTTTCTTTTATAAGCTTTTTAAAACTGGAAACAATCGCGAAAAGTTTGTTCACGCCAGGGTTCACGTTTGACCAGGGAAAGTAATAAGAGACTAAAACCTTATCACAATGCTCTTTTACAATGGAAAGGATAAGTTAAGCATGTTTAGATTAAAGGCGGCATGGGCCAAAACGGGCAACGACCCAAACCATCCAATGTTGATTTTAGCTTCTACGCATAAAAAAGTCATTGTTCATTCAGGCATTCATCCCCGGGGCTCGCGACGCGAACACTTCATTTCCAGACAACACCCATCACTTGCGTCGTGGTGATAACAGCTTCACATCTTAAGAAGAGCTAATTTTAACACTTACTTAATTGAAATCTTGTTCCTCCCTTTGTAAACATGACAGCTGACAAATACTTCATGCCAGCTGTCGCTAGGTGTCTAGGGTCAGGTGAAGGCACGCAACCCATGAAACAACGAAGCAAAGAAGCGGGACTCTTCGCAAAAAAAAAATCGCCGTTCTATATTACAGGAGGTGGATAGGTTTCATTTCTACGTGGTTTGAATGAATTAAGCTCGCTGAAAGCAAATTCGTGATTATTTAGAGGTTTGTATTGTACGAAAAGCTTTCATGAATTGTTTCGGAACAGACAATTGTTACGTTCAAGTTAGACTCCATGAGTGGTCGCGTTTGGACGGATCCTTAACACAATACAGCAAACAAGGTATCTTGTGAATGGGGAAAAATTCTCTTACACTCAGCCATGCTTTGGATAGTTAATTCATTTAAGTAGGACGAGTTTTCCTTCACTCTTTACACAGAAGGGAAGTCACTAATGCAAAATGAAAACGTTAAAACGGAAGCACTATTAATTCTTAAGGATCTTTATTAATGCCAGTTTCCAAATTTAAACTCTGGTTCAATACAATTGTCAGTCATCGGCTGACATCCAACAAATTGCCCTTCTGCATACAAGATGTTATTTCCTCCCATCTGATGAACAATAAACCATATCGCAAACCGCGCAACCCTTTGAGTTACATGATATTTTTTGGCCTGCACGGCATCGATCAAGCCCTTCTCGCATCCTCTGAACGTATTTCCGCAGTGGTTCTTGAGGCTTTTACAGTAGGGCCTTCTAGAAAAAAATAGCCATTTTAAAGATTTCCGTTTCGGCTTGGTGTGATATTGTTCACAACAGTTTTTGGACAAAGTTCAAGTACTTATATTCTGATCCTTGATAAACTTAACAAATACAAAAAGCAAAGCAAAGAATCTTTAGGGTGGAACCACTTCAGTACTTATAATAGACTTCCCTTTTCCCTTCAAAGCTTCTCAAACAAAAAATAAAGAGAATTAATTAGGTCATAAAGTCATACAGTAAATTTCGGATATCATGTCACCACGTTGGGGTTGTAAATATCATCATCTCTCAATGAATTGCCATTTAAAATGCTAGCGAGCTTTCCCAATGTTTTTATTCTCGTGGTATTGTAAATTAGACCCATGTAAAGACAAAGCATTAAATTTGTCGACAGTCATTATAGAAGAGCACACAGCTCACGTGTTTTGGGGTAACCGACACCGACGGAGGTACAAAGTTAAATCCACTGGCCTCTAGTTTTAAAAAACATTCGAGGTCAAATTTCACTGTAACAACTTGTAATCTCTCTATAAATCCAGAGCTTCACAGTGGACTCTCTGTACGACTGGTGGATCCACTATTAAATGCATCCTCAGTGGCTCAGTCGCTTGCCAATCAGGGTCGTAGCTGCCTTTAAGCCTGGGCTTAACAGGAATTTGAGGCAGAAATGATTGCAGGTTATCACGTATTCATCAAAAAGTCTACATAGCATTCACTATTCGATCCGAAAAAAAATAGGAAATTCTAGAACCAAGAGTCTGCTGTCGGTAACTTCAGTACTATTTGCTGCTATCCACCATGACACGGAAGCAGCACTTGTTAATCGTGACATGAAATTCCTTGAACATAGGCATTGTTCCTTTCCTTTGTCGTTGTCTACGATCAGTTACTAAAGGCCACTGCATAGAATGTCTGCTTTTTTTCTGCGTTCTTTTATAATTGAGAGAGACGCTTGCAAAGCCAAAAATCATTCAGTACCCACCGTGGGGTGAAAAAAATCAACGATTAGCCCGGAATCCGGATTCCGAAATCCGAGAATTTTTTGCTTTTGGGATCCGGAATCCTGGGCTTTGGAATCTGGAATACAGCTCATGGATTCTGGAATCACACTAACGACTGGAATCCAGAATCCAAGTTCCATTGTCAAAAACTGGATTCCAGTACCTGGAATCCGGAATCCACGGCATGGAATCCAGAATCCAGGACTGTCTTGGATTCCTTCACATGTGGCGACGATGCTAACAGATGAGTCTCTGTATAGGTATTTCCGACAAAATCGAACAACCTTGACGGAACGACGATCTGAGATATTTAGCAACGATCAAAGATGATCGCATTGCCATTCTGGTCAAGGTTGTCAAGTCAGTTTAGTCGTGCAATGAGAGCAGAGAAACTCGGCTAAGTATCATGCACTTTGGGAATTTTTGGTTTTGCTTCCCAAATCTATTGCTTTTTCCGTCGTTGTCGTGGTTGCGCCAGCTCCTAGTAGCGCTACCGCGCAAAATAGTACTTGATATGCAAGCCACGATTTTCTTGAAAAAACGACGACTAGATGGAAAACGCGCGCAGAAAGCGACGTCCGCAGGTACCCATACAAAGATCGACTGTCATCTTCAGCCCTCCTACTCTTGGAGCTGCCCATTGACTGCGAAACTGTCATCAGAGATTTCGTGCAAAAAAGCCAAAAGACTTGCATTTTATTGAGGAATAACGAGAAATTAACACTAGCGCTCAAAGTTCCCTCACAGTCAAAGATAAATTTTGCAAGTTACTCTTTACGCCGATAACGCGAAGGTAATGTCACGAAAGTCAAACAATTACATTACCCTGTGACCTGGAGTGCATTCTCCACGATACAAAACCAGTAAAGTTTGACTCATCGTTTATTTTTATATCAGCTTTTCCAGATTTAACATGTTTCAAAAAAGATACACGATGGTGATTTTACGCTTACATTAAGGCTTGCCTCTCTAAATGGGTCTTGCCTTGCAAGAACGAGTAATAGTGTAAACAAAATTAATGCTATTGTAGCACAGGAAAGATTAGTACCCATAAATCCTTAGAGATCGCTGGTCTTTTACCAAAAACTCAGCGACCGCTCCGATTTATGTCAATCATGCAGCTTCTCACGGAGTGAAGTCGCACGCCGACAAGGAAGTCAAAAACAGGGTGATTTCCATTCTTATTTTATAGAGGCTCACAGCACACGACTGCTCATCCCCAGAACCTTTTCGGGGTTTAGCCGGTGGCACATAGCTCCTATTGAAACCTGCTTCGCTCCAGATTGAAAGGAAACAGGAGCCAATTACCATGGAGTTTCCATCCCCCACTTATGAGTTTACACTTCGGGTTATTTTTACGCCAAGCTTTGCCGCGAAAACTGTGTTCTGTCACGTCCGCATATTTTCACTTTGGTAAAAAAAACAAAGACGGCGGAAACAGGGGATCTCCACTGGTAATAGGCTCCTGAAGGAAACAAATGCGGCTACTAAAATACCCAAAGATTTTTCTTACTTAATAAGTATTTTGGCATATGTTTGTTATCAGCGTCGAAATTTTGAATGCGAAATTCTTGGAGACTAGGATTAGTTGAGCCAGCATTCTATTTTAACACTATTCTAGTTCGATCACACAATATCGCTGAACACTCAACAAGTTTTCCTACTCAGCTATTTTCTACGATCCGAAAAAATCACCATTTAATCTTTTAACTACCAAAGGTGACCAAAATCAAAATTCAACAAATTTTTTTAATTTCGTCGTGCGAAATGCTGAAAAACAAAGTGAAAGAACTTTCAAAGAGGTTTCATTTGAATGGTCGCACGGAGAATTTTGTCAAAAGACTCAAGACTAAGAACCACCGGACGAGTCGTTCACCCTGTCTGTGAAAGGATTAACTTCTGTTAAGACGAAAACGAAAAACTTAAGTACCTGGTACATTTTTATTTTCTTTCTTACCGAGGGCAGAACAAAACGGTCCATTCACGACATGGTAAAAAGGGACAAGTCTTGTGGTCATTTTAAAAAGAACACGACAATTGTTTCGTGGTCTACTCTGAGAATTCATTTATTTTACTGTTTTTCTATCAAAGTTGACATTGTATATTTACCTCGCCTCTGACCGTCTACCTCACAAATACATTTCTGACATGATTGAGGCGATCAGCTTATTGTAAAATAAAAGTTTAATCTGCTACCAAGGAGCTTAAGAATATCATGATAAAGCAACCTCGCCCCTCCACTTCTATGAGACAAGGGAAGGGAAAGTTTTTATTATTTTAATGGAGTTAAGGATTCAATCCAACTACCTCGCCTCTACCCTGGCGTGTCACAAAACCTACTGCCAAAATATCTGGAACATCAGACAGACAGAGAAGACGAAGTTTGAATCGAAGTTTGAATTGTTGTTTTACACAAAATCCTTGCTACCTAGTAAGTCAGGTCAATTGGCGCACTAAACCCCGCAGTGGACAAACTATGCTATTCTTTTCGGCTATTTAATGCCAGAACTGTTTTTGAAGGCTCTCTAAAAGGATCAGGCTTCCTGGGCGCTGTTTCTCGGCGAGTCAGGCTCACTTGAGCCTCTCGAGTAATGGACAGAATATTGAAGCTTAAAAACAACGCACCACGCTAGTAACAACGACATGTTTGAAGGCGCGTCAGGTTTACTTGAGCCTCTCGAGCAATGGACAGAATATTCAAGCTTAAAAACAACGCACCACGCTAGTAACAACAACATGTCATATCAATGAATCAGTTTGCTCTGTCATATAACGTGCAAGTTCAATTTTGATGCCAAAGGATTTGTTTCCTTTAAAGATATTTACTTGGGTTGAAAGCCGGCTCCTAATCGACCTGACCCAAGCGAAATCGTCGGCTTATTGGACCATTTTCCTTTGACAAGGTTTTTCTACTTTATTGTTAGCTTTCTTTACAGACATCTAACTTAAAAGTAATAAGCAGCGTTAACTGACTTTAAACTAGGAATTTTTAATCGTCTCCTCATCCTACACAGTCACGAATCACGTGACTTACATGAAAAAAATCCGACGGGGACTTCAGAAGGCTGGGAGGAAAATTCAGGAAATGAATGGTTTACCACAACCCAAAGAGTAAGTTAACTTTCTACGTCCATGGCGAATATTACAAAATTAAAGAAGCATAATCTTGTCGTGGGCTAACTGTTTTGTTCTTCAACAAACAAATTCTCCTTACGAGTAGCTTATTATCACATACAACATCTAATGAGAATATAAAATCTCCTGCCGCACAACTGACGATTTTCCATATTGCACTGGCTTACATAATTCTCTCATTAAAACGTAAGGAGAATTTGGGTGTCGACAAGCAACTTCTGCATCACTGTAGATACTATTTGATCAGCATTTACCATACAAAATATAATTTTTACATAAAATAGTCTCCCGTCAAAGTCCAGGTGGGAAGCTGTTGACTTCGACCTGTTCATTCACGGCTGCGCCGTTTATCTTGTATGTCACTTTTAATCTCATTCGTAAAGGTTGCTGTGGAAACAAACCAGAGCATATTTAGAGCAGGGATGAGGCAAAGAAAAAAGCCTGTCCACTGATTGTGCCTTAAAATCAGTTACTTAAGTCATGATCAAGTTTGACAGTGATTTGATGAAAAGCGTATAATATTTACAGACGATTTATATGGTGTGGAGGGGGGTAAGTTCGTGCCCCCACTATACAAATGTCTGTCAAATTTCGCGACTTTAAGGAGCTATATCCTCGCTCTCTTTAAACGCCGCATCACTTTCAAACTTGGCAAGTTTACGAATGTTAAGACGCTCTTTTCAGCGGTGTCAAAGGACTTTCACCAAATTATGCCCATAAAAACTTGAAAAAACGTTGGAAGGGTCTTTTTTCTTTAGCATTGATACGAGGAGAGCTTCCAATTCCCTCTTTCCTTTCCGCGCTTTTCAGACAGAAGACAATACCACCGCTCCTGTAGCCAGCGATCATATTTTCTCTATATATCTATTATGTCTTTCCCCTTTCTTCTAAAATAAGTCGGACCGGACGTAACAGCTCCTGATAATAAACAGATTTAGCGAAGCCTAAGGAGGGAGCTTCCATTAAATACTTATCATTAAAACAAACTCGTCGAAGCCACCATGCACCCCGGAATAAAAAATTGTCGATGGTGCCCCAGGGACTACGATAACGTTGTGAAAATGGCCGCGGATACCCATTTGGATAGCTGTCATCCTGTCAATTGACTTTGACACGGATCGCACAATAGATTACATGGGCAGGTCGACGGACGGACACGTGACAATCAAAATTTCTGGCATGGATAGATAACCAGTTTTGCTTGCTCCGCACGAGAGAGTTCCCCAGCTAACTACAGCAGCCAACATTTAATACTGAGGTCTGAAAAAATCTATCGCCTAGCCTAATCCAGTCCATGTTATGTTTGAAAGAAGGGTTGCGTAAGCCGCCAAATTTAAAATTTTTATAGACGTCTGGCGGGAATTGTATAAAGACAGGAAAATTATCGAGATGATTCGCTCTCGGCTATAACTTGGACATTTTTGAACGAATTCAAAGATAACAAAGCCTAAAATAATAAAGAGATTCACATGGGGCTTTTAGTTTTGTTCAGGTGATATTCCAAAAGATCACCGTAGAAAGCGACTTTGACAAAGTCTAAGTCCTTCCCAGCTCCGCTATTTACAGTTAGAAAAGAAATAAAATTCAAGGTGAATTTTATTTCGTTCCTGCAAAAGGGAAACAAATAGGACCTACAAGAAATACTTTAGCTGTGTTGTTCTATAAATTATTCTGCTGCACTGGGGCGTGGTTATGCAATGTAAAGCACGTACGAAAAGCTCTGAGCAGAAGCGTTCAAAAGAAGAATGGCGTTGACGTTCTATAAATTATTCTGCTGCATTGTGTTTTAATTTTTTTACTCTTGGATTGAATTCAGTGGCGTGGTTATGCAAATGTAAAGCACGTACGAGAAGCTCTGAGCAGAAGCGTTCAAAAGCAAAAGGATGGCGTTGATGTCACCAAACGAAGGTTTAAAATCTTGTAGGCATAAACGGAAAGCTGCTTACAGCAAAATGTTTGACGTCTAAGTGCGGAAAGAGTTAACAAAACGTTTATTTATCAACTGTTCTTTTCACTCAAACCCACACTGGGTTTCGTTTATTACAGTTTACTTGGTTTAGGGCTGTGCATTCAGCAGTCAGAAGAAAGACAATGAACGGCATGTATTCCAACAAGTGAAGTATTAACATAAACAGCTTCCTCGACTAGAAAACAACCTTAACAATACTTTGAAGGACTGCTTTAATAAAAAATTGAAAAAAACACCAGTTAACATCGACGCCAAATAAGACAGGCTTCATTAACTTGGCGTCGGCTGGGAACTGTTTGACATATTTAACATAATTTTCAGACAAAAGGTTCAATTGCGTAGGCAGAGAAGCTCTTTATTAAGAGAAAACAGAAAATTGCTCACAACAAACCGCATACAAACTCCAGAATAACAGAAACAAGAAAGAACGTGTTGATATCAATAGAACAACAAGACGTTCAATTCTACGAAGACAAAACCCTGTGGGCGGTGACAAGCTATTTAATAGAGAGGTTAAGCAACAGAGCAGAAAAGCGGCTTGTGAAACAGAAATAATTTATCGCGACACGTGATAAAACAAATTAAGACCAGCAAGTTTTGAGGGCATATTGGAAACTTCGTCGGAAACATGTGCACGGATACAACAGAGTAAAAAGTCACCTTAGGCTACAAACCATTTGAGTGGAAATTCAGTACACTGTTATAGTTATATTCAACAGAGCATGCTGCAAAACAGGCGGTATTTTTATGCGCATAATTTTGTCTTTTTCAAAGGGCATACGTCCGACTAAGTCACCATTTTGGTCGCATTTTGCTCGACTGTAAAAGGTACAAAAATACCAGCTGTTTTTCAACAGGCTATATTCAACAGGAAGGCTGCTGTCAACTGAACATGTGCGTGGCCGGCAGTGCTTCATCTCTCACGTGTTATCAAACAAACTTTCATCAGCCGACCAACGAGACTGATTTCAATAACAGCTTTTTTGCCAAGAGTTTGATTATTGAGTTCCAATAGCCAGTGAAAACGTGAAAGTTCGAAGAAACTATTAAAAAATCCTCGCGCCCAGTTGTGCTCATCAAGTAGTCACGTTGGGAACCACCCCGGGGAGGGGGGGGTACTGCCATATATGGGCTATATAGGTATGTGCCGCTGTGAAGGGTATGGTTTTCAAGCAGTTTACTCTAGGATAGGGTGTATAAATCAGAGCGTTTGGGTCTAGAATAGGCTATCATTTTTCAGGAAACTGATCAGTTGATTGAAGATTTTTTCTAGACTAGGGAAACAGCTACTCTAGGATAGGGGGGATTTGGGGAGTTTACTCTAGTATAGGGTAGCAAAATTCAGCTGAACTAGCTCTGTTATAGGTTAAGGGTTCCAGGGTCCCAGCGGCACATCCCCACCCAGAAATTCCTAAAGTCCCCCCCGGGGAACCACGTTAAACAACCTTATACACGACAACGTAAACAACACTTTGTAGCACAGCTGACAATTTCACTCAAAATTATCAAATGATTACAATGTATTCTGGGCCAATTATAAACGGGAGCCAATAGGAATAGCGAATCGGATATCAGAAATGTTTGGATGAGCTTGAAGGCAGTGACGTGGCGTTGATTCTACTCCTGATTGGCTGGTTGCTTATAAATTAACCCAGGAGTAAGCTGAGGATTCCAACGGTACTAATCCACGACAAAAACGACGATGCGTAAAAGCAATTTCGGAAGATAATGGTCGTGAACAATAAAAGCCCCACAAAAAAAGTGCCCTTGGGACTGGAAATAAACTGCAATATATACCTTATTCAATAAAGGCTGCTTCGGCAATTGATCATTGGTCATTGGCAATTGGCCATACGAAAGCCACTGCAATGATCTGCTTCGGAGTGACCAGCAAACAACAGCTTCCCAGTGAGCAATTGCCCAATACCCAATCAACCTTCATTGAATCAGGTACAGTGGAAACTCAATGTAATGAACCTCTACATAACGAAGTCCTCGGTATGACGAATGATTTTCTTTACCCCACTAATAGTAAAATATACAGGAAAGAACCTTCATATAACCAAACTTCCTTATAGCGAACACATTTTGCCAGTCCCTTGGCCCTTCGCTATATTGAGGTTCCACTGTATATCCTAAAATCCTAAAAACTTTAAAACTGGGATAAAAACTCCTCAATGTCATTCCCCTACTGATCACGTTACACAGGGACAGAAGATGGCAATGTTCTGAAAACAAAATTTAAAAGTGAAAGTGCAAGAAGCATGATTGTACCTGTTGAGGGTTTGCGACTTTAAGTCCTTGATTAATAGCTCCAGAGTTATTCGGCGGTATAACATTACCTGACGGGCTTTGAAGCTGTAACTGGAATGTCTGTGAACATAAGAAAACAGTACAAAAAATGGTAACTGTGCAGTGCTAAATCAAACTGTGTTCGTTTTAACTATTAACTGCATGTCTGATTCGAGTCACCTTTTGTTGGTTCTTCATCATCAACAGAACGCTAAACAAGAGTGATACGGGTTAGTAGAGTGGCGATCACTCAGTAGCTTACTCCAAGGTGGAGCCCTGAGGAAATCCCCGGGGCACTGACTCGAGTTTCACACGCGTGATGCCGAGGGGCGTGGCAAATCATCACCTCAGTTCAGTCGGTGGAGAATACAAATGAACACTGCTGCTTATGCTACAAAGATCCACCCTGGACACCGTTTCCAAATAAAAGAGTCGCCATAAATTGCATGATTCCGTTAGATGGGATAAGGTTAGGAGGCATCGTGGCCGAGTGGTCAGCGCGTCGGACTCGCCATCCGGTGGACCCGGGTTCGAGTCCCGCTCTGGTCGCTTCCTCGATTTGTTCTCGGTCGTCCCGAGCTCAAATCCTCGGCCACGTTTGTAAATAGCCTACTGGTTGCCTCCTGCTAGATGGGGTTTTTAATCCTGTTATGTTGTATTTGAATTATTTGTTTCTAAGTATTTGAGTGGACTGGCTGTTAAAGGGACAGGTTCACGGTTCAGTGCATGCTCATTAATTAAATAACTTTTTTCCAAATTATTATTAACTCTATCGGTCAATAATCCCTTTCACATGTATCTCAGCGATCTCACAGTGTATTTCAAAGTAGAAGTGTATTTTAGGGTAACCTGAAGTGCTAAAATGGAGGAGCGCTAAAATCACAGGAAAATTGGTGGATTATGCCAACACTACCAACGTTGAATTTATTGTTGACCCGATGGTTTTATCCCATGGTTGATTAATTTACAGCTATTCGAGCCTAAGTTGATCAAGTGACTGCCAGGTGAGTGTGCAGATTGGTTCTTTGACAACATTATGACATGATCATATTGCTTTCACGGACGATACGGCATGTCCCGGCAGAAAAACAACATTTTGATTAACGAGCATGCGCTGAACCGTGAACCTGTCCCTTTAACTAGCTGGATAAGCTAAGTGCACTTTCCACTATAAACAAGCCTTTAAACCTTTAAAGAGATGATCTCTTGGTGCCATGAACGGTGGCCTATTTAGGTGACTTGTCTCACTGGCAGATCACTTTTACCCACTAGAAGTGGCAGGTAAAAGCGGTGTGTGACAAGCCAGTGGGAGAGTCTAGTTAGGCAACGATCTGCACATGAGGCTACACATGACTGAAAACATTTGAGCAGATATTAGGGGGTCACCCCTTGGGGTTATCCGATAATAGAAAAAATGGTCAAGAAAACAGTGTAACTGTAAGTCCATACCTTAGGAACAGCGGCTTGAAATACGAAGTCAGTCATGGGAAAGGTGAGTGAGTTTGTAGCTGTTACCATAATAGACACCACATTAGATGGGTTGCCTGGGACCTTTTCGAACGCGAACTCAATCTTTAAACCGTTGCTCTCAAACGCTGTTATGGAAGGGAAGCCTATCCAAAGAGAGGACAAGCTTCATTTCAGAGCATCATTGATTGATTGCAAGCTTTACTATAGCCAAGGGTGTTTTGCAACTTACTTTTCCCGACTTAAAATCATAGTTACGACATTTTGCGCATTTTGAATCAACACTCTTCTTGGCACAGTAGGGCAAAATTCGGAGCCACATAGTACAATACACTGGAACCCCGCTTTACGGACACCTTGTTACTACGGGCAGTTTCTCTTGTTCCCAGCCCTTATGTTTTCTCTAAATTTAAGGTGACTCGACCCAGTTTTTTTTTTTGGGGGGGGGGGGTGGTACCATCCTACTTTGAAGCTCTCTGGTATCCTCACCTTTACTTTTATCGTAAGTCTAACACATAGAATGGATAACATATTGATCAATCTACAATATAACATAAAATTTTTGGCGATCGGAGTAAATGTCACGTGGTTATAATGCCACGCCCCTTTGAGGTCTGAGTCGAAAATCTGCTACTGCCGGCATTTTTTTGTGAAAATCTCTCGGCTACATATAGTGCCTATGTGCCTATTAGTGCCTTGCGCTGAACAGAGTTTCACCAAAATCGCAAAGACCCAATTCGAGAAATTCAGCGGTTTCCAATTTTAGGTCATAATTTATGCGAAAATGAAAAGCCAACTTTACACGATTATATCTAATAAACTATGAGATGTATCCCGTTATTTTAGGGATCTTTATAACAGATGGGTCCTTGCAAGTCAGCAAAAAACTTTAGGGCCTTGTAAATGCGCGCGATTTCGAGCAATGCAAACACATACAAATTATAGTTTTAACTAGTTGTTGACGTTTGTCAGCGTTTAATAGTCCTTCTCACGAAAAAAGCATTTTCTTAAAAATTCGTAGTTTTTTTTTCCTTCAAATTTTTTCAGGGCCACAATTGATCAATTGACTACATGTACCCGAATTCTGAATTTCATGATCATTGAAAAACTGTGACATTATCTTCTATAACTGAAGCCCAAACTTGAGTAAACATTGAAGATTTTCAGCGTTTTGGCTGAGTTTGTGCTTTGGGAGTTTTCTATTGTTTCTAGTCTGTCATGATACAACATTCTTGTTCAGCACGCGTGCAATGACCGCGCTTGGCTCACTTCCCAATATTCACCGCGAGATATGATAATTTTGTATGAGAAAATAGAAGGGATTCCCGTCACGTAACGTCTAAGACATGAACACCCTCAGCGATTTGTATACTGCAGGAGGTACAAGGGCTTTGCTTACAATTTTAGCATTACCTCTAAGCAAGACGAGCAAGAAAGATTCTAGAGCGAAACCAAGAGTCACAAAAAAACTGACAGTGCTTACAAGTGTAATTAATTTTTTCACTACCAGATAAAAGGATAAGTAGTGAGTTGGTTTAATTATTGGCTTGCATTAAACCTATGTAAAAATGATATTTTTTTATGGTAAGTAGATTTAGTGTGTAGCATTTCTTGATTTTTTTGCAAAGGCACAAGAAGCACGAGAATTGATTAAAAATCGTGAGTTAAACCTCTATACGCCATCGCCTGTCTCACCGTACCAAAATTATCATTCTCGGTGAGCATTCGGAAGTCACCCCGGCAAGCGCGGTCATTGCACGCGTGCTGAACAAGAATGTTGTATCATGACAGACTAGAAACAATAGAAAACTCCCAAAGCACAAACTCAGCCAAAACGCTAAAAGTCTTCAAAGTTTACTCAAGTTTGGGCTTATAGAAGATAATGTCACAGTTTTTCAATGATCATGAAATTGAGAATTCGGGTAGTCAATTGATCAATTGTGGCCCTGAAAAATTTGAAGGAAAAAAAACTACGAATTTTTAAGAAAATGCTTTTTTCGTGAGAAGGACTATTAAACGCTGACAAACGTCAACAACTAGTTAAAACTATAATTTGTATGTGTTTGCATTGCCCGAAATCGCGCGCATTTACAAGGCCCTAAAGTTTTTTGCTGACTTGCAAGGACCCATCTGTTATAAAGATCCTCAAAATAACGGGATACATCTCATAGTTTATTAGATATAATTGAGTAAAGTTGGCTTTTCATTTTCGCATAAATTATGACCTAAAATTGGAAACCGCTGAATTTCTCGAATTGGGTCTTTGCGATTTTGGTGAAACTCTGTTCAGCGCAAGGTACTAATAGGCACTATATGTAGCCGAGAGATTTTCACAAAAAAATGCCGGCAACAGCAGATTTTCGACTCAGACCTCAAAGGGACGCGGCATTATAACCACGTGACATTTACTCCGATCGCCAAAAATTTTATGTTATGTTGTAGATTGATCTATATGTTATCCATTCTATGTGTTAGACTTACGATAAAAGTAAAGGTGGGGATACCAGAGAGCTTCAAAGTAGGATGGTACCGCCCTAAAAAAAACTGGGTCGAGTCACCTTAACCCGCTTAATACGGACCCTTTGTATGGCCCCCTCCGGGTCCGTATGAACGGGTTTGAATGCACTGCTGACTACACTCCCCTTACACCAATAAACGTTATTGATCATCCTGGCTGTGCTTGAACACCTTGTACTTGCTTCGATGAAGGAGGCGAAGTCATTAATCTTATGTCCTGTGTATTCTCACACCAAACTAATAGCAAGGAAAGACAATCTTGCGCTGCATGGGTATCTACAAGGCTGGAACTTGTACTATAAAACCGAGTTTCGCAGGATACTCGTCGTCAAAGTTTGCCAAATCCTTCAAATTTTCACGTCACAAGATGTTTCTCCTCTCTGTATTCTCTTCCATCCCCGACGTTGAGCGCCGCAATTTTTGAAATGGTCAAATAAAAACAACTATTGAAATTTGACGAGTACTGTAGCTATCCAAGGCACCAAAAAAAAAAGAACAACCCCAGTTTTGTCACAAGTACAGAATGTTCTTAGCAATGCACTATTGAAGAATAGCTGATAAAGTGTTACAAACCAGTAGAGAAGTGCTGATTCTGAGGGGCGAGGGGTTCGTGATTCATATGAGGGAGAGTCGGCTGCCCAGCAGAAGATGGATTCAGCGGTCCTCCTCCATCCAGCAAGTTTGGCACAGCGGGTGATGGCGCCATCATGTTCATTGGAGGGGGGCCTGGACAACAGTAAAACAGAATAAGTCACTTTGAAGATTACCATGTATGCCTTACTGAAATGTCTTTCGTTCTCGGACGAACAGCACGTACTTTGCACCGGAACTAAACAATTAGCGACACTATAAAAGTGTAGTTCCTCGCTTCATGCGGATGGCTTAAACATTTCACGACATGATACATGAGACTGAAAGATACCCAGACCGTACAGCTACGAACCAACAATGATTTGTGCCGCGTGCATTTAGAAACACGGGACAACGGTTTATACTATCAAGAGCTGAAGCTTGATAAATTCAGAAGCACACTTGCGATTTATTGTTTTTGTTCTTACAAAAGAGACTTGCACCCCCTGAGGACAAACCTACACAAAGAACATAAGGGTATTCTATAAGTGGCCTGGTAAATTTGTTTACATTTCGGTCTAAAAACACGTTTAATGTAAATCCTCTATTAAACTCCCTCGGGGTCTTATTTATTTCAAGCACGCTCGGAGGGGGGGGGCTTATTTAATTTAGCGAAGATGATAGTATCAACTACTGAAATTTGACGAGTACTGTAGCTATAACAACAACAACAACAACCAAACAAAACACTTTGTTAAGAAACAGATATTTACAATTTGAATAGTACCTACCCACAAATAGTTAAAAACTAGTCGAGGCGGGTAGGTATGATTAACACTATCTCTTGGTTAGGCCAAGACAGCTCATTATCTCTTGGTTAGGCTTATTCCAACTAGGGTATTTTGCGCTATACATATTTACTTAAAAGGATTTTAAACAAGCAGAAGTTAAAGATTACAATAAATAGTAAATTAAATGAAAAATGTCAACTAAAAATAGCAAAACTAAATTACTACACGGAGAAAAGGGAGAAAAAAAGAGATTTCACTATACTGGTCGTAGTTACCGGATTGCTACAGTTTTACAAGTTTTTAATTATTTCAAGAATTGAAGATGTGTGATTTTCTTATTTAAAAATATTAATAAGTGTTTCATGTATTTCTTAAATAAGTTTCTACTGGCAGACTTTAGGTAAAGCATTCCAAAGCCGCACGCCAAATCGGGAAAATGAATTCTTTAGTTGTTCAAGACAAGAAGACATGACATAAAATTTGTTCGTAGTTACTGATATGGTGTTGTAGGAATGGAATGGATATCTGAGACATGAGTAAGTAAATTTTGAATACGAGCAGGAGCTAGCTCGTTTGGAACATCATGCATTAAAGAAGAAACAGATTCGACATAAAAAAATTGAACAGGCAGAATGTTAAGATTACCGAAAAAAGGAATAGCGTGTTCACACTTTGGAGAAAAGTTTATCAAACGTATAGCCCGCTTTTGAAGGACAAGAAGCTTATCCAATGTTGACTGTGACGCTCGCATTGACCCCACAAGCTAACTCCATAGGCGAGAAAGGGGAAAACAAGGGACTGATATAACTTGACAATAACAGAAAGGGGTACAAAGTGTCTCCGTTTAGCTATCGTGCCAATGGTTTTGCTAATTTTTAGAGCAATTAGATCAATATGAGCTTTAGTGTTAAGATTCTTGTCAATAAGTATGCCAAGATATTTCAATAATAATTACATTCTAATGGTGAGTATGACATTTTATCGTTGTCAAAAATATTTATCGTTGGTTGAAAAGGTAGCTTCTTTCCATAATTTCGAAATATCACATAATTAGATGTCTTAGTATTTAGAGTTAGTTTTTTCGCTGTCAACCATTCGCAGAATTTGTTCAACTCAACATGTACTTCTAATTCTAGGGATTTAAGGTTTTTATTAGTGAACAAGTTACTGTTGTCATGAGCAAAGAAATAAAACTTGAACTTATCTGAACAGTTTGTGATATCATTTTTATGCAACAAAAAAGTAAAGGCCCCAGAACAGAACCTTGAGGAACACCGCAATCCGAGGGAGCCTTTTCAGAAATATTGGGGCCAATATTAGTTGTCTGTGAACCGACACGAGATGAATAATTGTTTTAGTATACACTAAAACAGTGAGATAATCGAGCACAAAAATGATGATTTTTAACTCATTTACTGTTGCCTGCAACGACTACAATTTTGGCACGCAATGACCGAACGGCCGCGGTTGTCGCTTTTTCTTGCCGACAAATAAAACTTTTGAAGGCATTTGTTTTAGTTCTTGCGGGAAAATTTCCTCAAAAGGAGTTGTGAATTCTTTTTTTATTTAAAATCATTCTGTAAAAAGGATTATTAAATTTAGTTTTAAGCTTCTTTTTGAACAAGTCAACTAAATAAAGAAACGCAAGACTTAATTTGCATTTGTAAACAAAAAACTTTTTCGCCGGTTTTATCGATAAATTCAAGTCAAAAAGACAAAGCTTAACCTGTTAAACTTCCACCCCGAACTTCGTCACCTTTTTCGTATATTTCGGGAACAGCTTGCTTGATTAGTTGTGAAACTTCTTTGTTTGTTACGGCAGCACACCGGGAAGGCATTTTGCTCGCAACTCACGCGAGTTTGGCGTCACTCGCTCGGAGGAACTGGAGGTGAATCAGTGAATAGTGCAGGATATTCACTGATTGAGTAGCCAATCAGAGCGCGCGAAAAACACTATCCACTGTTTTAGTATATACTAAAACTTATTATCCATGTTATTTTGAATAGTGTTAATAATATCTAGAGTTGCATGCTGAGTGGAATGTTTCTCTCTAAAGCCATATAGACATGGAACAAGCATATCTACCTTTCTTAAACAGGATTTTAGACGTACATACATCAATGTTTCAAAGATTCTATTAAAGTTTGAAAGAAGTGAGATAGGTCGGTAATTATTAGGGTCTGTCTCGTCACCATCTTTGTATATCGGAATTACTTTTGCGTGTTTAAGTTTGGAAGGATAACTCCCAAACTCAATTGAAGTTTTAATATATTTGCTAAAAGGTAAGAGAGGATACTACTGGCGGATTTAAGAAACGAGTTGGACACGAATACAGACCATGTGCTTTGTTGTTCGGTATAGACAGAACTTCGAGTTGAGCCTCATACGGGATCACAGGTGCAGAAAAGAGAGAGTTGAGGAAACTGATTTGATGATAATAATCAGCTAAATGGTGTGACGATTGAGGCAACTTGGAAGCCGGCAAGCTTGTGTCCAATAGAGGCGTTAAGAATATGGCCATCTGTGATAGGTCTTGTGTGAAACCACTATTGTCAGGTTTTGTGATTTTGCTGACGGATTCACGATTCCTTCTTTTGTTTAGCAGACTATTGATACCTTCCCATATCTTCTTGATACTCAATAAGTTAGTCTCAAAGTACTTGTGAAAGTGCAGTTTTTTGCTTAAACGAGTTAATGTTAGGATATGATAAAGAGGATATTACACGGTGACGCAAAGATATGAATTTTATTTTCGAGCGGCAAAACAATATTTTACGAACGAGCGCAGCGAGTGAGTAAAATATTGTTTTTGCCACGAGAAAATAAAATTCATATCTTCAAGCCGCCGTGTAATGTTCTTTTTATTATATAGACAAAAAGACATCGATAAAATAATAGAGGAAAATGACCGTGTGAGACCGTGTGAGATTATGGAAAATAACCCACTCGGGTCCCGGATGTAGCTTTTATGAATTTTACGAGTGGTATATTTTCCAGTAAAACACTCGTGTCTATATAATAATTCTATATAATTTGTATTTCTGTGTATCGCCTGACAAAAACAGCTTATCCTTAGTTTTTAATTGATCGTCTGATGCCTCTTGTGATCCATGGTTTTGAAAATCGTTCTGCCTTGCGGCCAGAAAGCGTCTTCAAGGGTTCATGTTTATTGACCTGTCCATTAAATTTATTGTAAAACGTCGAGAACATTTGATCTATGTCTTGGTGAGTATCTAAAGTAATAATGTCCCAATTGATTTGAGTGAGTTCATTATTAAAATTTTCAGGTGAGAAGTTAGAATAGTCTTGCACTTTAGGCGAAACAGATAGAACCCGACTAGTCGGGAGACGTGAAATACAAAACTGAGAAAAATGGACGGTTAGACTATGTTACCACTTACAAAGAATTGTTCGAGGTCATTTGTAAAGATATCATCAATAAGAGTGGTCGATGTATTATGTACGTGAGTGGGATGTCAATAGTTGGAATAATATGAAAGCTTTGAGCTGACATTGAGAAGAATCTTTGGCTAATAGAGGATGACTGCGACTTGCGCAGGTCAATGTTGAAATCCCCCATCATGTAGAGTGGCCTGCCGGGGAGAACATATTTTTCGACAGCTTCATGTCTAGTTGATTAAATCACTCACAAATTACTCCTCCAAATTTGTGGTCGCATTGTCTGGTAACAGAGCGGTGAGATCGCTGATCCTCTTAAGCTTAATAACTTTCGACGTATCATTTTGTCGTAGGTAAACATAGCGGAATTTTTAGTCAAGCAGTATTTATAGTTATTAGCGGTCTTAGAGCGTTTGGCTTCGTAAAGCAAATCTTGCAGCCGTGGAATAAGATGGCCGTAGATGCTAAAGTGGTGGATCGAACCGAGTGTCAAGTCGAGGTCGGCAGCGACCACATTGTTGCCGGAACCCGGTGTGCGATGTCGATACTCTGCAATGTGATGTCTGCTCCAATGCATGAGAATAGCTTCAAACAAATTGAGGTTTTGTCTTCGGGACACTCCGTTTCTGCCACTTGTGGAATGCCAACAATCTTGATATTGTATTGATAGCTATACATCTCAAAAGAGTCGATAGCTTGGGAAATTCGATCGACTTGCGTACAAATTGTGTCAAGCTTACTGGATAATCGTTTTATTTGGTTCCATATCTTCTTCCTACATGCCGCGAGGTCATCATATTCGTCGCTCAAGAATTGCACGCCATGTTCTTGTTCTTCTTTGTTTTATATAGTTAATTTCATGGAAGATTTCAGCGACTCCAGCTCTGATTCCATTCCTTTCAACTTCGATTTAAAATCATCATTCTCTTTCCTCAGTGTTTTCAGTGACACGAGGAATTAATAGGGTTAGCTGTGCACCAAAACTGATGTAATTCTGGAGCAAATTTTCTCGCGTCCGACCTAACCTCCTCCCAGGCGCTACACAAAAAGAACAACCCTAGTTCTTGTCACTTGTACAAGTACAGAATGTACTTAGTAAGGCAGTATTGAAGGATAACTGATAAAATGTTACAAACCAGTAGAGAAATCCTGATTCTGATGGGCGAGGGGTTCGTGATTCTTCTGAGGGAGAGTCGGCTGCCCGGCAGAAGATGGGTTCACCGGTCCTTCTCCATCTAACAAGGTTGGCACAGCGTGTGATGGCGCCATCGTGTTCATTGGAGGGGAGCCTGGACAAGAGTAAAACAAAATAAGTCACTTTGAAGAGTACCATGTATGCCTTACTGAAATGTCTTTCGTTCTCGTAACGAACAGCACGTACTTTGCACCGGAACTGAACATTTCCCGCACTATAAAAGTGTAGTTCCTCAGTTTATGCGCATGGCTTGAACATATCACGACATGATACAAAAGACTGAACGATACCCAGACCGTACAGCTACGAAACAAAAATGATTTGTGCCGCGTGCACTTAGAAACATGGGCCAACAGTTTCTACTATCAAGAGCTGAAGCTTGACAAATTCAGAGGCACACTTGCCATTTGTTTTTGTTCTAACATTAGAGACTTGAATAATTGCAACCCGCGAGGATAAGCCTACATAAAGAATGTTAGGGTATTTTATAACTGGCCTGCTGAATTTCTTTTCATTTCGGACTAAAAAACACGTTTAACGTGAATCCTCCATTAAGCCCCCTCGGGGTCTTATTTATTTCAGGCACATTCGTAGGGGGGAGGGCTTTATTAATTTAGCGAAGATGTTGGTATCAACTACTGAAATTTGACGAGTACTGTAGCTATCCAAGGCACTAAACAAAAAGGAATAACCCTAGTTCTTGTCACAAGTACAGAGTGTACTTAGTAATGCAGTATTGAAGGATAACTGATAAAGTGTTACAAACCAGCAGAGAAATCCTGATTCTGAGGGGCGAGGGGTTCGTGATTCATCTGAAGGAGAGCTGGCTGCCCGGCAGGAGATGGATTCAGCGGTGCTCCTCCATCTAATAAGTCTGGCACAGCGGGTGACGGCGCCATCTTGTTCATTGGAGGAGCGCCTGGACAGCAGTAAAACAGAATAAGACACTGTGAAGAGTAACATGTATGCCTTACTGAAATCTCTTTCGTTCTCGGAACGAACAACACGCACTTTGCACCGGAACTGAAAAGTTAGCGACACTATCAAAGTGTAGTTCCTCGGTTTAGGCGGATGGCTGGACATTTCACGACATGATACAAAAGACTGAACGATACCCAGACCGTACAGCTATGAACCAAAAATGATATGTGCCGCTTGCACTTAGAAACATGGGCCAACGGTTAATACCACCAAGAGCTGAAGCTTGATAAATTCAGAAGCACACTTGCCATTAATTGTTTTTTTTTTTCTTTCAAAAGAGACTTGACTGACTACAGCCCGCGAGGATAACTCTACACAAAGAATATAAGCGTATTTTATAAGTGGCCTGGTGAATTTGTTCACATTTCGGTTTAATAACACGTTTAACTTAAATCCTCTATTAAGCCCGCTCAGGGTATTATTTATTTCAAGCACGCTCAGGGAGGCTTATTTAATTTAGCGAAAATGTTGGTATCAACTACTGAAATTTGACGAGTACTGTAGCTATCCAAGGCACTAAACAAAAATGAACAACGCTAGTTTTGTTACAAGTACGGAATGTTCTTAGTAATGCAGTATTGAAAAATAACTGATAAAGTGTTACAAACCAGTAGAGAAGTCCTGATTCTGAGGGGCAAGGGGTTCGTAATTCTTCTGAGGGAGAGCTGCCTGCCCGGCAGAAGATGGATTCAGCGGTCCTCCTCCATCCAGCAAGTTTGGCACAGCGGGTGACGGCGCCATCATGTTCATTGGAGGGGAGCCTGGACAACAGTAAAACAGAATAAGTCACTTTGAAGAGTACCATGTATGCCTTACTGAAAAGTCTTTCGTTCTCGGAACGAACAGCACGTACTTTGCACCGGAACTGAACAATCAACGACACTATCAAAATGTAGTTCCTCGGTTTATGCGCATGGCTTGAACATTTCACGACATGATACATGAGACTGAACGATACCCAGACCGTACAGCTACGAACCAACAATTATTTGTGCCGCGTGCATTTAGAAACACGGGACAACGGTTTCTACTATCAAGAGCTGAAGCTTGATAAATTCAGAAGCACACTTGCCATTTGTTTATGTTCTAACATTAGAGACTTGAATAATTACAACCCGCGAAGATAAGCCTACACAAAGAATATAAAGATAATAATTTTATAAGTGGCCTCGTGAATTTGTTTTCTTTTCGGTTTAAAAACACGTTTAAAGTAAATCCTCTATTAAGCCCGCTCGGGGTTTTTTAATTAAAATTATTTCAAGCACGTTCGGGGGGCTTTATTAATTTAGCGAAGAAGTTGGTATCAACTACTAAAATTTGACGAGTACTGTAGCTATCCAAGGCACTCAGTGAACAAAAATGAACAACCCTAGATCTTGTTACAAGTATACAGAATGTACTTAATAATGCAGTATTGAAGAATAACTGATAAAATGTTACAAACCAGTAGACAAGTCCTGATTCTGAGGGGCGAGGGGTTCGTGATTCTTCTGAGGGAGAGCTGGCTGCCCGCTAGAAGATGGGTTCAGTGGTCCTTCTCCATGTAATAAGTCTGGCACAGCGGGTGATGGCGCCATCATGTTCATTGGAGGGGGACCTGGACAACAGCAAAACAGAATAAGTCACTTCGAAGAGTACCATGTATGCCTTACTGAAATGTCTTTCGTTCTTGGAACGAACGGCACGTACTTTGCACCGGAACTGAAAAGTTAGCGACACTATCAAAGTGTAGTTCCTCGGTTCATGCGGATGGCTTGAACACATTGATACAAAACACGAACATGATACGAACCAACAGATTTGAACGATAGAAACGTGGGCCAACTGACCTATCTACAGCTACGATAAATTCCAACAATGTTTTGTTTTTGCTAACATTAGAGCTTGAATAATTGCACCGCGAGGATAAGCCTACGCACAGAAACATGGGCCCAACCGTTTAAAGTTTGTTATAAAACTATCTAGTGGCTGAAACTTGATAAATAGAAGAAGAAGGTCTAATTAGTAAAAAAAGAACTTTGCCAATTTTTTTAATTGTTTTTTGTTCTAACATTAGACGACGTTGTTTGAAGGAAATGTCGTTCGTGTGCTCGTTTACCTTTTTTTTCCACCCGCTCATTTTCACCTTGAGGATAAGCCCTACAAAACATGTTGCACAGAATAGAATATATAGCTCTATATTCCAAATTTTGGACATGACAATTAAGCTAAAAAGCAACACGGATACAGATTTTCTTTCGTTTTCATCTTTATTGACCTTTAGTTGTCTCTTCTTTACAAGACGCGGGTGGCTACGCGATTTCCCGCCAAAATAATCTCGAGTTGCATTTGGGTTGCCAAACCTGTTAAATGAGTTATTTTACATTAATATGCCTAAGGTGTGGACGGACGGTCGGAGGTCGGCGGTCGGTGTACGGTCACGTGATTACGAAATTTCTGGGATGGGTAGATTTACTTATCCATGATGCTCCGCTGGCGCACGCTTCGAGTGCGCGAGAGCTCCGCTTATAAGGGTATTTTATAAGTGGTCTGGTGAATTTGTTCACATTTCGGTCTAAAAACACATTTAACGTAAATCCTCTGTTTAGCCCCCTCGAGGCCTTACTTATTTTAAGCACGTTCGGGAAGGCTCATTTAATTTAGCGGAGATGATGGTATTAATTCTTCGTAAGAACTACAATGCAAAAGTCCCGGCTCGTGATCAAAAACAAATCCGAACTACCAGGTTTTTTGGCGCGAAAACGAATGGCTACCCGCGTTTTGTGAAACATTTTAGAAGTTCAGAGACGTCAAATCAGAACAAAAAGAAAAATTCGTAACTTGTTTACGTCCTCAATAGAACGTGAAATTAGGCATTTTCACGTCGTAGTCGTGCAGTGACGGCAAAGAAATGTACAAAAAACTGTGATGGACGTGCAAAATTGTTGTTTTTCCTAGAAAGCCTATTACATTTAAAGGTTGCTTTTGGCATCGGGCAATTGCGCACTAGGAATCTATTGTTTCAATGCTGGTCACTCCGAAGCAAATCATTGCAGCGTGTTTCGCATGCCCAATTGCCAATGACCAATGACCAGTGGTCAAAGCAACCTCATATTATCAAGAGTAAAATGAGTTGTGGGAGCAGTAATGCTCTTACAAACAAGTTCTTACGTCAGTGATTAGAGCGAAGGAGAGCGATTAGATCATGAGAGGCGACTCTATTCTCAGGCTAGAGAAAGGTGAAACATTCAAGAGTTTGTTGTAGGAATCTGACCAACGAACACTGTGAAATTGACTTTTTTCCTTTCTTCAGTGTTTATATCAGTTTTAACATTGACGATCTCTCTCATATTGTGGCAGACGTCTCTCTTGTGAAACGTGAGCGATGAGAGGCGGCTGTATTAAAGTTCTTACCTTCAACTACACTGATCATCCTCACAGCAAGTTCTTCACTCTGTACTTCCCAACTGTACTTATTTGCGTACGAAGATCGCAATGCTTCACACTCTTTCAGCCGTTCACTCCTGTCTTTGTCCTGCAAGCCCTTTATTGCATTCGCCCAGATTTGGTGATCGTCTGAGTTAACGACAAAATACGATCCAAACGGAACTTTACTTAGAGCTTCTCCAAAGCCCGAGTTTCCACTAACCAGGACAGGCAGACCGGCAGATAGAGCCTCAAGCCCCGTTAATCCGAAACCTTCCGTTCTTGAAGGCATGATAGCAAGATCAACTTCACAAAATTGGCGTTTTAAACTTTCCCGGTCTTGCACATAGCTCCTGATAGTTAACTTATTTTCTTGAATACCACATTCAAGAAAACGTTCTTTGACCTTCTCATGCTCTCCTTCTGGTACACCAACAAACACAAGATAAACGTCACTTAATGCAGCCACTGCTTTGGCTGCAATATCAAACCCTTTTACTTCAAAATCTTCTGCGTCTCCACGACCAAAAAGAAGTACTCGAAATCTTCTTGTCGTATTATAAGCCTGTTTAACGTTAGAAAACTCTGGGAAAATTCCGGGAGTGAAGTTGAAGAACATTTCGTCCTCGTGACACGACGAAAGATAACAGCGAAAAGCTTCGTTCAACTTTGAACCAACAGAGACAACGAAATCAGCCAATTGACAAAGTTCAACTTCTGTTTGATGCTTCTTTTCGGCAACTGATATTGCATTTGCATACATTTTATGCATCCCAAGTTCCTCTGGGACTGTATGGACAACTTGAACCCATTTACACTTCCGTAAATCCCTTATGGAACATGCGTAAGGACCAAGCTTTACTCCATGACCAACAACCACATCAATGTACAAGTTTTCAGGTGGATAGCTAAGCCAGTGAAGTTCATCCAAACCTGGAACTCTTTTTGCTCCAACAAGATTGATCTTCTCCAGAAGAGCTGTTTGCTTGTCCTCGTCGTTGCATCGGGGAACATAGAAGGTGACATCCACCTTGGGATGCTTTGCTATGTTTATAGCTAATTCTCTGTTTATGGTGGACAACCCTCCTTTGCTTGATCCCCATTCAGATGCAAGGAAAAGAACACTCAATTTACCCGAAGATAGACGGCATCCGTCATTCTTTTGATGTTCAACTGAATTCGACGCCATCTTAGAGTTTTGTGGCTCCTTCAAAAAACAAAACGTAATAGGTTAATTTCATTACAAGAAAGGAAGCATAATTTTTGCAAGCCCTAGAGGGTCTACACACTGCACACCGTAATTTTTAGGGAGTTATTCTTTTTGGAGTTAAAATAACTCCACGAAAAATAACTCCACTGTAAGGAGTTAAATTAGCCCCACTAGAGGAGTTATTATAACTCCCTGAAAATTACAGTGCAGCATAGCCTCGGTAAAGGAAACACAGATAACTCGAACTAAGCCCCATTTCCCTAGGATATAACTTAACTTTTCAGTCATTTTTTCTGGGAATTCCCCGCTAGCTTGAACTAAATTTGGTTGCCCTCAGTGGCGGATCCAGGGGATATGTATACTACTTCAGTTCCTATATTATACTAACTGCATCTTATACAAAACTATGCAGCCTCTTACCCAAATTTTGTGCTGTGTTTGTTTGATTCGTGCTACGTTGATGCTTTTACTGGGTAGTTACACATGCACAGGGTATAGAGCTGTATCAGAAGACTCAGAGTCGAATAGCCGAAGAAGGTTTCAAAGTTAGGAAGTGACTGACAAATGATGAATAGGTAAGAGCTGAAGTAGAGATTGACACCCAGCAAACAACCCATATAATGCCTTGATTCGCTCTGGAGGAACGGCTAACGTTCTACAATCTTCTTAGGGCGACAATCCATTCTCGACCCCTGTTCTTACGGGTTTAGAAATGCGTACTTAACCTCTGGGAAACTCTGCTCCGGGGTAGCCAAAATCTGGCTATTTGGGCCTCACAGCGCATGCTCTTTGATCCAACGAAAACGTCTTGCTTTCATATCTACTTCATCGCGCAAGTTTTGTGCTGCTTCGGAATTAGAACTGACGAAATTCAGTTAAAGGAGCCCTTGAAGAAATTTCAGGTATCAAGGCTCTTGTGGTAGCTGCTGAGAAAATACCGTTAAACGTTCACAGATTTGAGACTTGAAATTTGCATATGCTTGATAGCTGATTAAATATTTGGGTGGGACGACTTCACGAGGCGGTAAGTGAAACCCGAATGGCTTGTTGAAATAAGCGCATGGAAATTCCAAACTTTCCAAAACTTAAAATCCACACTTCGGCGTCGTGGTCCTGGATTAACAGGGACCTTAAGCATTGACGACGAATGGGACGACAACGACCTACCGGAAGTGATCAAGGCGAGTTGAACGCTACTACACATGCTCGGCTCGTCGTCCACATGCTGTCGAGAACGTGAAAACCCGTGGTTTGTCGTCAAGCAGTGAACATGAGTAAATTTACTCGTATTTTTACCCCTAAATCCACTTTCGTGAAAGAAATTTCATCTCAATTGCGTATTCGACTTTCAACGTATTTGTTCTTTGTATTTTTGTACTAAAAACACTAGAAATCGATCGATAAAGGTCTTCGTAAACAAGCAACAGCGAGTCGCATTGAAACTTTCTTGTTTGTGTTTTCCAGCTTTTCGCAAAACCGCAAAAATTTCGTGCCACACCGTAGTCAGAAATGATATTTTTCAGGATACCCTTTCATACAAACACCCTTTAATACTTTTCTCTTTTTGTGTAACAGACGTCTTAACTTCTTCACCGGAAGTCTACTAGGTGCATGACCGCGTGGCTGTAACCCAATTCGATTATAACTTCTGTCATAAATAAATTGCGCACGACGAGATCTCAGTTGCACTTCCTCCATTTCCTGTACTACAACACTTTCCTTATGTAAAGTTAACTCCACACCTTCTCCGGCAACGTAGCTAACATCAGTACACTTCTTACAAAACTTGCTGAAAATGCACAATCTCCACACCGAGGACAATTTATGCACAACATCGCAACATAAATTATTACATGAAAAACAATAACACGCAATACAAAAACAAGTACAAAAACACCTAATTTTCCAAACAAAACTAAAAGAAGATCAATTATAATGACGCCTATCACAACGTTTACGAAACGACGGTAACCACGTTTTCCTTCTTATCGGTTGGCCTACACGCAACGCAAACGACCACACCTCTTTCCCTTTCGAATTACTCCTGCTACAATCTTCTCCAGTTGTCGAAATCTCTTCACTCTTAAACTTTATACACATTTCTCTCGCCAAACTTTTCTCCATTTAACTTGTGTAATCTTCACTTTCTAAAAACAAATTTCGCCTATTTGAGCATAATGTCTTTGACTGTCTCAATATTTTCCTTTCATTAACTTTAAGTTCGTGAACCAGTCCATTCCGAAAACGCCTTATTTCCTTTCTTTGGTGTGGGCCTACCGCGAACAGTGCGTGTATTTGTATGTGAAGTCACCATATAACACAACATACGTATTTCAAAAAATATTGACTCCTTCCTCTTCTTCAATAGTCGCCCATTTTATTCCAACTTTCCAAATCACTCGGATCAAAAGCATTCAATTCTTCCCTAATCTAATTCGCTCATCGATTTCGCCCTACACAATAAACCAATCAGAAAATAAAATGACAGAAGCAACAAATTCAGATGACCTCTCAGGAAACAAGTCCTTCAAATTGTCTATCTCTGATTGGTGCATTTCGATCCTCTGCTTATGATATCTTCTCACCATACTGCAATAACATACAAAACAAACCATTTTTGAGCTGCACACGTCGACCGGAACTGAACGCTTTTCCCTTTATAAGCATTGACATTTCCAATTTTGTATTGATAAATGTCTTTACTCTATAAAAAAACAATTTGGCAAAAATAACTTTTCACGAATGCCAACTTTCCACTTCCCGTTTCAATCAGTTTCCTATAAGCCCAAAACAACTAATCGTCGTGCGCCGACTGTTCGGACTTCTCCAACAAAGTTCCTGCTCGCCCAAATTAAAAAAAAAAACTTACAAATCAACCATCTTTTACTTTTCCGCTACAATCTCGTCTTCAAGGTCTAACAGGGCAACGATAAATAACTACACACCGAAGGGCGAGCAAAAAAAAATATATTTCTTTCTTCCTCAGATAAACTTAACCCATTCGCTCCTAGAGATTTTGCCGAAAAACGTGTTTTGAAGCTAGTCCAGTGGTTTTCTGGTCACTGTCGTGCTATAAAGAGCTAAAACTTACCACAAACCGGTTTACAGGTCGTACACTTCGCGGCCTTCTGATCCAGATCCAAAATATCAGCTTGCGAAGTTCGGGCATGCGCAGAAGGCAAAATTTTGGGGGGTTTAAAAGTGACACAGCAGTCTTGACTTTTACTTTTCGCTTTCTCTCCTCCCCTCTTTTTTCGCTTTTCTTGCCTCATTTTTTTTTCTCTTGCTGGGCATTTAGTAGGCTTCGTTTTGATGGGAAGAGTTTTTAGGAAAGCTTTTAGCATCTTAGGATTAGGCGAAAGGAAAGGTAGGTGAGCAATGGAGCAAGATTTTCATGGAGATTTTCTGGTCAATGTCACATGGTTTTTTGCTTCTTTCTCCGGTGTCCTTGACTGTATTGTGCTCATTCTGGTATGGTTTGAAAGATCTCTTCACTCTGCAGAACTTAGTGGACAAAATTGGTCCTTGACCTTTAAAACGAATGACGTCACAAAGGGTAGAAAGGACGTGGATCCGCACGGGCGGTTACAGGGGGTTCAGGGGCGAAATGGGTTAACAACTCGAGCTGATACCTAGATATCGAGATTTCTCGAACAACTTCCTGCCTCACATCGGAAACAAAACGCAAGTTCACGACATTCATCAGCGTCGCAAATATATTTTGCGCTCTGCCGCAAATATTTATTGTAGCCAAAAGAACTAGAAGTGATCTCGCGAATCTCCAACTCATTCCTGCGTCACTACGTCAAATACCCAAAACAAGCCTAACAAACTTGCGTGCCGAATTCCCGTACCTCGCGCATGATATTAAACTTATGGCTATTTTTCACAACTCAAATTACCCTTCGTCGCAGTGGCGCAATCGGCTAATCCCTCAATTTAGAGTCTCATCTGACCTGACGAGTCACACGTAAGCCGGTTCAAACCCTGAGCAAGTCAGAAATTCTTCCAGAAGTAATAATTATTTCTTCCTCATAATTATTTCTTGTTATTGTTGTTTTTGGCATAAGTTAAATAGTACAGCTGCGAAAACACATCCACGAGCTGACCAACAAACATGAAAATAAGCATGTGGAAACTATTACAGACACAAGATTTTCTCTGAAACCGTGATCCTTTTGTACATAATAACAAAAACGGTTCGGTTTAATTACTTTCGCAGTTCTCGCAGGCAAGTACCACGAGAAATACAACCCAAGATAAAAGATTTCCCAGCCTGAATTTCAGACGTCCTCTAGAGTCGAAAGGATGCCCGAAATTCAGGCTAAAAGATTTCCCTAGATAGCTTTTCACCGTTTTCCGTTATTAGTCGATAAAATCACTTGATCGCTAACGATTTCTATCGATTTCGATTTTTATCTATTGGCTTCTCCGGCAAGTAACTACACGTGGAACTGATGTTATTTTGAAAGGGTGGCAGATCTAAATCGTGAAAAAACTGGTCGCCTACCAATATCGGCCGTCAGAAGAAGACTTTGAACCGGGTTTTAAGGAAAAGATAAGATTTTTTAAAACTTTTTTATTAAAAAAGTGATAATAAATTGTTTGATCCTTCTACTCTCAATTGCAACTCCATTGTCAACAAATTCACTGTTTGCATGAAATCAGTTTTCATTTTTGGATGAACAATAGAACAGATGTATCTTCCGATATAAATCGATGGAATCGGTGAAATGTAGATAAATCGACAAAACGAAACGAGTGTGTCAACGATTTCTTCCGATTGATCGATACAGTCGATATCACTCAAATCAGATTTACCGATTTTTATCGATAAATCGATACCGATTTTTATCGATTGACTACTCCGGACGTCCCAGAAGGACGACGGTAAAATGTCACGCGTATATTGCGTGACGTGACATCTATCTAACCGTCCTAGGCGATCGTAGTGACCTATCTTAAAGTCCCTAATTAGCGATCATGTGACTTCAAAACATCCTGCTCAATGACATGATATTATAATATTTCAACCCTCGATTTCTGAGAATTTAGAATAAGTAATGGCACAGAAATAAATGTTATACTCGCATTCCTCATAATCATTTGCTGCAGTCAGGGTGCAATCCCGGGATGCGATCGGTCTTGGGCTAAAAGGAGACTACCGTCACAAAGTACGTATACAGCTATAAACGTTTAGCTGTGGTAAAGATATTCGACAAATTTGTGGCACACGGTAAATCAATCGACAACAGAAAATCAAACTTACAATCTATTAGTAACCAAGGTCTAACCTCCTAAACCAGAACTGTGAAGAAACATTTTGAATCTTTCAGAACTAAAAACTTTAAATGATTAATGATTTGTGACAGTCTGGTTAATCTAAAACCTCACTTTTTCCGCCTTTGCAAGAGCGCAGCTTCAATTCATGAATCCAACGTTTTCTATACTTTGGTCTATATGCGCTGGATCAGCCACTTTACTCGTACTTCTCGTATTCTTTGTTTTGCGATTCTTTTACTTTCGGTGCTTAGTTGACTGAATGATTTAATAGACCGAGTAACAATTCTCACTCCTCGCCCAAAGGATATTAAGTATCAGGTACATCACTACTACACCGAAGAACACAGCAGAGAGTTTGTAGATTATGGTTGCGAAATCAGACCTCCTGATTTTAATGGTCAATCGTTACCATTCATGAACTCTTCATGTTCGACTGGGTACTAATCGACCGTTTACCGATTGGAAGTCGCTACAATGAAGGTCAAAGATGTGGTGGATACTTGCCTCAACAGGATATCGTCGTCTTCTTTAGTATGTAAACAGAAAGCCACGTTTTCATCGGGCAAAAATGCCAATCCCACGTTCACAACATCTAAGCTGTAAAGCATAAGCCAGAGTCAGGCGTTGTCTTTGAAGGACAAACTTGATGAACGGTAATACAGCAACAGTTGAAGCCCCTTGGCCCTGATACTCAGGAGGGAGGAGGCGTCTCTATTGTTTTCGGAAAGCACTAGATAACATCGACCTAAACCAGATGAGTCATCTATATGTCAGCGGAGTCTTACAAATGACTGAAATGATCCCCTCGACTTCCGCTCACTTGATCGATCGCAGCGAGGATGTTATATTTGAGTTAGTTTGAGTTATATAACGGTCAATATTGTCGTTTCCAGTTTATATTGCTAAAAAAAATGTTAAATCTGTAATAGACTCAGCTAGTATTGCATTGAACGACGCGGCTTACGGTCTAGGTATCACGTAGCCTAAGAAAACAGCCGACATTTTGCGACGCTATGACTGGTTTCCCCGCGAAATGACGTCAGCGCTGGTTTCGCAGATGATTGATAGCCAGAGTCTTCTGGCTTTTTGGTCAGTGGGGAAACGCCAGGGAAGACTCTGAGGACATCCTTTGAGATGATCCTGATCAGGATCGGTGATCCGAGATCACTCGGATCATGATCAAGGATTCATCGGTTCATTTGATGTACATTTGATCCGAGTTATCTTGGATCACAGATCCTGATCCGGATCAACCCCAACTGCGCATGCCTCAGTTGTTAAACGGAAGTAAAATCTTCCAGAACTTTTAACGATGAATTATGATTCTTAGTGAAATATTGGAAGAGAAAGAAAAAAATATAAATTCTACAACGAGTACTTACCAGGCTGGTAAGTACTCGTTGTAATTACTCTTCGTGACCTTTGTTATTCGTTTTATTGTGAGTAGAATCGAATCCCAAGTCTACGGTGGCCCACAATTATCACAACTATCACGGCAAAACCAAAAACTTCAGGGCAAAAACAAAAACATCACGGCAAAACCGAAAACCTCACGTCAAAAACAAAAACCTCACGGCAAAACCAAATACTTCATAGCAAAAACCAAATACCTCACCAAAAAAGCAAATACCCACGGCAAAACCAAAGCTATTTTGCTTTTGCTGTGAAGTATTTGGTTTTGCGTGAGGTATATTGTTTTTGCCGTGAGGTTTTTGGTTTGCCGTGAGGCATTTTGTTTTTGCCGTGAGGTTTTTGGTTTTGCCGTGACAGTTGTGGGCCACTATACAAGTGCTTCTATTATGTAGTTTTATAAACTGTACACAGACGTTATTTTATTTTTCTTTTCGTTCCTTTGGATAATCAGCGAGTTCGAAGCGCGAGAACGAGGTACCCCCTTGCGCTGGCGGTCAATAAATCCCCCGCGGTTTTTAGGAGTTTAAAGAGAAAATAGAGGGTATGTGAACAGGCTAGTAGTTTGATTGCAAAGTCAAGTGTTGAAAACCTTATAATTTATTTTGAAAGGCTCTGATCAGGTCCTAAATTTTTCATTTTTCACCTTATGTGATCCATAAGAGCGTCGACAAGGCTAGTGATATGTTACAGGTGTTATGTGAGATTGCAGCGAGCCAAGAAGACTGGATGGACAGAATAATAAGAAGATTAAAAATTAAATATATAAATAGTTTGCAATTCGTATGTCATGCCGTTTATATTTGTAGCTGATATTTTGGCAAAATAGACTCCTTTACCTTAGAATTTTTGGCTAAAAACCACATTTTGTTAATAACTTTGGTGTGTTAAGCCGAGACTAAAATCCCGAGAATAATAAATTTAAGCCCAGCGTCCTTCCCTTTCAGATTTTTCATTCAACTAAGTTCGCAAACGGCGTACATGTCATGTGATGTTCCCTTGGTTTACCGGACGTTTTAATATTGAAAATCAACTTTAAAATTCAGTTGTAATACCCAGACGTTTGGAGTTTAAAAAAATGCAATAAAACAGGAGCCCACAACCCTGAGAAAACAATTATTCCATTCGCGCTTTTTGACTACGCGCCTCGTTGGCTATCACCTCATATTCAACATGCGCTCATGGAGCTTCATGGAATATTTGTTAAATATACGTTACAGTAAGACCGCTGACAATAGTGATCAAAAGTAGCTTCGCACAGCATGATGTCTCTGAGTATCTTGGCTCAAGTACCCTTGCAGGCAGACTGTTACTTTCCAAAAACTATAAACAACGATATCCTACCGAAAGTTACTTTAAGGCTCAGGCCAAGCGTCGAACTTCTCATGAGAAGAACCAAACTCTAATTTGGGTCGACCTAAATTAAGTTAAGATCTTCTGTCAGATGTCGAACTTAGGACGCTTCGAACCAATCGACTGAATCAGACCAAAAACCAATTTTAGTCGACAAAGGCTAAATATACATCATCATACGAATTTTTAATTGTTATTTGTAATCCTTGAATTGCTTATTTAAAAGGGTGCGTTCGATTGGGAAATCCGGATTTAGATTTTCAAACCCCTTAATGCGGATTTCCCAACCGAACGCGAAATCCGAAAACGGATTTCACCTCCGAGAAGTCCGTCCTCAGGGTGGATTTCAATTAAGAAATCCAAATCCGGATTTTTTGGTTTTCCCTTTTTGTCCTTCGATTGGGAAATCCGAAAAAGGGTTTGCAAAACTGTTCTCGTGAACAGCGGACTATCTTGTGCTAATTTGTTCTAATCCAAGTAATAGTAATGTGATAAGGTTCCTCATTCTTTTCTGAGAGCTTCTCGGCTAGGCGTTTGAGAACGCAGTTGCAGTCGGCTCTCATCCCACCGTTGGTTCGAAAAACTAGGGGAGTGAAAGATCCCATTTCAACGTCCAGCACCCTCTATTGGTACTTCCGCTTTTCCTCCTCCTCCTGCTCCTTAAAGATTGCGGTTGTTGTTTTTCCCCGGATACACTTGGAGTTAACATGCGTTACTCTGACATCAAAAAATGTTGTAACTCCACGAGACCAAAAGCCCCCTGCCTTGAAGTCCAGTCTTGCCTCCGGGCTTGTTACCGGGCTTCTGACGTTGAATCGCTCATTATCGAGAGGTTGTAAGTGTGGTTCGACTTCAACGTTGGTGCAAACCTTACCAATAAGAGAGGTAAGTAGGTTGTGAACACCATCGTGTCTCTGCGACACGAACCCTCCCTTTTTGCATGACAGGGCATGGCAGACGGAATACTTCTCACCACAAACACACTTGCTGAGTAAGTCGGACCAGGGCATATTATACCTTAAACGCAGAGAGTCTCTGAATTCTTGTTTATTCAGCACCAAGCCTTGATCGACAAGGGGCATTGCGGTGAGCCATGAGCTCGCACCCTTGTCTTTCGATTGCAGTTAACTGACCACAGCAGATCCGAGGGTAGAGTGGAATCAATACTTTCCATTCTCGATTTCAACGACGCAGTTTTCAAGGCTTGATGTTGTCTTTTTAACTCCTCCGTTGAAGGAGGATTGGAGCTCTAAAAATAACAGAGAAAATTATACGAGAAAATGCTTTTGAACACAAGAAAAAGAAACTCGGGCTAAATTTAACCCCGGGTTAAGCGCTAATCGGCCTTCGAACAACTGGACCCTAGGCTTAAAACGCGAAGGCAATATCACGAATCAATTACATTACCGTGTCCGCTGGAGTGCTCCAAGAAACAAAACCACTAAATCAAAAGTCAGTTTTGACTCAGTTTAACTCATCGTTTATTTTCATATCAGCTTTTCCAGATTTAACATGTTTTAAAAAAGATACACGATGGTTATTTTACACCTACATTAAAGGAGCTGTGTCACGAAATTCAGTCAAATTAGGAAATTACAAAATGTCCGTTGGTTAAAATAACATAACAGAAACAACAGATGCCACGGATGGGCAAAACTGAAGAAGATTGAAACGGATTGAAATTAGGGTTTTTGAAAACTGTTCAGCCTAACAGTTTTTCAAAGTTGATCCCTGCTGCTTGAAACTTCAAAATAATGTTCAGAAGACATATTTGTTTGTCTCGGATCTCTGATTTTGTCATATACCTGTAATTTCTTTGCTTACTTTAATTTCCATAGCGATTGAGGGCGAGTAACTGGCAAAATTAAACAAAATGAACTGGACTGCCGTGACACAGCCCCTTTAAGGCTTTCCTCTCTAAATGAATCTTGCTTTGCAAGAACCAGTAGTAGTGTAAACAAAATTAATGCTATGTAGCACAGGAAAGATTAGTATCCATAAATCCTTAGAGATCGCTGGTCTTTTACCAAAAACTCAGCGACCGCTCCGATTTATGTCAATCATGCAGCGTCTCACGAAGTGAAGTCTCACGACGACAAGGAAGTCAAAAACTGTGATTTCTATTCTTATTTCAAGCAGGTTCACAGCACGCGACTGCTCATCACCAGAACATCCCCAGAACCTTTTCGGGGTTTAGCCGGTGGCACATTGCTCCGATTGAAACCTGCTTCGCTCCAGATTGAAAGGAAACAGGAGCCAATTACTATGGAGTTTCCATCTCCCACTTATGACGTTTATACTTTGGGTTATTTTTAGGCCAAGCTTTGCCGTGAAAACTACTCTGTCGCGTCCGCATAATATTTTCAGTATGGGAGAAAACAAAGACAGCAGAAAGAAGGGCCAAATTTTGAAACAGTGGACCTACACTGGTAATAGGCTCCAGAGGGAAACAAATATGGCTCCTAAAATACCCAAAGATTCTTCTTACTTAATGAGTATTTTGGAATATACGAAATTTTGAATACGAGGCTCCTGGAAACTAAGATTAGTTGAACCAGCATAGTATTTTAACACTCTCCTAGTTCGACCGCTCAATGTCGCTGAACAATAAACAAGTTTTCCTACTCAGCTATTTTCTACGACCCGAGAAAAGTACCACTTAACTCTTTCACTACCAAAGGTGATCAAAATCAAAATTCAACAAAATTTCCAAATTTCATCGTGTAAAATGCTGAAAACCAACGTGAAAGTACTTTCAAAGAGGTTTCATTTGAATGGTCACACAAAGGATTTTGTAAAAAGACTCCAGATTACGAACCACCGGACGAGTCTCTGTGATTCACTCTGTCTGTGAAAGGATTAACTTCTGTTAAAACGAAAAACTTAAGTAACTGGTACATTTTTATCTTCTTTCTTACTGAGGGCAGAACAAAACGGTCCATCCACGACATGGGAAACTGGGACAAGTCTTGTGGTCATTACAAAAAAAACATGACAATAGTCTTTGTTTCGTTGTCTACTCTGAGAATTCATTTATTTTACTGCTTCTATCAAAGCTGATATTGTATTTTCCTCGCCTCTGACCGTCTACCTCAAAAATACATTTCTGACATGATTGAGGCGATCAGCTTATTGTAAAATAAAAGTTTTATCTACTACCAAGGAGCTTAAGACATCATGTTAAAGCAACCTCGCAACTCCCCTTCTACGAGACAAGGGAAGGGAAAGTTTTTATTACTGTAATGGAGTTAAGGATTCAATCCAACAACCTCGCCTCTATCCTAGCGTGTCGCCAAACCTAATGCCAAAATATCTGGAAAATCTCACGGACAGAGAAGACGAAGTTTGAATTGTTGTTTTAAACAAAATCCTTAGCTACCTGGTAAGTCAGGTCAATTTGTGCACTAAAAACCACATGGGACAAATTATGTTATTTTTTTCGACTATATAACGCCAGTTCTGTTTTTGAAAGCTCTCTAGAAGGATCAGGCTTCCTGGGCGCTGTTTTTCGGCGCGTCAGGTTCACTTAGGCCTCTCGACTAATGGACAGAATTTTGAAGCTTCAAAACAACGCACCACGCTAGTAACAACGACATGTACACTATATCAGTGAAACAGTTTGGTCCGTCATATAACGTACCAGTTCAATTTCGATGCCAAAGGATTTGTTTCCTTTAATGCTCCTCATGCTCGAAATCGTCGGCTTATTGGATCATTTTCCTTTGACAAGATTTCTATTTTATTGTTAGCTTTCTTAACAGACATCTAACTTAAAAGTAATTAGCAGCGTAAACTGACTTCAAACTAGGAATTTTTAATCGTCTGCTCATCCTACACAGTCACGAATCACGTGACTTACATGAAAAAAATCCGACGGGGACTTCAGAAGGCTAGGGGAAAAATTCAGGAAATGAATGGTTTACCACACCCCAAAGAGTAAATTAACTTTTCTATATCCATGGCGAATATTCCTAAATTAAAGAAGCATAATCTTGTCGTGGGCTAACTGTTTTGTTCTTCAACCTTCAAACCATTACCTCAACAAACAAATTCTCCTTACGAGTAGCTTATTATTACATACAACATCTAATGAGAATATAAAATCCCCTGCCGCACAACTGACGATTTTCCATATTGCACTAGCTTACATAATTCTATCATTAAAACGTAAGGAGAATTTGGGAGTCGACGAGCAACTTTTACATCACCGTAGATACTATTTTAATGTGCCTGTCAATAGTACAATCTACAGACGTCCAGGAATGCGACTGGGAAGTATACATTAATCAGCATTTACCATACAAAATATAATTTTTACATAAAATAGTGTCCCGTCAGAGTCCAGGTGGGAAGCTGTTGACTTCGCCCTGTTCATTCACGGCTGCGCCGTTTATCTTGTATGTCACTTTTAATCTCATTCGTAAAGGTTGCTATGGAAACAAAGCAGAACACATTTAGAGCACGGAGGCACAGAGAAGCTGAGATACGCAAACTATTCGGCTTCTATTTGGGGTTCAATTAGTACTGTGCCATAAAATCACATATCAAGTTTGAAAGTGATTTGTTGAAAACTAACCGAGATATAGCTTCGCAAAGTCGTATAATATTTACAGACGATTATATGGTGGGGAGGGAGAATGTCTGGGAAGGGAAGAGAGTGTCTAACCGCACGTAACAGCTCCTGATAATACACATACAGATTTGGCCAAGCCCAAAGAGGTAGCTTCCGTTAAATACTTGTTATTAAAACAAACTCGTGGAAGCCACCAAGCACCCCGGCATGCACTTCCGGACAAGATCACAAAATTCCGCCCGAGCCCTTAATACCCTAGTCTCCTACACGGCCGTTTTTAGTGTCGTCACGTCAGGAGGGTTGCCTGACGGCACTAAAAGCGGCTGTGTAGCAGACTATCAATACCCCTACAAAATAAAATACCACTTTGCGCTCGCGATCCCGCAATGAAAAATTGTCGATGGTGACCCTGGGCCTACGATAACGTGAAAATGGCCGCGGATAACCATTTTGATAGTTGTCATCCTGTCAATTGACTTTGACACGTATCCCACAATAGATTACATGGGCAGGTTGACGGACGGTCACGTGACAATCAAAATTTCTGGCATGGATAGATAACCAGTTTTACTAACCCGCGGTGCTCCGCGCGGGGGAGTTCCGCATGTAACTTTAGTTGGGCCTTTACAGAAGCCAACATTTAATACTGAAGTCTTATCCAGCCTTATCCAGTCCATGTCATGTTTGAAGTGAAAGTTGTGTAAGCAACCAAATTTAATATTTTACAGACGTCAGACGGGAGTGGTAAGAAGACAGGAAAATTATCGAGAGGATTCGGTCTCGGCTTTAACTTCGACGTTTTTGGGTGAATTCAAAGATAACAAAGCCTAAAATAATAACGTGATTCATATAGGGCTTTTAGTTTTGTTCAGGTGATATTCCAAAAGATCCGCGTAGACAGCGACTTTGACAAAACAAACGTCCTTCACAGCTCCGCTATTTACAGTTAGAATTAAAATTCAAGGCGAATTTTATTTTCGTTTCTGCAAAAACGAAACAAATAGAAGCTACAAGAAATACTTTGGCTATGTTGTTCTATAAATTATTCTGCTGCACTGGGGCGTGCTTGTGCAAATGTAAAAAAAGCTCTGAGCAGAAGCGTTCCATACCAAAGAATGGCGTTGACGTTCTATAAATTATTCTGCTGCACTGAGTTTAAAATTTTTTTAATCTTGGATTGATTTAGTGGAGTGGTTATACAACTGTGAAGCACGTACGAGAAGCTCTGAGCAGAAGCGTTCAAAAGAAAATGGATGGCGTTGACGTCACCAAACGAAGGTTTAAAATCCTGCGGGCATAAACGAAAAGCTGCTTACAGCAAAATGTTTGACATCTAAGAGCGGAAAGGGTTAACAAAACGTTTATTTATCAACTGTTCCCTTCACTCAAACCCACACTGGGTTTCTTTATTACACTTTACTTGGTTTAGAGCTGTGCATTCAGCAGTCATAAGAAACACAATAAACGGCATGCATTACAACAAGTAAAGTATTAACATAAAAAGACAAGAAAACAACCTTAACAATACGTCGAAGGACTGCTTTAATAAAGAATTGAAAAAAGCACCAGTTAAATTGGACGCCAAATGAAACCGGTTTTATTAACTTGGCGTCGGCTGGGAACTGTTAAAGTATTGAACATAATTTTCAGACAAAAGGTTCAATTGCGTAGGCAGAGAAGCTCTTTATTAAGAGACAACAGACAAATGCTCACAACAAACCGCATACAAACTCCTGAATAACAGAAACAAGAGAGAACGTGTTGATATCAATAGAACAACAAGGCGTTCACCTCTACGAAGACAAAGCCCTGTGGGCGGTAACAAGTTATTTAACAAAGAGGTTAAGCAACAGAGCAGAAAAGCGGCTTGTGAAACAGAAATAATTTATCGCTACACGAGAGAAAACAAATTAAAACCAGCAAGTTTTGAGGGCATATTGGAAACGTCGTCGGAAACATGTGCGCGGACACAACAGAGTAAACAGTAACGTTAGACAACATCACTCTGTTCTAAACCATTTGAGTGGAAATTTAGTACACTGCAAAACAGGCGGTATTTTTTTTTCTTTTTTGAAAGGGCATACGTCCGACTAAGTCACCATTTTGATCGCACAAAACAAAAATGTGGTCGGACTCAATCAAGGACGCATTACGCGTCTGTAACGAAAAATGTGCATGGTAGGTAACTGATTCGCAGGTAGACTGCCGTGAATTCACTGCAACAATGTTATTTCGTCGTTATGACAATTCATACGTGGAATCTATTCAATTGCAAAATTATAGTCTTTGGTATTTACTACCTACCAAAATTAAGACTGAAGACACGGGCCAATTTAAGTCGACATTGTCCGACAGCCGACTGTTATTTTCAGATCTACGTTTCACAGGCGATCGCTTCCCTTGGGGCTCATGATTCGCGCTCGACTGTAAAAGGTACAAAAATACCAGCTGTTTTTCAACAGGCTCTATTCAACAGGAAGGCTGCTGTCAACTGAACATGTGTGTGGCCGGCAGTGCTTCAACTCTCACGTGTTATCAAACAAACTTTCATCAGCCGACCAACGAGGCTGATTTCAACAACAAGTTTTTAGCCAAGAGTTTGATTATTGTGTTCCAATAACCAGTGAAAACGTGAAAGTTCAAAGAAACAACAGAAAAACCCTCACGCCCACTTGTGTTCATCAAGTAGTCACGTTGGGAACCACGTTAAACAACCTTATACACGACAACGTAAACAACACTCTGCAGTACCGCTGACAACTTCACTCAAAATAATCAAGTAATTACAAAACGCCTTAGCACCGGATAGAGTTAAAGAGCCCGAGAGCCAGCTGAACTAAAACAGAATAGAAGACAAATGTGTTCAGTTCAGGGGGCTCTGCACCAATATCAGGATCCAAAAAGTTCTTGAATGTTATTTTCAGTGAACAATAAGAACCCAACAGAAAGAAAGTTACATGAATGAGCAGTAACGACTGTTTCCAATTAAAACGAGTAATAGAAACCACGAAATACCTAAATAACACGCCCCGCTTCCTACCTGGGGGGTACTTCCTTATATAAGCCATATAGGAATGTTCCGCCCCATCGGGTAGGGCTTTGGCGCCGTTTTGGTCTGAGAACGCGTATACACTTTGCCCATTTTGGTCTGGAATCGGGTATGGTTTTTGAGGGAACTACAGAGTGTATGAACGTATTGATCGTTTCAATTCCAGATTACTAAGAAAAAAATAGAAGTATGCGAACTCGAAATGGATTTGAAGAATTGTTTTGTTTGCGGTCTAATCTAAGTAATGATAACATAATTTCTGCCAAAAGGCCAGGTCTGAAAACGGGTATGGATTTTAGAGGTCTGATCTGAAGACGGGTATGGAAAATTAAATTTTCTGGTAGGAAACAGGGTCAGGATTTGGAGAACCGGGCGTTGATTCTACTCCTGATTGGCCTTATAAATTAACAACAACAAGGATTCCCTGATCCACGACAAAAACGACGATGCCTTCATTTGAATCAGGTAAAACTGTGGAAACTCAATGTAATGAACCAATAAAGGTTCTATATATCATTGGAAGTCCTCGAAATGACGAATGATTTTCTTCCCCCCATTAATACCTTCAAAATGTACAGTGGAAAGAACCTATATAACGAAGTCATGTAACCAAACTTACCCCACTGATAGTAAAATATAGAAAACGAACACATTTTGCCAGTCCCTTGGCCCTTCGCTGTATTGAGGTTCCACTGTATATATTACATCCTAATATCCTAAAAACCTTATAAATAACACCAGGATAAAAACTCCTCAATGTCATTCCCCTACTGATCACGTTACACAAGGGCAGAAGATGGCAATGTTCGGAAACCAAAATTTAAAAGTGAAAGTGCAAGAAGCATGATTGTACCTGTTGAGGGTTTGCGACTTTAAGTCCTTGATTAACAGCTCCAGAGTTATTCGGCGGTATAACATTACCAGACGGGCTTTGAAGCTGTAACTGGAATGTCTGTGAACATGAGAAAACAGTATAAAAAAGGTGAATATGTGGTGCTCAATCACACTTAGTTCATTTTCACTGTTTATCTACAAGTCTGAATCAAGTCACCCTTGTTGGTTCTTCATCATCAGCAGTACGCTAGACAAGAGTGATACGGGTTAGTAGAGAAGCGATCACTCAGTAGTTTACTCTAGGGTCGAGCCTGTGGAAACCCCCAGGGCATTGACTCGAGTTTCAAACGGGTGATGCCGAGGGGTGTGGCAAAACATCAGCTCAGTTCAATTGGCGGAGAATACATTTGAACTGCTAATCTTACAGTACAAAGATCCACCCTAGACATGAGTTGTCATAACCTGCATGATTCTGTTGCAGACATATTTAGGTGGGACAGATGATCTTTTGGTGATGCGAACGGTGGTCTCTTTAGGTGACTTGCTTTGTTTTGTTTTAAAAGTATAAATATAAAATTTTAAAAAAGGTGAGGCAAGGGCGCCCAGAGAAGCCAATAAGGCTTGTGAATAAGACTACTTTGTCTCCCTAATTGTCTCACTGGCAGATCACCTATCACTTCAACCCACTAGAAGTGGCAAGTAAGAGCGGTGTGTGACAAGCCAGTGGGAGAGTCTAGTTAGGTAACGATCTTCATGTGAGGCTACAGATGACTGAAAAGATTTGAGCAGATATTACGACAACTACCCTGGGGTGCAGGGATCACCCCTTGGAGTTTTGAAAAATTGAAAAACAATTGACAATTGAAAAAATGGTCAAGGAAACAGTATAACTGTAAGTCCATACCTTGGGAACAGCAGCTTGAAATACGAAGTCAGTCATGGGAAAGGTGAGTGAGTTTGTAGCTGTTACCATAATAGACACCACATTAGATGGGTTGCCTGGGACCTTTTCGAACGCGAAATCAATCTTTAAACCATTGCTCTCAAACGCTGTAATGGAAGGGAAACCTATCCAGAGAGAAGACAAGCTTCAGTTCAGAGCATCATAGATTGATTGCAAGAATTACTATAGCCAAGGGTGTTTTGCAATTTACTTTTCCCGACTTAAAATCATAGTTAAGACATTTTGACTCAATACACTTCTTAACAAGACGGGGCAAAATTCGGAGCCACAAAGTACAATACACTGGAACCCCGCTATACGGTCACCTGTTATTGCGGACAGTTAATACATCTTCAAAATCCGTCAAAGGTGATGGCAAACACATGGATAAAGTCAGGCGGATTGTCCATCTAAAATTAACACCGTAACATCTTCAAATTAACACGTATTATCTGTCTGACGCGAATAACCCGATCACGCGATAATCCGTGTCTAGTGTAAAAACAGCCATTAACGGGTTTTGACTGTACTGCAGACTACGCTCCCCTTAGACAAATAAGCGTTATCATCATCCTGGCTGTGCTTGAACACCTTGTATTGGCTTCGATGAAGCAGGCGAAGACATTAATCTTATGTCCTGTGTATTCTCACGGCAAACTAATGGCAAGAAGTGCCAGAAAGGCGAATCATAAGTCGAAAGACAATCTTGCGCTGCATGGATACCTACAAGGCTGGAACTTGTACTGTAAAACCGAGTTTCGTAGGATACTCGTCAAAGTTTGCTAAATCTTTCAAATTTTTACATCATAAGATTTTTTTTCCTCTCTGCATTCTTTCCATGTCCCCGATATTGAGCGTCGCATTTTTTTAAAAAGGTGAAATAAAAACAGCTGTAAAAATTTGACGAGTACTGTAGCTATCCCAGGCACTAAACAAAAATGAACAACCCGAGTTCTTGTTACAAGTACAGAATGTACTCAGTAATGCAGTATTGAAGGATAACTGATAAAGTGTTACAAACCAGTAGAGAAATCCTGATTCTGAGGGGCGAGGGGTTCGTGATTCATCTGAAGGAGAGCCGGCTGCCCAGCAGGAGATGGATTCAGCGGTCCTCCTCCATCTAGCAAGTTTGGCATGGCGGGTGATGGCGCCATCATGTTCATTGGAGGAGGGCCTGGACAATAGTAAAACAGAATTAGTCACTTTGAAGAGTACCGTAATATTCATCATGTACGCCTTAATGCAATGTCTTTCGTTCTCGGAACGAACGGCAGGTACTTTGCACTCGAACTGAACAGTTAACGACACTATCAAAGTGTAGTTCCTCGGTTTATACGGATGGCTTGATAATTTCACAACAGGAAACAAAAGATTCAACTATACCCACACCGCAACAGCTACGAACCAACAACGATTTGTGTCGCGTGCATTTAGAAACACTGGCCACCTGTTTATACTATCATCAAGAGCTGAAGCTTGATAAATTCAGAAGCACACTTGCCATTTGTTTTGTTCTAACAAAAGAGACTTGAATAATTACACCCCGCGAGGATAAGCCTACACAACGAATATAAGGGTATTTTATAAGTGGCCTGGTGAATTTGCTCACATTTCGGTCTAAAATCCCGTTTAACGTAAATCTCTATTAAACACCCCCCGCGGGCCTTATTTATTTCAAGCACATTTGAGGGAGGCTTATTTAATTTAGCAAAGATGATGGTATCAATTCGCCATTCAAAGTAGAACTCCAAATCCTGGTTACATGAAGTTGGAGGTCAAGTCACGAAACCGAAGATCAAAAACAAATCCGCACTACCAGCACGTGAATCAATCCACATGACGTGTTACAGTCGTCTTAATCAATACAGTCTATCATTTAAGGAATAGGGAAAGGGGAGCTTAAAAATTTCTTCCCCTAAAAGGGGTGTGGCTTATTAGAGAGGGCGCACTTACTTGAGAGAGGGGTTAATAGAGGATATATGGTAAATAGGGAGCCAATGCTTCGAAGCAAAACAAGCTAAAACAATCTTTACCAATCTGCACCACTACAGCCAACAAACACTTTTACTATAAAAGGGACATACCTGCATTTGTTGAGCCGAGATCCAGACCTCCTAGTAAATCTAAAAGTTCCCCGCCTGATGAGGCTGCAGGGGCCGGTGGTTGGACTGGGGCGGGTGTAGGTTCAGGTGCAGGGCCTCCACCAAGTAGATCCAACAGCGTGTCAGACTATGATTTGATAGGAAAACAAAGGAAATCATATTTAACAATTATTCACCGCAGACGAAGTTAATATAACTGCCCGTTTCTGATTGGCTCAACCCCCCCGGCTCATTCTTCAAACTTGGAAGACGTCTGCGATATCTGGTAAAATGACGTCATTAGGTAAATCGGCCGCATCTTTTGGAAACCGTGTTCTGATTGGCTAACCGAGCGGGCAAGATGAAGCGAATCTAGAGTTCTGATTGGCTACCCGAGCGAGCAAGATGGAGCAAATCTAGTGTTCTGATTGGCTACCTATACCCGAGTGGGCAAGATGGACTCATCTCGCTCGTTTTGTCTCGCACGAGACGATATTGTTTCAGGCCACATAGTAAATCCTTTATTGCCCGAGTTTTGCTGAATATTTGTCTCGCTCCTTTTTTACGACAAATATCCAGCCATGTCGACCTGACACCAGGTCAATAATGCATATCTTATGCCACAAATAACGAACAACAACAAACTTAAGTAACAGTTATTAACATCAGACGTCTTACCGCTTGTTTTGCAGGTTTTGATTCAACTACAGCTGCAAAGCAAATAAAGAAATAATAAGCCGAAATCCATAAAAGAGTACCAAGTTATGGCGAGTAAAATTTAATCTCTCTTACAACACTCTATAACGACAACATCGGCAATCATAACATAGAAAAAGGAGTAGGGCTGCAATGATACAGTTTGCCACAATATGCTGTGTAATCCAACACACTGACCATAATTCCAACAATATAGTATGTAACAATTCCCCCAAGCTGGAACAAACATTAACTGCAAGTACATGTATTTTACTGTTTCACAATGTCGCAATACAGTCGACTCTCTCTTAACGGACACCTCTGTAAAACGGACACTTAGAGTTGGTCCCTGCCTTTGCTTATTCCCTTTATTTGACTCATTATAAGACGGACATCTCTCTAAGACGGACACTTAGTGCCGGTCCCAAAGATGTCCGTCTTAGAGACAGTTGACTGTATCTTTAACTATCAATGTTCGTATTGCGATAGATAATATCTCATCGCACAGGTATATCATCGCTGTCAACTTAATTACATCATAGTCTTTGCACAATAATCTCCACCCTGATAAAATACTCCTTTTTCTTAAGTGTCAAGAATGTCAAAAGTGTATCGAGAATTTGGAGCCAAAATAATGAAAATTAAGGTAGCGGCAATAGAGTTCTAAAGTGATGACGTCATAAAAAAGTAAATTTGTGAAATTATGGGATCTGTCAGGATGTTCTGAAAGAACATCGTCCAAGAGGCCTACTTGAAAAATTAGCATTTCGGGGCAATATGTTGTTCTTTCAGAATATCCCGACAAATCCCATAATTTCACGAATTTAATTTTCAAGACGTCACACTTTAGAACTCTATTAACGCTCCACTTAATTAATGGCGCTACTTAAATCAACGCGAATTTTAATTTCATGAAGTAACTGCAATAGGTTTTGTCTTCGGACCCAAGTATAAATTTTGATACTTCGAAACTGATGTCGAACTAAGTTTTTTTTTTTTACCACGTACCTTCTTGTTTTACTGTTTCAGTCTCGGGTTGTGAAGGCACTTCTCCATTTGTAATTGGCTCAGTGGTCTTTGATTCAAACACTGGCATCCTCTCCAACAGAGCAGGCCTGTAGATCAATCAACTAACATGTTACTTTTTAACATCAGCCTTCAATCTAGCTGTGCAAGTACAGGATCTGGGTGTAAAGCAAAAATGAACAGGGAGGGAAAAATTCCTTAGGCGCTCAGCAAAAAAGAACTGGCAAGCCAAACCGATCATTTTGATGATCAAAAAAGCTTTTTTTTCGAGCATGTTTGCTTAATTCCTCCACACGCTTTGCGTCTTATGTGAGAATAGACTGATAAGGCTGGACAATCCTAACTAATTAATAGTGGATTTCTCTTCCACTTCCTGCTTATGTAAGCGCTCTTAGTTACCATCATCCTTAGTCACAATGAGCAAAGACACGTTAAACAACAGTCGAAGCTCTCCCTGTGACCACTCTCGTAAGCGACCAGCTCTAGTTGCGACCACCTTTCTGAAACCCCGTTTGAACTGTGACTTAAACTTTGTACTGAAAAGCTTTAGTAATCGACCGCTCCCTTAAGAGCCTGTCCCAGGTTCTCAGATAGTGGGGAAGACGCGAAAGTGAAAGGTAAGCGAGTGGACTCGACTTTCTCGGAGCCTGGAACAGGCTAATCCCACAAGGGACCATGACCACTTTTGGGATTACCCAACTGGACTTTTCCTTTGTTTTTAATCTCTCTCCCGATAAAACAGGAACTGTGAGTTTATTGTACGGCATCAAAATCTTCTGATGTAGATCAACGCAATCTTGCACTGATATTTAGATTTGGGCTTATTTTGGTCTAAAAAATTGGACGTAGCGTTTATTAATTTTCTTTTCTTTTGGGGGGGTGAATTATTAATGCGTTTCTGAGGCTCTCGTATGAGACCTCCCTCTATTGTTTTACTATGCGGTCGCTTACCAAAGCTCCTTCTCGTAAGCGACCAGTTCTAGTTACGACCACTTTTTCCCAATACAATACAATACAATACAATGTTCTTTATTTTGAGAGGGTAGATTTATTAACCCATGCGGTCGAAATATATACTTACATACAATAATTAATTGAATGTAACATTTAAAAGCAATATAAAAGTTTAATTAACATAGTTCCTTCTCGTAAAAGCGACCAGTCCTGAATGAAAAGTTCACGTAGCTTGCGCTTAAAAAAGCAGAGAAAGAAATCAGAGACCAGTTCTTTTTCCCAGGAGGCAGCTGTAAAGGAGAACATTACGAGAGTTTGCGGGGCTGAGGGACTGTCCTGATACACTGAGCACAGATACAAAGGAGGGACATAACTTCAGGATTTGTAACAACATTCATTTTAGTGTCCACTGTGAAGTGGAATAGGTGTAACATGGTCTCCTGATAACAGTTTAGATAGTTTAAATTCTTCCGTAAGTGCTACATTCTGATGAAACAAGCATAGATTTAGTTTTGGTAGATCTAAGTGTAGATTGTGATTTAGGTTGCGTTCTATTGATAACAGGATCTTCTGCAAACCCTAGAGACAGAAGCAGTTCTTTGAGGATACTCCCTGAGGGACCCCACGGGGTACCAGAGACCGTTAGCGGTTGGTCAGAGCTTGCAAACTGTAAGATATTTACCGATTCATTTTAGGATGAAAGATCCCCTAACAGTTTAGATAGTTTAAATTCTTCAGTGTTTGCTTTACATCACCAAATCAGACAATTTAAATGGTCACGTAGCAAGATTACGACTGGAAATTTTACAAGGTTAAGAAAAAAAGAACTGCACTGAAAGCTACTAACCAAATTCCGTACTTTGTTTCACTGACATACATTACAATTTGCACTAACATAAAAAGGCCACATACCTCATACTGTCATGCTTCTTAAAGAGAGCTCCAAATTCAACTCCTCTTTGCTGTAATTCTGCATCCATGTTGACTTCAAATTGATTAATTATATTCCTAATCCGTCTGAAAATGATGAAAGAAAACAACTTCTTCCACTATATCTAAAGTGTTACGTTATTAAGCTGCAAATAGGATGCTCTAGTAATAAGCTGCTGACAGAACTTATCATGGAAAGTCCAGTGTCGTGTAAAAGGGTGCAGTAATACATGATGTACATAGACAGCCACTGGCAGGATCAAATGTACACTGTAGTACACAAGCAGTTAGGTATTAAGTTCCAATCAGACCTCTAATAAGCTTCCAACCTCAGACAAGAGGCAAGTGGTCAGTTAACAAAGGTTAGCTACTAAAAAATATAGGAAGTCTAACTTAGAACGAAGTTTAAGACAGCGGCAAAGACAGATGGACCTCAAATTTTCGTTCACAGATGTTTCTGGATGCCATATGATTTTACGTTCAACGCCAAGGAGAACGCTATTTCAATTTTTGAGTCGTTCTTTTCCGCATTGGGTTTTTTTCTCGGCGACTACGAGCCTCTCTTTTTTGTTTTCACTGGCCTGCGGGTATTTTGAGAGAGAGTTTTGACCTTAGATCGCAGTCTAATCAAAACGGACGTGATGCTTTACCTTGCAACCCCCTCATAACCTTCATCCACACCGTAACCTTTGGTTACTAGTTTTAAGTAGATTAATGGTAGTCTTACATCCTGAATGGAAAACAACAACTTTGCACGTGTACGCTTTTTGAGCCGTCGTTTCACTAACAGCCTAATTGTTTGTTAATGCATAATCTTTGGTTGTGATCACGCGCGTTTTGACCTTCTCTCCCGTGCAACTTAAGCAAAGCAGAGCGTTGGAGCAATAGAGTTTTGACCTTAGATCGCTGATGCTCTCACCCACCCCGTAACCTTTGAACTGTAGAGAATGTAGTGGCAGTAGAATGTGAACTGTAGAGAATGCTCTCTAGAACATCCAAGACATCACTCTCTGTAATCTACAAAGCAAGGTGGTAGTAAGTAAAATTCACACTGAGAAAAGAGGGAACTTAATACGTAACAAGAAAGAACCTGGAAAAGTGGCTAAAAAGGGTTTCTCTTTCATTACCAACAGATTGACAACAATTTTCCATACTATACTCAAAGCACCCAGAGAAATGACGTCAAAACGTTTAAAACTCAAGTAGAGCCACGAGCCGCAGGAGAGTGGTTTCACTGGACGCTCGGTAAAAAGTATAGGCCATGGAAAATGAGAAAAACAAAATAACTGCGCTACCATCACGTCATTTTCATGGTCTATACTCTTATCGACCATAGCTCTTGACCAATCACCGCACAAGAAATGAATCACTTCACTGCTAAACTCATTCACTGCAACCACCTAATGGTATGTCATTCTGTTGGTCAAACCACAATTCTTTATTTGCATGTTCTGTCAGAAACTCTTACTTTTCTGCATTTTTTGTAATATTATTTTTAAACAATAATTGTCTGAGCAAAAGTCTGATTAAACCAATACAACTTAATGTGGAACTAACAATTGTTTCTGGTGGTCTCCTTAATAAATAATACTATGGTTTACTTTTTTATACAAGAAACTTCTCATGCTTACCAATAGCCTGTCGATGAGATTAAGTAAGGGATCATTTTTTTTTAACTCAATAATGATGTGATGCAACATTTTTTTCAAGTGGTCTCTCAACACAACAGATTTTTGTGTCAGAACTTACATTGAGAGATTCATCTTCTTCAATATCTACAAAGAGCTGATCACCATATTCACCACAGCACCAAGATCCCACTTGCACTAAAGGTTGCTAAAAAATCACAAGGCACGTAGTAGTAACACACTAAATAATCAGTCTCAATAAACAATATTATGCTTAGACTTTGACCAAGCACTCCAAGGAGCTCTAGAGTTGGGGGAGAAAAAAAAAGAGAGCCTGCTAGCAAGCTTGCATGTTATATCTTTGATTAAAGATCTATCTTTGTATACACAATGACTCAGAATACAAAAGTGTTCACGTCAAAACTGCATAATTCAGACACCAAGGCTGAGTTGTTAAAAACCTGGTCAGTACTTATCCCAGGATAACTGGGAACAGAGCGCGTAAGTCGTTATAATCTGGAGGTGTCTGTTACGCCACAAATTGTCAAATTGTTGTGTTAAAATTATTTACTTCGTTAGTCAGGATTTACTAGTTGTATATTTTAAGGTGAGGCAAGATATTACATTCTACATTAATAGTTGTAAAACACAATAACATGTATTACCTAAACGCTTTACATTAATTTTTGATTACTACCACATTTTGTATCAGGTAATATATATTTCTGAGCAATCCCCAAAAGACCACAACAGTACTGAACGTCACAAAGAAAAGATACAGTGTAGGTAAACATACTTTAGTATCTAAAAAATTAAAAGTATTCAAAAGTATATGAAAAATAAGGTAAAAAGAAAGGCAAAACATTAAGCAGTCAATTTTACACTTAAAGAGCTGCTTATCCCTAACTCACAAAAAAGAACTGTTTTTAAAAATGCATAAAAATAATTTGTATTATTTCTTATTAATATTATTGAAAAAAATTTTGAATAGGACAGAGGAATACCTGGCTGATGTCATTTTGCATCGCTTTGTACAAACTCTGCACAGCATAACCTTGCAGTTCACTCGACGTCGACACCAAGTAAACAAGGCTGGGAACTGCATCATCGCGTACAAAACTTCCTGCCTAAAGTATAACAATACAACATACAATAACCATCAAAAATTGTCGCATTGGTGTCAAAATCAATACAACAAAATTCTACATTCTTTTGCCCTCATATTGCAGAATGTTTATTAATCATTCTTTTCTCAGAACAAAAAGAGCAGTGTGTTGAACGATAAATCATTGGGCGGAATGAGAAAAAAAAAATTAATTATTTGAAGAAAAACAAATTGCTCCACCATCAAGTCCTTTTCCATGGCCTGTATTCTTATCGACAATAGTTCTCGACCGATCAGCGTGCGAAAAAGCTCTCAGTTATTATGAAATGCATGTTATTATATAAAAAGCATACCGTAAACTTCCGTTTATAAGCCTTAGGCTTCTATAACTTTGTAACGAGTTTTAGAAAGGCTTATAAAGAAGGGGCTTATAGCCAGGAGAGATTATCACTGGATTAAAAAATGGTTTAAAACAAGCAACATAGTAGTGCTGATCAAGACACTTTTCACTTTGTTTCACTTTTCACTAACTTTTTGCTGCCGGGCATCAGCCGGCAGCAGACCATATTCTTGAGCGATTTGAGATTTTTTGATCAATGGTTCCATGGTTCGATGTTCAATCAATCTGTGACTGCAGCGCTGTGCAGTCAGTGGTTTGCTTAAGCAAGTGCTTAGCTACCGCGCCTGTTTTTCTCTCAGGAGCAACCCACCATTTTGTTTTGCTCTCATGTAAGATCTGTGCAGAAATCGTAGTTTATCGAATGCTTGCTGTCTTTATAAACGGCCTAAACGGTAAGAACAGTTCAAGAAGTATTGTATGGATCATTTGTTCGATTTATATTTTTATTCAGGTTTCAAGATTAGTTATAGCGAGTATTCTTTTGTCACACAGATTGTTATCTCGGGAATCAGGATTGTAAGTTACATAAGTGAACGGCATGTGCTGTACATCTACCTGACCTGTGAATAAACAAGTTTTGGCCTTTACGTTATTTGTTCGCAACTCATCTCATCCTGTGTACGATGATTGTTCGGTGAACAAACAGCCTATCAGCACTGCTGTTGTTTTAGAATTTAGTGAATTATTAAAATGAATTACAAAATGGTATTGAAACCTTAGCGAGTTATATGAATGTAAGCATATTTGTCATCGTGATCGGTTCATTTTTTATATTACGCTCTGAGTGTTTCATAATGCCAACAAGTCTAAGTTATTGACTTCAATAAAAAAGAATTCATATGTTCAACTGTTCTACAAACTGTCTTTGTCCTATTCGCATCGCAACGAACGGCAGCACTTCCCCTCTCAATGACAACTTCTAGGAAGTGCGTTCGAGCCTTTTTAGGTTTACTGACAAATGTAACGTTATTTCCTAATAAACTGATGCTGCAAAACGCTTCCTCAAAACAAAACAAAACGACTACGAAAAAAAGAAAAAGGTCTCACCCTGCAGGAATCGAACCTGAAACCTTCAACGTGTCGGTGCAGCGCATTATCCATTGCGCCACACAACCGTTGCTACGACTGTACGTCAAATTAATTGTATTTAACACTATTGTGCCCGCCCATGAGATAAATTATTCAAGATAGCGCAGAAAATGCAGACGTACGACGAAATGAGTACCACAAAAGGTCACCCCCTAGTACCACAGGAATCCGAACTGAGCACCACAGGAATCGCAAGATTATGTGTTGCGTTCTCCAAACGTCGAACGCAAAAATGAATTCATTTTAATACAAGCTACAGGGAGGCTTATAAATCCAGGGGATGGGCTTCTAACCAAGTAGATGGGCCTATAACGGGGAGAGCTTTCTAAGCCAAAGTTTACAGCATTACACTACACATTAGGGAGCTTAAGCAACAACGACAGCAACGGCTACATAAACGTCACTTGAAAAGTGAAGTTACACTGCTTCAAACTTCATGGCGCTTATTCCATCTTGCTCAATTTGTCAAATGCTGGCAATTTGTTCTGGAATTGAATTCTAAGAGACTGTATCGAAGTTCGGGGGAAAAGAAGGAAGTCGCTGTCAGTGTCTTGTGTTCACGTCTTCCACAAAATGTGAAATTAGGCATATTCACGTTGTAGTCGGGTAGTGACGGCAAAAAATGTAGAAAAAAGCGTGGCACGTGCAAAGTTGTTATTTTGCCAATCTAAGCCTATTGCTTTTTTGCTGTTATCGTTGTCATTGCTGTTGCCATCCCCATCGTCGTTACTTAAGCTCCATATTATTTTTATAAGGAGCAATACATTCTGGCACCACTTACAGATGTGAGTACTTTCATCATAGTATCAATATGCCACCTCTTGTTTGGAGCATGCCTACAAACAGTACAACATAGTGTTACAATAAATTTTATTAGTCCTGCTCAATATATCAGCCTCATCGCCTGACAAAACCAGTAGCACAAACAATTAAATTTTTACTTTGTGGCGAGTCTTCAAGAAAACAGTAACTGGCCATCAATTTTTGCTAACATGGAAACCTTACAACATAGTACATACATCCTACATATCTTTCACACTAAGTAGTAGGCCCATAGGAAAATATTCATCTTGCTATTAAACCCAATAATTATATAGCTTTGGATAAGTAGTACAAAGGGAATTATAGGTAAGAGAGCAACAAAGAGAATGAAACATACTTTTCTGCAGCCAAAAAGATTTCTGATGTGACGTAGGCCTTGAACTCGACATCAGCTTTGACAAGGAAAGCCAGTAGCTCCTTCATCATACCACGAACATTGCTGGAGTTTATAAGAGCAAAAGACAACTCCATAGCCCTCCTGAAAAAAACAACAAACTTTATTATACCGTTAATAACTTTTAACATCTCTTTCAAATGGAATGAAATTGAAACCTTTCTTTCCAACATGTAAACTAATATGTCCAAAACAACTGATCACTTTTCATACTTGTAGTTCTACAGTGTGTGAAAAAGGCTACAAGTCTAAAAAAATTAATGGTGAAGGGAAAACTCAAAAAAATGAATTAATGGTCATAAAAACAGAGGTTATAACCGGATAAATTTAGATTTCTGGGAGACTGTCCATCTACCCCTCCCTTGAGCCAACATTAACACTAACTTCTCACTTAGGGCAAAACGTTGACTTAAGGAAGGGGTAGGTGGGCAGTTTCCTAGAAACCTCAATTGATCCGTATAACCCTTCTTCACATACAGTCATACAAGCTGTGTTGCTTTCTTAACCGTAAACACCGGCGTATAAGCCACAATTGTCTCCAAAAATTTTCGTTCAAAATCGTAAGTGCGGCATATCTGCAAGACCCTTTGGAAAAGGTACTGTGAATTTCCGTTAATGGACATTTTTATGGAACAATACTGGAATAAATACTACATTACAACAACAAGAGAGTATTGGTCATTGCTTTTGCAAGTTTGGTGGCTCCTAAAAGAGCCATTGGTGATAAGTATTAGCTTATTTCAAGCTTACATTTCTTGTCGTTCAACCTTCTTCGTTAACAGATCTCTTAAACAGTTTATGGTCGCTTTTCTTGAACAGAAGAACGTGTCACAGCATGGAATTTCCATTACCCCACAAAGTTGTTTACAGTGGCGACAACGACCTGTTACTTCAAGGGTAATTGATCCTCCACGAGCGAGAAAATACCACGCTATTCTCGAGTATTCGTGTGGTAGATGGCCCACTTTTTCTTCGCCGTTGAACACTTTGATAGCAAATTTGTTGAACTGATTACCAAACTCTCTATGTGCAATACGTTTTTCATCAACAGATGGCTCCCAAATGTCTTTGTAGATATGATAGCCACAAACAGCAGAAACAAACTGAAATATCTCCATCTTGTTTTGCTTCTGAATAAACAAACCCACATTTACCATTCTCGCCCTAGTCCCAACGTGAGCAAAGCGCATTCTGTTGCTACGCAATGCAATGCCTGGTTCCTAAGCTTCAAACAGTCCACAAAACAAAACACGAAACAAAACCTTTCACTGTTGGTGAGTTTACCTTGGATGAAGACAGAAGACTTCTTAGACTCGACTTTGGATCTCTTTTGAGTTTTTTCAGGAAGAACCTTTTTCCCAAAATTAATTTGAGTTGCTAAACTCGGGATGCTCCTTATGTGCGAGTGCAGCTTATACCGCGCTGTTTACGGTATTTCTTAATTACCCTGCATAGTTCCTTCTTTGTGGAATAATAATATTCTAGTATCAAAATTGTAATACTACATGCATATCACATATTTGACACATCACCTTCTTATAGAAATATCTGGGTCCTTTAGGCAATCTAAAATGGTCGTCCGATGTCTCTGAACTGCATTGTAATCAGCATGAACAGTCTTTAAAAGCGTGTTTAATGCAACATATCTGAAGAAAAATTTATTTAAAAAAATGAATGTTTAAATTCAAAATGAAGTTCAGGTTAAAAAGTTTTTTTTAGCCCAGTTTGATTCTCAACTTTCACTGCCTCCTAGCCCTAATTATAATTATTATGAATAAAGTCAACAATTTCCTTTATTCCCAGAGTAGTCAATTGATAAAAATCGGTATCGATAGAAATCAGTAGCAATCAAGTGATTTTTACGAATGATAATGAAAATCGGTGAAAATCAAAAAATTCAATTGCTGTGTCAAATCAATATAATTGATTTTTCATGAATTTACCAATTTTTGTAACAGAAGTCTAAGGACTATTACACACACGCGTTTCTGTCTGAAACCCTTTATTTTGTACATAATAACAAAAATGGTTCAGTTTAAATTACATTCGGTTATTGCAGGCAAAAATCTCAAGAGATACAACTTTAGATAAAGATTTCCTAGAGATTTCCCTTCAAGTCGATAGGATGTCTGAAATTCAGGTCAAAGGACTTCCTAGACAGATTTTCACTGTTTTCCGTTATCAATCAATAAAAATCACTTGATTGCTGATGATTTTTATCTACCGGTATACCAATTTTTGTCTATTGATTGCTCCCAGATGTCCACTCCAAAGGGACCACCACCTTACTGTGGTGGAGTGGTTTGTGTGTCTCAATGACCCATAGAGCTACAGCGTATGTCAGCTGGGGTCTTTGACTCCTGGTAGGGCCACCTATGCCGAACAGGTCAAAGGATAGAGACCAGACTAAGTGTGGTCCCCTGGTCCTTCAGGTTGGGGGTTGGGCGGAGGGCTGATAACCCTCTCCCGTAAAACCCTGTTGTTACAGAAAACCAGAAGCAGAGAAAATGCTCTTTATCAAGGGAACACTGTGGCCTGTCCTCACAACAGGAGTGACTCTATAATGTGCAGGGGCCGAAGCCAACAGGATGCCTCCAAGTCAGAATCAGATTTATCATTTTTTATCAATTAATCTATTAATAAATCCACACTGATTTTTATCGATTATCTACTTTGGGCTTTATTTCTTTTATTTCCTTCTCAGTGACTTCACCACAATCACTGTCCACTGAAGTATCAACCGCTAGTTAAAATGTGACTGGAAATAATGACATTGACTTTATAAAAAAGGAAAGCATCCCTCACCTTATATTTTTGTCATTGTTTAAAAGAAAGCGTCCTAAAATGTTGATTGCTAAAACCTGAAAGAGAAACAAGAAATTGACCCTTGAAAGTTTTGCTCACCTACAGTCAAACTTGGATCAAGCAGTCACCCTTTAAAAATGCCCTTTATTAAGTGATGACAGTCACTATTTCCTAATTCCAGCTGAGCTATCTCTTTTTGTCTTCATCTCTACCTCTCTTTAGACATACATGTATTGTATTCAAGGATATACATGTATCAAGGCAATGTTGTACTAAATGCATGTCTGTCTTTGTGGCAGCAATGGCTGACAATTTATTTTCTTTTAACACAAGGACAGAAATCCCTTTGAGATTAATTAATTTTGTCTCCATCCATCCATTTGTTGCTTGAAATTTTAAATACAAGCAAATTTTCAAAACCTGTTTTAAAGGTCACACTGACAGCTACTCCATAACAGTGACTGCTTAATACTGGGACCAGTTTGACCATACATGTACAGTTATAATTATTCTTACATCATCATAAAACAGACAGAGTATGATGTACCAACTAAACTGCTGAAAACAAAAAATGTACATACTCTGAGGCCACTCTCAGATTTGGTGTCCATTATGGTGAGAACCGTCTCATACAAGATGGCATTGCCTACATTTTTGCTGGTTTCTGTGTTTGTTGCGACCTGAACAAAAAAAACAAAAAATAATAATGTCATTATTATTGTTGTTATTTATTACTACATAAATATAATAGTTGCATAAACTAGTAACTATTTTACTAAACTATTTTACTATTGCATAAACTACTAGCAACAGAGTGGACCCCAAAAGATTGGACCAGAAAACAGGGTTGTCCAAAAACAAGATGGAGAGACGATCTCTTATGGTGAAGATTAGCCAAACTTGTTATGCAATGCTTTCAAGTGGTATACCGTTGAATATCACACAAGTGCCTTGTGCTGGGTTTTACAGTGCTCTTTAAAGTTACTTTTGGTAATTTTTGATGAAAAGTTTCAGCTGTCAATATCTGCATTGATTTCGGTGGGAAAATGTAAAGGCCAGGAGCATCACCATGATTTTCTGTGACATACTACATACTTGCATACCATAGAAAATGCAAAGGGTTTCTAGCTTTCTGATGGGCTGTATTCACTAAGGCATGGCATAAAATAAGAGAATTGCTCCCACTTGAAATGTTCCATGGCTACTACATGTACAGGAACTTCTGATGGTTGCAGCTGGAAGTGACTGGATAAAATCATTCTTTGTACCAGAATAATGATTGCTGCTGGTGATGAAATCTTTTTTCATCAGGGAATTGTTGCAGAGAGTAAGGGGAAATTAAACATTAATCACTCACCTGAGCAAGAACATCATTCATCTGGTCACTGACTGACTCCTCATCTTTACCAAGCATTCTTAGAAGTCTCAGTATTTTAACCTAAAAGAATGAAAAAAATGAAATACAACTTAAAAATGGCATGAAATGTACATGTAAATGTGAATAGATGGAACGAAAAATATATTTGAAATACTGGTTTCTCAGAAAGACAGGTACAATAATTTATTATTGTCCCAAATTTTTTTTAAGCAGAATATTTTTTGAAAATGGAACAGGAATAAAAATTAACAACAGTAACAGGAACAAACTAACAAACATAAAAGAACTGATACCTTACAACTATAGACTGAGACCCACACCATTGGCTGGGAGTACAAGAAAGTTCACCCTTAGTGCTTAGATCCAATTGCCAAAGCACAAATACATCATGAGAATAGAAAAAGCATTCTCTTGTAATCTGACCCACGTAAAATTTGGGTGAACAAGTTTGGTTGTGAAAGACCAATTTTATACAACATACTGTTAGAATAATCTTCTTTTGTTTCCATTTACCTGGATGAATGGATCACTGATCCCTGATACGTCATGTTCAGGAGAATAGCCTGACATCACAAGGTTCTTCAGTGTCTTTACTAATATTGGTACATGCTGTGATCCAATAAACCATTCGAATGAAAGACAATAAATACCAATAGCTAAAGTACGGTCATAACTTTAATGATGCTTGATGCTAGTTCTACTTTTTTTATCATCATAATTGTTTGTTTCCTGACTGGTCAACTTACTGTCAGAAACTGAGTAGCCATGTTACAGGGAAAGAGAAATTTACAAATTTTGTTTTTATCATCTTAAACTGGTTACTCTAAAAGTATTTGGTTCATATGAAAATAAACAAACAAACAAGGGCTCAAAGTGTAACTGTCAACTGTCAAATCAACTCTCCACTCCACAAACTAACAGAACAGTGAGTCAAGCAACATTTTGAATAGCAGATTGTCATGACTTGTCAATTCTGATTGCATGGAAGAAATGTTTCAAATCTTTGAAATTTGCCAAAGAGAATCTCAACAGTATAATTGTGAAATACACATGCATGTAGAAAAAAAAACAATTAAAGATGAACATACCAGATTACATACTGTACATGTACATGAAGGTGTGCTTAAAATTAAGAGAGGAAAACAATTCCCAACATACCCTTCGAAAGTGTGTCAGTGTTTCTGGATTCACACGACACATCTCAGTAACCAATGAAACGCCACAAACTAACACACCTGACAAAAGAAAGGAAAATAACATCTGAAGGGTGTACAAGTTTACCATATTATGGTACCATACCAAAGCAAATTAAAAACAACAACCTCTAATTGCAATCAGCATAAACAAACCAATCAACTCAGACTAACCATGGTTTCGTTCATTGAGAAGAGATCTTGTTGTAGGGATAAACACTTCCATAAGTTCAGGTACTTTTCGAACAATTCTTACCGCACAAAGTGCAGCCTGAAAAATAATACCAAAATGTAAAATTAACAAACAGCCATTAAATCTTCACACACAATCAATTTTCCCAGGTTCACATGATTATTATTACCAGCAAAGACAAATCACTGTTACTAAATGTAGACAATATATTATTATATAATTACAAAGTAAGCACAATTTGTCACTGGTCCCCCCGAGGAGGACTTGTACCAAAACATTATTTTTAACCTTAGGTGGGAAAATTAAGGGAGACTCTGCTTCATTTAATGCCAGCAGAAAATACTTGTACTTTGGCTCAATATAAAAGTCATCACCTTTTTTCGTAGGTAAGAATTTGACGACTTCAGCAGTTTCTCCACTTCACCAGCTAAATCACGACTCATTTCCTGAGAACATATGCTGCCAAAAAAAGAAGTACAACAGAAATAAAAATTAATCATTTAGGTTTCGCGATACTCAAGATTTTGAATTGTAACAAGACTTCTCTGGAGATGCATGTGTTGTGGTTCAATTTTACCCTCGGTTTAATTTTTATTTTCTTTTGTATTAAACTCATTATCATACACTACTATACCCAAAAACAAAAGAAAATAAAAATTAAACCAAGGATAAAACTGAACCACAACACATGCATTATCCTATATAACAACAAGATAAAAAAAAATTGTCCTTACTTTCCTAAGGAGCATAGTGCCAGACCAATAACAAACTGGTTTGAATGATTCAAGTCACTAAAAGGAGAAACATCAATATTAGCTGGCTACACACTGTTAATGTAATGGTAGTACAATAGCCGTTTCCTAGTACTAACCCAGTTAGCACAATACAGCTTTTATCTACATCTTTGTATGCTTGCTTTAGAAGAATGCACGTCCCAAACATGTTGGCTACTCAAGTCAGCCCTCAATATCATAATACGACATACATGTACATGTATTATAGTGCTGACAGGAAAACCATGGATCATAGTTCCAACTGGGTAGTTTTGAGTATTTCAGATGCTGATGTAATATATCAGAAACAAGTGTGAGGGTTTCATCAGGGATTCCAAACACCGAGAAACAGATGAAAGCACTCAGCTGCTTTCATCTGTTTCTCGGGTGTTTGAAACCCCTGAAAAAACCCAACGCACAAGTTTTTGAGATGACTTCTCAAACGATATAATAAAAAAATATGCAGTGATACATTTTTTTGTTATTGTGCTCCCCAAATGAAAGAACAATAATTTATGTAGTGATGCAAGCTCGTAATATTACATAACATTACTTCAACATGCATGATTAACTGTTTTGGTGTACTTGGTGTCTGACCATGAGTGAAAAGGGAGAGGCAAGATTTAGGAAGCCGAAAACGGTTTATGAAGAACACAAGTTAACAGACAAAAAAGCTTTTCCCTTTTCAACCAAATATAAGAATGAATGGGCAGTAACAACTTTTGCTGAATGGCAAATTTCTTGGTCGGTTATACTCCCGTTTTAGATCCAGGAGCGCTATTTAAAGGCGAAGATTAACACAAGGTCCCACAGCTTTCTACCAGCATTGAAGAAATGGATGCAGTAACCTTGAATTACTAGCTTAGCAAGTTTGTGATGGAGGTGGCCAAGAAGTCTGGGGAGAGATATCCACTGAAGACCGTTTATGGAATAATTTGTGGGATCCGACACTATCAAGGTTAATTATATCAAACATTGGTAAAATCAAACTAGTGGTCTATTATCAATGCTACACTCAGATTGGTTGAGCTAATATTAGGCTATATGTCATAGCCCCCTAGTAGCGAAAAATGCCGGCTGTTTGGCAGCAAAAAAGGATTAAAGTCTAGCTTTAACTAGCTACAATTTTTTTATTCCCGATACGTTAGACCAACTAGTTGGATTTTACTAAAACAATCATTCCTCTCACCCTCATGGTCTCTGAGTCAATAGCCCATTCTGCCTTTGGCCTCATAGGCTATTGACTCAGAGCCAATTTGGGCTCGAGGAACAATTGTTAAATATTCAGGTCATTTTTGGAATTGTTGTTAACGATGCATTAATTATTGAAAAATGCAAGTGTTTGATTTGAGATCAAAACCATGTTTGATCTCAGATCAAAACCCATAAGATTTTCATCTGAGTGTTCATTGGGTATCAAGGTTCATGCTTGTGACCCAAATATGCCTCATTTATTTGCTGTTGCCCTAATGAATATTTAATAAGTTTGAGAAGTGTCAGTCAAAGCCTCTGTATTTTAAAATACAAATAAAACCAACCATAAATAGCCTGAGAAACCATCCGAAATTTCGCCATGCCACTGCTGGTTTCCCAGCGAAATGATGTCTGATCATTGATGATATCTCACTACCCAGATCTGGACAGTGATTCTGACAGGTTCACGCAAATTTCCTTCGTGGCATGACAAATCAGATGTACAGCAAAAATCTAGGTAGTGACATGTCATCAGCTTGGAGTTTCTACACTCGTTCCTCAGATTTCATCTCGTGGAGAAACCAGTAGCGGCTGTTTTCTCAGGCTAAAACATGAACAACTGGACTCACTTTTTGAGAGAATTTGTGACCAAAAGGTGAACATCTTGCCGTTCATCTAGGAGAAGCATAGCTCCAAGATAACCTATTCTTTTGTCAGTAAACTTGGGCGAGGCAATTAGTTTTAGACACTCAAGCTGCAAAATAAGAGATATTTGATTTACTAAAGCTAACACCAATACTGAGTATCTGTGTGGTAGTCCAAAATGTAATTCATATTAAATGGTTTAAACCGAGTTTGACCGTCAGTTTCCTTTGTTTCCTAACCAACATCACTCATAACACCTTTTCTTTCTTTCATAATGCACTGTATTCACTTCAGGCATAACTTTTTTGCCACAAAAATTCTTCAACAATGTCACAAAAACCAGTCATACCATGAATTTTAGGTCCAGATCTAGTAAATGGAGAGGTGTCAACTTGCAGCGGGTTGTAAATAGCTTATGTCTTGATTAAAATGGATTATGTGACAGAGAAAAGTGGGACAAGATACAAAACAATGCCTACAGTGTGAGTGTTTTAGGTAACATGCACTCTTGGATTAAACCAGTATTCCTCCTAGGTTAACACAGTGAAAAAACTTTATGTACAAAACCCCCAAAAGGAGGTACGCTGGTTAGACCTGAGAACCCTTCTACATGTACTCAAGAAGCATGAAATTATTTGCCCACACCTAGACCACAACCCATTACTAAATACCAGCATACATGTGCAGTGCACTGTTTATGAAAGCTGTATCATAATCAGATTCACTTGCAATTTCTACAAGCAAGCCTGTATGATAAATGATTGGAACAAAAGATGTCACTGACAATTTCCCTCTTCACATTACCTCTTCCTAGACAATAACTTATTTATTACACAAGAAATATTATTGAACATGTACGTACTTGACCAAAGTGAGCAGGATAACCAAGCATATGAATGTACAATAACTTGGCAACATTGCGGCATCTGAAGTCATTATCTTCTTCTCTAAAAGAATCTCTGATGTAGGCACATTCTTTAGCTATAACTGCTCTCTCATCAGCTGCTGTCCTTGCAGCTCTTATTGTTCGTATAAGGTCTCTCAACTTCCCAGGAGTTGGCATGATTGAGCCTTAACTTGGGAGTTCTGATACAAAAGAACACACTTGTTTACATGTATGGACAATGTGTACCTCTACAGTGCTTTAATGCTTTAGTGCTTTAAAGCTAGTAGTAATCTCAGATTAGGAAGTGCATTCCAGCTTTTTTAGGTTTACTGTCAAATGTGACGTTATTTCCTAATAAATTGATGCTGCAAAATGCCTCCTAAATGTTTTTTAAAAAAAGAAACAAAAGAAAACAAAACAACTACGAAAAAAAAAAGTCTCACCCTGCAGGAGACAAACCCGAGACCTTCGACATGAAAGGGCAACGCATTATCCATTGCACCAGGCAACCATTGCTAAGACCATATGTCAAATTAATTGTATTTAACATTTTTGTGCCCACAAGATAAATTGTTCAAGATGGCGCAGAAAATGCACTCGTACGACGAAATGAGTACCACAGGAATCCCAAATGATTTTGTGCTGTGTTCTCCTAACGTCAAACGCAATTATTTAACCTCAGTGGATTCTCTATTTCCTTCGTTTCAAAGCCCTAATTATTCATGAATTAGGGCTATCAGACAAAGGAATTGAGAATCAACCTAGGTTAAATCAAACTTAACCTGAAATCAAATTTGACCTGTAACATGTACACTGTAAATGATTTTTGGGCAGAGTACCATATGTTAATGAATCGAAACAAAACAAAATAAAATTGAACCACAACAAATATATGTATCTGAAATACATGCAAAATAACACTTGCAAGTACATACAGCATAATAATGTAAACACACTGTAGATTGGTCCACAGAGGGTCCCTACCAGATCTGACACATTGCTCTACCCGTGCTTATTCAAAACAATTCATGGTATACTTCATATCTGGACAATTTTGGAGTTCAAGAAATTTCTGTGTACATTAACATGCATAGTTTTAGCCTTTCCACCATGTTTCTTATTTTGTGCGTAGTGTATATAAATACACTGAATCTTCTCTATTCGCTTGAATCATTTATTACATTCTTGGTCCTACAGTGTACTTGTGCCTTCTTGTTATTTCTCCAAATTAATATTATGTTAATATTACTGCCATAAAAAGTTGATCCTATCCAATCACCTTATCTGATCTTCAGCAATACATTACTGATTAAATACTACAAATTCCTTATGGAATTGTAATGAAGGTTTTTGCCAGAAGGGTCTCCAGTCATCCTAAGGACACCCATTTTTGGAAGAAATACAAGGAAATTCACTTAATCTCTAATAATTTTATGGGAAAACAAGCCTTCTGGATGGCCAGTTTTCAATATCTTTCAGAGACTTCTCAAAATGTCAAAACACAAAAACACCTAACATCTTAAAGTGGGACCCGGCTTTATGGACACCTGCTTATATCGGACACCTGCTCGCGTTTTCAAAAAGCACATACACCTACCAAAAAGCACAAGCAACTTTGCTCAGAAGTCAGCCACTTTTCCCTCTAAATTAAATTAATTACAAAAAGATTCTTTTGAACCCTATCAATAGAATAGGTTACCTCACTCCAACAAACAGCCTAATCCAGCTTTCATTGAAACCCGCCTGACAATACAGACCTTTTCCTGCATTTCGACGAACAGCTCATATACTTCCTTTCCCTTATTAACCCACTTAAAAGGAGTAACATTAAATACAGTTGACTCTCGATAACTCGAACCCTCGCTAACTCGAACCTCGCGCTAACTCGAACCAAAATCGATTTCCCCTGGATTTCCGTCATACATTTACTGTAATTTTACCCTCGGTAACTCGAACCCTTGATAACTCGAAACTCCCACTTACTCAAAGTAATTTTTGTTTCCCCTCAGATCATTTCTATATAATTTTACCCTTGATAACTCGAACCATGTTTTGAGCCCTTCAAAAGTTGGGAAAAACAGTGTACTGCCTCCGAAACATTGAATTTCCCACTGATGTTTTGTAGGCATAGTGGATCGATAGTGGAGGCTGATTTTGTTTGTCACAAATCTAATGTGAAATAGCTTTACTTCTCAAAAAGTAAAATTCATGCTCTATTTAGGCAACGTTTTGTTACTTTACGTTCCGATTGATAATCTAAAAGTATCTTTCAATTTTCACTCAACATTTCTACAATTAAATGTGATTAAAATGCTCACTGTGCACTAAAAACTGTTTTTTGCTTACTCTCGGCTATTTTCTTCGAGCTCCCAATAACTCGAACCTTTTTCGATTTCCCTCGAAGGTTTGAGTTATCGAGAGTCAACTGTACAGACTACAGGTGACTATTGCAGAAAATTAATTTTAACTATTGCAACTGTACTGCAATAGGTCATGCCAACATTGTGATAATATTGTGATAGTGGAGGTACTATTGCAAAAGTATTGCGATAGTTTTCAGCCTTTCCTTTTCTGTTTGAATGAGCTCAGTGATATATATATTACCCTTCTCTAACATTACACCCAAAGCGGTTCAAGAATCAAGACACTAAAACATTCTACAGCTGTAGATGTAGGTGCAGTAGGATGGTAGATTGTTTTTTGTTTCTTTTTTACCGTTACTGTGACCTTGAGAATCTAAGATGGGTAAAAACGGTATCTTTATTTTCCAAAGAAATTTAAAATGTTACAAGTAGAGAAACTATCAAAACTATTGGTAGTTCACTACACTATCACAATTGTTATTGATGTCTGATTTTTACTATTGATCCATCGCTATTGCAGTATTAATATCGCGATTAATAGATAGTTCGATGTATTGTTACAGCCTTAATACAAACAATGGACAGTAAAACTTTTAGGTGACCCAAATTACATGCTGTCATACAAAGTTAACATTGTTTCATCAATGGTCATGATCTGCGCATATAAATTCAAGTGCATAACTGCAAACTGAAAATCAGTGAGAAATGCAAAATCTCGACCTATGTTAAATAATTATGTTGACACCTTTGAAAAAATGAGTGAGCATTAAATTCAGTGCAAAGTTGTTTGATTAAGGGAAGGTTTCTTCAGTTTGTGCTGAGTTACAGTTAATACATTAGACATTATTCTGTTGCTTTTAATCCGAATGCTTTAACCTTGGCATCAAGAAAACAAACAAACAGATAATAAAGACACTTTAACATGTTTATTTGGTGTCCACATTAACCAGATTCCACTGTTATGTCTTATGCCAAACTGAAACTAGTCTATTAGAAAAATGTTAAAACTAACCATTGCAGTATCTCATTTTGCAAACACAATACTACTAACTTTAAATTACACTTCTCTTGTGCAGATAAACTTAAAAAAACTACAACTCCCTATACCTAGCAAAGACCCCACAGATGAAAACTGAAATTTTTCAAACTGTTTTGTTTCATTGTCAGTTTAAAACAATGAGGAACAATGCAACATCATAAATTGATCACTCCAGCTTCCAGGAATAACTAAACTTGATCTGTGGATTTATTTAAGAATAGATTGCAGAAAACCGAAAAAAGGGTAAATGATTTGTACACAGGTGCAAGGAGGTACATTATACACATAGCAACAAATACACCTTTACTTAGAAGCTCTAAAATAACATCCATCTTATCACAGGAATGTTACTACAAAATTCATAAAGTAGTCTTAAACCAATGTTCCTTAACATTCAGTTATATATGGTCTAAAAATCGGGTAAACCAGCAGATGATTGAAAGAATATCAAGCTTATAAAGATGAGAATTTTCACCCTGAATCAACAGGAAGTCCAAAACGAGGTCAAATGAACATGACGAAAATATTTCTCCTTCAACAAGTTAACGTAGAAAAGGAATATTACAAACAGGATCGAGTGAAATTCGGAATGATTTCTTGTTGTAATTGCCCTGTGGTTGATTGAAACCCGACCGCAGATATTGAGTCGATTGAGCAGAGCATGGGTGACTGAGTATAAAAATTAATTAAACTATTTTAATCAGTATAGCTATAAAAAATCGAAAAAATGGGCAGAAAATATGAAAAGGGATCAGAACGTACATGCTAAGAAAACTTTCTCCATGTATTAGCTCATTTCCAAGAATACAAGATTTAAAACTTACAAGAGTACACTAAAATAACACAAGTGCACAGTGTACGTATATTATGCAGGCACAAAAAGTAACTTTGATTTAGCAATATCAGGTCTGATAAAACACAAACACAGCTTAAATGGCAGGGCTTTCATGTCAGGTACAGAATAAAAATGACACTGAATTCATCAAGTCACGTTCTAGTTTAAAACGATGCAATAATTCCGTGTCAAGAACCGAACGGATCCGGCGATTGCTTCAAGGAGACGTAGCATTGCCAGCAATTCCGTGTAACAGCGAAAGGGATGAACCGCATAAGAAAGCTTAAAAGAACGACCAGGAATCTCAGATTCCGTCCAGTTAATTATGACTCACCTGATGAGAGAACTCCGATCAAGCTTCGCTCTCAAATGAAGGAAATAAGCTTGGAAATGACTCCACGTTCCACGAAGACAGTCGAAGGACCGGGATAGCCAATGCGCAAGTACAGTGGGAGGGACTTGGCCTACACATTCCCGGATGTTGTCAGCAGTTCATGTGGTTAGCGGTATTACAGTAAAAAAAACATGGCGCCTGGGAAAACGCACGTGAAAGATTCGAAAAAGAGTAAACAGTTTCAAGTAAAAAAGGGGAATATCTCTGGCATCAAAAAGGCAAAGACCAGCAATGCTCCCAAAAAGAAGGTTAGAAATCTACATTTGGTAAAAGCAGAGGGACGCCAAATAGCTTTTACTTAGTATTAATGAATGGATGGCAGGCGCGGATCCGGTATCCGGTCACCTCCCCACCAAACCATCTCGCCACCAACGAAATCGCCACCAAGATATACATTGTATATATCTTAATTAATACTTATCGAAAGGAGAAGTCTCGAAAAAAAATTCTTTCACTTTCAATTTACAATGAAAGGAGGTAAGGTTCAAGTGACGATATTAACCAACTTTCAGAAGAAAGGCTGTTGGATTTTAAACAAATCGCGATCGCACCTTAAATGAGCCGTATTAAGGTGTTAAAAAGTCGCAATTATTGACAAAAACTGAAACAGAGATATACCGTTTTTACACCAAGTACAAAATAACTATAAATCATTCCTCTAGTACGGTGACGATCGTGTGATTTAACCAAGTATATATCTTTTATTTGACATAACCCAGCTAAAAGAGAGAACTTGGCAGCAGATTGAAGAAATTAACAAGAATTTCACAGATGTCTTACATACAACACTGATCAAAGATTCGAGCCAGGCTGCCAATCCGAAATGTGCAAGTGCAGGAAAGGAAGCCTGTTCACAGGTGAGAAAGTGAGAATGTTTGGCATGGGAAGATCCTAGTGGGGGGGTACTTCCTTATAAGAGGCTAATGGGGATGTACTGCTGGATGGGGTCGCATTTTCATGACTGGATTGACTATAATCGGGTCACATTTCAATAGAGTTTCAAGAATGGTGGCGCATTTTTGGATTATGGGGGTAAGACGGTTCTTCATATTTATGGTTAGCGAACGTTCCAGAATGTTTGTAGCGCAGATGAAAAGTAAAGTGCTCTTCATTCAATGTAAAAAATGGGTCAAGTCATAAAAATAGAAAGTGACTAAGTTGGGATCATGAAAATTACATATTTGCCCAAAAGTGACTAAGCCGGGGTCTGTAATATTATTGGCCACAAAATAGACTATAAATGGGTAAGGCTCTGAGAGGGCAGCAGCACAAACCCAGCAAAAATTAACCCAAGTACCCCCCTGGGGGGAAAGATGAGCAAGGAAAAAGCTGCTGATCCAGTAAAAGTGAAGTCACTTTAGAAGGGTTGCCTTTGTTTGGTTTTAATTTTCTACTTGTTGGGTTGTATACTCAGGGGGTCCCCTCCCTTATCCTAAGAGAGGGGTATAGGAAAGTGGGTCCCTTCCCATCATTTTCAGACCCAAACAAGGCCTGCAGAACACCCCTCTTACCTCCAGGTCTGTGATGAAGACAAACAAGAAGAGTAAGGCTCTGAGTTATAGAGCACCCAGCCTGTATCACATTTCTTGTCTGTCTTTTGTTTGCCTGTGTTATGTTGTAACTGAATGTTCTAGAAGCTTAGAACTGATGATGTTTGTAGAAATTGATGAGCTAGGCCTGTTTGCAATACTTCAGTAAGCACTCAGTGGCAAAAAGTGCAGCAAACATGAAAGCTTTATCAATGTTTTAATGCGGGACAAGAACATAAAAGATCATGAAGTTTTCTTAAGCTCAGTGTAAAAATTCACTCAAAGTCATTAATATTATTACATATATAATATTACCTTCAAACAGATCACTGAAAGGGCATCAATTACAGCAGTTTCAGATGTTTCTCAAGATGAACTCACAAAGACTGTTGAAAACATTGCAAATCTATAGCTAATAGCCAAACAATGCCTCTGTGTATAACACATATCGCAGATGAGATGTTTAAAACTTTGCATCAAAGTTGATCAAATCATCCCAGAGTAAGACCTGATCCCTAGCAACAAATGATCAGAATCAAGAATGTCTTGGACTTTCCCCTCATGCTTAGAGGGAATATGGTTGGACATACTATCTCCTACTAATGTTCTTTGACCTGTACAAAAACCAGTCTTAAAATAGAACTAATATACAGTCATCACCTTTATCACAATAATGGTCTAATCACCTTTAAGGCCTAATGTATGCTCAAAAAAGGTCTTACTCAATTCAAGCAGTCTTCCTCAAGTGCGCCAAAATCAAGCGAGTGTAAGAAAGGCAGTGCTGGTAGTGTGACATTGTGAATGTTCAATTCAATTTGTTATAAACAGAGAAATATGTTCCTTGTAATCCAACAATTTAAGACAATATTGAGGGGAGTTCAACAATAAACTTCAATGTACCAAGTGTTGCCAGTGTAGCAACTGCTAAAAGAAATTTTTAAAATGCTTTTGGTAAATGTAGAAGTTGTTATCTTCCAAGGGTTGGATTAAAATGGTATTTTTGTTTGCGACAAAGCTTATGATTTTACAAATTGCGTTGCATTTTGCTTCTTAAAATGTCATTATCACTTGAAGTTCTTTTGAATGGACAAGAGCATTTTAAAGGTACTGCTTTTCAATGAAAATGCAATCATACTGGACAAGGCTGTGCTTTTGTTCCTGGCCAGAAATATTTGTCTTTGTTTTATAGAAATCATATGCTGAGTACCCTGGAATTCACAGGTTCAGCGCCCCGGGCTCCCTTCAATATTTCTTAGAGCACAGCCTCGCTAGAATTGCTTCCACGTTTTCGTAAAAATATTCTTAATGACTATCTTGTACAAATTGCAGTTAGTAAGATTTATTTTTCTTTTTGACCAAGATTCATCATCATCATCATCATCATATCTCATCGCGCCGTTAGGTGCATAAGCCTCACTGACCAAGATTATGAAGCATAAAAACGACTTCCTTCAGGTTTCTTATCAGGGAATTCAATAAAAGTGGAACTTTCTTATTTAAAGGAGGAAAATCTACTATGTTTTTATTGCAATTAGTTAATAAACGACTTTTTGTTACTCGACCTAAATCAGATTCTGAATTAAACATACAACCTCGTTGACAGAGTCGAATCTTTTTTTTCTCTCGGGGACAATCAGGACGGTTTCAAACGTCGAATTTCACACATGCCGAATTTAAGGCTAATGGGTAAAATCTTTTGTTCTCAATCATTTGCATTAGCCGAGGCAGGATTAGCTCAGTTGGTAGAGCGCTTGACTGCAGAGCGGGAGGTCGCGGGTTCGATTCCCGTTGCCGAACCAATACTCAGGGTCTTAATTAAAATAACTGAGAAATGAAGGTACTCCCTTTGCACTGCAATCGGCTAGACCACGTAAAATGGCGGTCCCATCTCCAGTTGGAGAAGTAAAAATATTGTCCCCAGTTACTACTTTCGTGCTAAATCCCTTGACGCTCAAATCAAGTGCATTTATTTATTTTTTTATTTTTTTAGATTCGGGACATGTGGAGTTCGACAATCGAAACACGCCGCAAGTGAGCAAAACACGCGGGAGTGGGTATGGTTTGATCCATACAGTATACGAGGGTTTTTTGATGGGCTGAAATAACTAGTAATTCGATTTTACAGTATACAGAGTTATTTCGGTTCGGGGTATATTGAGACAAACTTCGGGTGTTTTGACTGTCCATACACCACTCCCCCTACCCTTACATTACATTGCATTGACTGGCATTTATTATCTCGTGCTCTTACACTGTAACGAAAACCCAGTGAAACTCCACTCAAATACATGCGATATATTACTTTTTCTAACTTCATTTTCTTCCACACATAATTTTTTGTGAGTTCTTATACAGCAGACACGAGTTGTGTTTACATTCCGTAATTTCTTCATGGCAGCCTACGTGAATGTTTAACAGCCAGAAATTTCTGCTGAGTTTTGTTATATTCACTCTTACATCTTACTCACAATGAATCAGTTATAGTTGCTTATTATTAAAATTCTCTTTTTGGTCTATTTCTTGTTCTCTGCACTTCTTTGTACCCCCGCCATTTACATGGATAAAATTGTGGAACAATGTACGCTATTGTTCACGTGAAGCGTTAGTAAACATGTTAAAAATAGTTTGGGAGACTTTTAATCAAATGCACACACGAGAGGCTTCATAAGGCTTTCTTAGCTTGATTCTAAAAACAACGATACCTAACATAAGTTCTCTTAAAGTGGCAACAAGATCCAAGTTTGTTAATCTCATAAGTCAGCCGGGCTTAATTTTTCCACGATGTTCCGTCCGTCGAAAGCGGTAGGTATTGAAATCAGGGCTTCGATTAGTGAACTCTCTTAATTAACAAAAAGTGTTGGCACAACTTGACAAACCTTGTTGAGCGTGCAATCAGATTTCGTAAAGAAGCACAGTATTAACGGATAAAGGTTATTCATGTTCCTTTTATATTTTGTGACATTTTTCGAGACCGAAATATAGTTGCGTTGTGTTGGTTTGCATGAATTTTAACGGTCACATTTCTTAGTCATGCAGTTAATGACCGCTGAGAAACCTTTAATAATGCATTTTCACAACCTGACCATACATTTACGAAAGTGAAGGTGAAATCACGAGTTCACAGTAAACCAGCCAAAAAACAAAAACAGCATGGTGCTGCTTACTAAAGCTCTTATATAGAGAGATTGAAAGATTAGACTGAAATACTGAACCAAGAGATGGCGAGTAAGTTAATGAAGAGAATTAAATGAATTCTTTCTCTGCCCGAAACATGTATGTTTCATAGTCTACATATGCGACACCTTTTCACCGTAGCCTGAGGAGTAATAAACTAAAAGTTAAAGGCTGTTCTGGACAGCGATACAGCTTTGAAGCATGTTGCCTAGGAAATGATTAAGTGCAATGCGCAAAGCTAGTAAGCCATATATACATGGTGATCAGTTTGCTTTCAATCGCCCGCGTAGTAACGTCGCATATGTCAAGTTTAAGCTACCTGTGTTTGTGTATTGATCATGCTATTTAACAAGTTCCCAAGTGGTCAGAATGTACTCATGCATTCCTTTGACTGTTCATAATTTTACTGCACAGTAAATGAAGAAAATAAAGTAGCCGTCAAAATGCCGTATCTAGAATGCAGAGAATGCGGAGAGATGTAATTTAGCAGCATAATTTTGAAGCAATTATATTAAAATGTAATCCCCTTAGTTTAACTGATTACAATTAACAAATTAGCGCCTAATTAAGGCTCTGTTAAAAGTTAAAAAGAATTGCTTTATAAATGAATCGTGCGATATTGGAGGGGGGTTAATGAATACAAAACGACCCTTTTTAAAAATTTCCTTTTTTTCAACTTGGTAAAACTACTACCAAATGATATAGCAAACTGTGTCGGTGTAAATTAGTTAAAATTTAAAAAGAACCTCAGATTAAATATAATTTGAAACTGACCTTGTTTTGAAAGAAAGGACCAACGTGACATAATAGCATAATAGAAGAACTGGATCCCAAAAGAGAATATAATCATGATCAGCTATAGAATATGCAGTCCTCACCAGGGTTCTATCTAGGGTATTTGAGGAGTAGAAGCTTCCCCCCCCCCGCCCCAAAAAAAAAAAATGCCCAGCTTCCCCACAAAAAGTATAGTTTAATATCTTTACCGTATACAGTATAAGTAACTACAGTATATCGGAAATATCATCCAGACTCGAGGAGGTCACTACACAAGGCACTGTACCATTACTCATAATTGTGTCTCAAAATGCACCAGATCACGGCTTCTCAGCGCATATTCATTTCAAAAAATGTCCGAGGGGCACGCCCCCGACCCCTCTAGGAAGATCGGGACCTCGGCCACTTCTCCTCGAAATGATAAATCCTAGATAGAACCCTAAAATCAGCACGCATAACATTTCCTAACAGCTACGCAGGCGAAAACAATAGTGCTTTATTGACTGCATCCAGGGCTGGTTCAAAATCATTGTTACGGGAACAACTATACAAATGGGAAAAGGGCTTCGTAAAAGGGCTTCATGGTTTTAAAGTATAATGTTCAAGTTTCTCGACTGCACACCTCTAATGCATCTATTGTCTATTAGTAATAGACCCCTACCTACTATACTCCAAGAAAGGAAAATTTTTACAAATTAGCGATTTCTTATTTACAGGTTTTAGAAGCTCTTGGATTTAAGTCAAACGCGAATAGTAAGTTATCATATCGAACAAAAGAAGCATAGCTGATTTTACAATCGGGAAAATATATTTTTGTTACCAATATTTCGGAAGGCACGGCCTTCCTACTTCAGGGTCTTACATACAATGATAAGGTTAAGCTATGAGTTACAATTTAAAATAAAGAATAGTGTGCAATATGATACTATAACGTTAAGACACAGACGGCCCAAGCTCACTGTGACATTATCTTACTTAGTAAATAATTATTCATACAGCACCAATTTATAAGACGTTGTATGAGAATTATCCTATTTCTGAATAATTGAGCGAAACATGCATCAGTTTTTCCCTTTAAGCCTTCATTTAGTACTTTCTTATGTTTATTTGTGTGTTGGCTACGTTTCAGGCCTCTTAGGATGTCAAGAACTCGAGAACAATACTAGTCCCTCCTAAGAGTCGACGTTGTATCAGAAATATTCTTTGCTCACTAAATTAGCAAAATGCACGATATCGCTTTAAAGCTGACATTTAGCGTTTTCTTGCTTTTCTTAGTGTTCTGACTGTATTTCAAACTTCGTAGGCATTTTTAATGGATTTTAATGCATTTTTTGGCGGCGATAAATTCCGTGACATTTGCGCGCGACATGGAGACAATTCTGCCAGAAACAAATGTTCTGATAAGTAACGCACCCCGGGGAGGGTACTCGCTTATAAGAGGCTAATGGGGATGTGCCGCTGGATGGGGTCGCATTTTCACGACTAGATTGACTATAATGGGGTCGCGTTTTCAATAGAGTTTACTAGAATGGGGTCGCACGTTTTCTGATTTTTGGGGTTAGACAGTTCTTCATATTAGCAGTTAGCAAACGTACCAGAATGTTTGTACTGTTGGTGTTTTCCATTCAATATAAGGTAGATACTTAAATAGAAAGTGACTAAGTTGGGATCGCAAAAATTACATTTTTGCCCCAAAGTGACTGAGATGGGGTCTATAATTGGCCACAGAATAGTCTATAATGGGCTAGGGGCTCTAAGAGGCCAGCGGCACATACCCAGCAAAAATTGACCCAAGTAGCCCCCCCGGGTAACGCACATTTTTCATCATATATTCAGACTGCCAAATTTCCCATTTCGAAGGTCCTAAATCACCAACATGATCGCCAATGTATTGTCCATTTCGTTGTCGATTTTGACCTTCGAAATGGGAATTTTGGTAATGTGAATGATAGAAAATGTGCGTTATTTATCAGAACATCTATTATTGGTGGAATTGTCTCCATGTCGCAAATGTCACTGAATTTATCGCCGCCGGGATCAAGTGGACCCAGTCAAGAGAGGTTTGCCAACCTTACTGTAAACTGGTGAAAAACAGTCGATTAAAAAAATGCATTAAACAGTGTCTATGAGCTCTGAAATGCAGTCCGAACACAAAGAAAAACAAGGAAATGCGAGAGGTAAGCTTCAAAGCGATATTCTATGCACATTTTGCTAACTTAGTGAGCAAAGAATATTTCTCATGCAATGTCTTATAATTTTCTTGCTGTATGAATAATTAATTAACTTAGAAGGGACTAGGATTGTTCTCGAGTTCTTGACATCCTAAGAGGCCTGAAACGCAGTCAACACACAAATAAACATAAGAAAATACTAAATGCAAACTTTACATTGTTGCTGTATGGATAATTAATTAGCTAAGTAGTGAGCTTGGGCGACCTGTGGTTATCATAGGCAACTTGCACGATGGCGTCATTTTACCACTTCGACCAGAATCCTTCAGGGTTTTGCTTTTTTTTGCAAATTAAAGCTTCTCTATTTAAACCTCAATGGGGATTCTAAATTTAAAGATTAAAGAAAAACGAAATGAATAATGGTCTCACTATTAAAAACAGATCATCGTGCAAATGGCCAGTCTCGTGCCCAGAGTCTTCTGGTTTTTCGGTCAGCGGGGCAAGCCAGAAGGATCTGGGTACGAGATCGGCAAAAGGCCTATTTTAAGGTTTCAAACCGAGACCCTCATGATCAGAGAGAGCTCGCCGATCTCTGCAAAATTCCCAAGTTTGGTGTTTATCCAGGGCCAATATTGGACGAGATACAATCATTAAAAAAACATCAGTGCCAGCGCCCGGCAATCCATATATTTCTTAATAAATTTTTCAAGTTTTTGAATGGCTGTATGTTTTTCAATATTTGCCCAATTAGCACCAAACTTACGGATTTTGTAAAGCTCGGTGTGTTCTTTCTGACTATGTGGGTGATAATGCACTGACTAGTACCCAGTCCACCTCGGTTTGAAACCAGCCAATGGTACCCAACGTATTTGGTTACTCCTCTTTGTGATTGGTTAAAAATTTTCACACTTTTTTAGCGAATCAGAGGGAAGAAAAACCAATCCGGGTGACTAGTTCGCATATGTTTTCCGGCGCTTAGCTTGACGCCGGCTACTCAGTTGTTTTGCTTCGAGGAGATTTCAGTCAGCTCGTGATACGATTGGCCAGAGGATATAGTTACTTTGGTTTCGATTTTGAACCACACTCAATAGAAAAAAAAAACATTATAAGAAAAATTATAAGGCGAGAAAGTCGAGTTTACCTTGGGTACCAGAGATTTTTTTTTCTCGTGTGCGGCGATTAAGTGAGGCGGGGATGTTGCGGGGTCGAGTCTTTAGCCAGAGGCCGAGGCTATAAAGACAAGATTACTAAAGCGGAAGCGGCACACGAAAAGTTTCTGGAACGGGTTAGTCGGGTACTGTTGTCGTGGAAAATGCTAATCCCTAAAAACATGAGCACTTAACAAAAGTCTTAAAATACGCATCAAGATCTATAACACTTATAAAATAAAAGCCTTGAAACTCGGCACGGTATGAATCATTTTAATTTTAATCGACAATTGAACTCAGACTTCTTTATCAACTTCGTGCAATTGAAGAGCGTATAGAAACTGTTGGTTTGCTGATATACTATGTCAGTTTTGATGAAGGAAGATGTTAGAAAACAAAAACTAACCCGCAGTAACAGGAAATTGGTAAAATATGTTTTCAATGGTAAGTGTAAATACAATTGACTTATGAATAACTGAATTTTATCAAATACAATATGGAACTGAAAACGTCTCATATAATTCATGAGTAAATTTAACACGAGAAGATCAACCGTCGTAGTTATATACCCCAGTTCAGTACCAGTAAGCACTAGCTCGAGGCTGCGTACATAACTGCAATGATCTTTCACATGATGTTAAATCTTTCCCCTCCGGTTCAAAAATATGAAATTTCATATATTCACAACGGGTCCATAATAGAGCAAGACGTCATTTTTAAAGGTTGTTATACTGGACATGGTTTGATCTTACAAAAGTAATCATTGCATGCTAGCTAATGTCTTTATTTAATTCACATACAACAGGAAACAGTTTTCAAGAAAGAAGAAACAGCACGCCATTAACAGTATGTTACGGCTATTAAGTCTATTAACGATGTGTTTTATGCCAACGTTTTCATTTCACAAAATAGACTGCCATGTGAATTCAACTGCATTCTTACGTTCTCGAGGTTACGCCGGTTCGCTTTTGAATTAGGTCGAGTACAAAACCTTTCATTGAATAAGAGTATCTACTTTCCTTTTTGAAAAAGAGACTAAAGCCAACTCGGTCGTAAATGGTCTTTTAAAACACTGTAGTCTGCCGCTTTCGTACAATCAGAATATGCGCGAGCCATTTAGCAATTATTGGTTTCGGCCTTCGGTTCTTCATAATCGGCTTCAGATCATACGAAAGCAAAGCTAACGTAACCTGTCCTGTGTTACTGACATAATTTTACCGGATGTCACAAACGCGGCCTTTTACATTTGTTAGCCGAGCTGGTTCTGAAGACTACATTTACCGTGAGATATGAGCAAATCGGAAACAAAGAAATATTTTGAATGGATAACAATGATGAAAGTTACTAAAACCAAACGAAAAATGGTTCTTAATTAGCTGGTTGTTCTTTTTGTTTAGGTGACATACCTGGAAAAACGATGGCAACAAATGGCCATTCAAGGAAACCTTCCTGGGATTGTGGCATTATTGGAACAAGATCCCAATTTAGTCTCCTTACAGGTCGGTAACTTAGGAAGAGATGTATATCATTGTCACCACAGATCAAAGATTGTTTTTTCTGCCTTATACCGGGAACTAGCAGCTCACGACCACGTTCCAGAAATCTCTAAGCCTGCAAAATTGCTTTCACCAGTCCGTGTCTAACGAAAGTAATTTCTGCTTGTACGGGTTTTTTATTTTTCTTCAACGTTAGTGCAGCGAATAAGCGTCGTTGATGTACTGTGTATTCTACGATCACGCCCTAATTGGGGTCATTCAATAGATCGCCTGGAATTTTGCTGTGATTGCAGTACTACACTACACTATTTGTACCTGTCAATTTCCTTCTTCTTTGATGACCTAATTTAAAAAGTTTAGGGTTTTTTATCGTTTAATTTCCTTTGCATGAATTCCTTAGTTTAATAATACCTGAATCCTTGACATGATCTAATTGATTGAATTTACTTGGCCTCAAACAGTTTATCTAGGAAGGTAATCACCTTTGAAATTTACTCTTCAATGCAGCTTATCCTACTTATTACACGTTTTCTTTCTTCTTTGCGAACGCCTACTTGTGATGCTAAAGGATTTTGTTATGGTGAGTTAATTTCAATCATTTCGTAAGTTTGATACATTACATCCAGAAGTACATACTTACTGGATCCCTATATTTGCCATCACAAATGAACCAAGCCGAGTCCTAATTCACTTTCTGAAGATCACATACTGTTCACAAGACTACGCTAAAAACGTGAACATGCTGGCAACAATATATCCAGTTTTTTTTTTTCAATAACAAATACACTCCCGAGCGTCCCGTCAAAGTTTTTTTACCGTGTTAAAATAAAGATTTGAGATTTGAGATACTTTTCAATGTATACCCAGCATAAAAATGAACATAAAACCCTTTTGTTAGCCCTGTACCTCAAGCCTGACATGAATTCAAACTTACTTTTTCATTTATTTTGTTTATTTCCTTTTTTATGATTTTCTGCCATGTTCTGCAAATAGGGGGTAAGTATTGAACTTATAACTAATTCTTTCATGTGATTTCCTAAAAAAATTACGACACAGAAACTTGAAGTATGCCAGGCTATCAACGACAAAGGTGTTGTCAAGTGCGCAAGATTTTCTTTGTGAATGGGCACTCAAAGAACGATTTGTTTCTCTGGATAACAGGGACGGGATGTTGTTTTCGTTGCTGTTCAACTTTGCACTACTGTGGTTTCACCTAGACTACTTCGGGGCAAAAACTCTAAAGCAAGGACAACTACCATGAAATATAAATAAAATAAAAATACTAATTCAAGTCAACTTATGACTGACTTCTTCTTTCTCTATTTTTTTTTTTTTGGCTTGGCTTTACCTCACAAACTAGTTCGTAAGTATGCTCTTTATTTTTTCCTATTTCTGATTGAATAACACATCGAAATCAGTATTGCCTTTACCAGATTTAAAGATTTCACCTAAATTTTCCAAAGTTTGACAGTTCAAAAATAACCCACCCTATTTTGCATTTCTTCTATGTACACTCTACAGACAGCGTTACATTGGGCCGCGAAAAAAGGACGAAAAGATGTGGCTGAAATATTATTAAACACAGGAATGGATGTGAATACAAAATCGGTGAGAGTTTCTCTACATCCAACTTTAAATTTTTTTGTGTTCCTTAGATGATTTTGTTCAACAATGAGAGAATTTGTTTTGTCTTGTTCACTTACTTCTTTGTTTTCTATTTTATTCGACTTAATAATCCTGATCTGAAATTATGGATACACCGTCCGTCGTAAAGAAGGTAAAAATTTGGAATATGCTTTGCTTCCCTTTTCTGCTAAAAATATTGTTAATGTACCTCAAGACAGAATCTCTCTCTCTCTTGTGTACCTGTATTTTTCTAACCACCTTTTAATTTGTTTTTTTTTCCGGTTGGTAACTACGTGCACCTACAAAAGGGGGTAAGTACTTGTTTAAATGCATGCTTTTCCCTTAATCAGCTTTAACTAAAATACATTCGGACCTCCTGTACCACCCGAAATGCGAAGATTTAATGGTCAATTAAGGGAGCTGGGTTGCTTAGGAGAATGGAACCAAAAGGTATCTTTTCTGAGTAGAGGTCTTGATAAACCTTTTGTAAGAGAATTTGCTGTTTGCGTTGTCTAAGTTACGATATGTGTAGTTCCGTCTTTCACTGAAAGTTCCTCCTATTCTTTGAGCTGCGTAGCACATGTAGCGAACAAAAGGCGGGTCTCAAGTGGGGCGGTCGCTTGCAAGAGCTTGTAAACAATGGAAAATTATAAAACTGCCTCCACAAAAAGAGGTGGCGGTCGCTTACGAGTGGTTCCAACTAAAAGGTTTTGTGTTTTGGATAGATGATCGCTTACAAGAGGTGGTTGCGCACGAAGGTTCGACATGTACAAGGGGCAAAAGACGACGAGAAAGTTTCCCCCGACATCTCGGACATTTTTTTTTATTTTTATATACCTCGTAATAGAGCGGTTCGACTGTTGGCAGTCCTGAGCAAACTCATACCCAGACTCTTTTCTCTTTCTTCTTCCCGTCTATCTTCGTTAGGAGTAGCCTGTTCCAGGAAGGCAGCATTCAGACGGTGGGGAGCAAGTTGAATCGTACGCGGGGAAAACAAGCTGGGAAAAAAATGAGGGGAAACTGGGGTTGGGACTGGGACGGGGGACTGTTCCCTCTCTAGCCTCCCCTGGTTTTTTCCTCCAAGCTCTACTTCTAAGCACCTGGAACAGGCTATCTCAAGAGTCGATTTTAGACTTCGAAGCCCATACGTAAGGCAATCAATAGTCTTTGATTATAATTATAAATTGTATTCATCACTTGTATTCTCACTGACTGAGAGCCTACATTAATTTTGGAAATAAGAGCACCCTAAAGATTATTCACTAATCTGCAGTCAGCAGATAAGTAAAAAAACTGTGGGAATATTGTATGTTTTTTAAGAAAAATAAACAGTGATTATGGAAGCTGATTACAAAACAATCGGTGCGTAAAGGTTTTGTGACAGTCGAGATAATTAAGATTGATCTCTTTAAGTGTTATCATATCAGCCAATACCTTTGACTGAGTTGTTATGCTAGCCTGTCCAGAAACCCTCTATTTTACCCTTGGAGATCGTCGAGCGCGCGCGGGAGATTTTTTGACCGCTAGGGCAAGGGAGTGGTGCGTTCGCGTGCTCATCGATTTTCGAAAAGGAAAAGAAAACAACCTCTGCGTACAGGCTATTGTTATGCTGTTAGCTTAAAGGTACTCAGTCCTCTTAATATTGTGATTTGTTTTCAGGGATACACTGCTCTGCATCTCGCTGTAATTCATAACCATGAGAATATCATTATTTCTCTTTTGGACTGTGGTACGTTTTCTTTTTCTTCGCATGAAATAGTCGTCGTTTGATAATAGAACCATAATGGGGAATCCACATGAGTTATGGCTCCTGGGTACATTTCTTGCAGAAAATGACTAAAACATATGATATTGATCACTGTTGTGAACGATTTCTTCCCTGATTTTTTTTCTTTTTTTGTCAAAGGTGCTGATGTTGAAGCCCGCGATTACAGCGGCCGCAAACCTAAACACTACATAAAGGAATCTATGTCATTATGGTTACAAAGTAAGTTCATGGACTAATACAGCACCTCTAATTCCGCGTATATATAAAAAAATAAAAAATAGTTTTAAATTTCGCTGGTAAAACTCGATGATTTAAAAGACTTGTTTGTCTACGACAATGTGCCATGGACTCTTTTTACGCGGCGGCAATGTGAAATCCCTGAAGAATAAAATGCTTTTTTTACATGCGTAAATCTGTTCAGAGGGCTTGGTTACATAGAGGTGGGTGACCCCAGATAGGTGAGGTAACATGTGGCGGGTCACCCGTTCATGTAAACGTGATCAAATTAAAATGTGAGATTATATGGACAGGCGGGTTACCTCACTTACTTGTGGTCCCCCACCTCTATGTAAACAGGCCCTAATTGTGTGTACATGGAGATTTACATGTAAGTTTATACGTAGATATATTTTACATGTGTAAATTTGTTCTCAAGAGACAAGACGTTTTTTTTTTAGCCAAAGTGGTAGCGCTTAATTCTTCGCCTCAGCTGAAATCCTCAAACTCTGTCGACGTCTTCGGATTTCGGAAAATTATCGCACCCGTTTCTCCCGTTAAGCTGTAGTTCTGTTCTGAAACATGTATCTTTTTGAAAGGTCTCATGCTGAAACAATTTGTTATCATTTAGGAAAACTTGGAAGGAAAATGGCCCCGTCAGGTGCGTAGAAATACAACCCGTGAGCATAACAGTACAAAAACCAAACCTATCACTTATTAGGACATTTACTAAAGATTGACGTTTCTAAAAAAAAAGGTGGTGATTATACTTTTTAGAAAAAAAATTGTAACGTCTTTCATAGAGTCGTAAATAATCGCTGATTTCATCTGGTCATTTCATAACTTTTACATCGTATCTTATGCTATGCCCTGCAGTATATCACAGTTCAAGGAACAGGCAATTCTTTTACTGTCCCACAAATTAAAAGAAAATAGCGTCCCCGGGTGGGCTTGAACCACCAGCCTTTCGGTGACATTAACGTTAACAGCCGAACGCGCTAACCGATTGCGCCACGGAGACGTATGCGAACAGTCCTTCTTAAAAAGGGCATATCCAGCTTTGTACCTTTCCAAACTGGCATGCATGGTACAGTGAAAACTAAATGGCTAATATTTTTCTGCGAAGATGAGCCTTACGGTTAAGCTCGAAACCCCCCCACCCCTTCTCTCTAAACCCTGCTCCGTGCTCCTTTTCTTTGTCCTTGTTTTCAAATTTTTTCCTTCTGTGACAGTTCATAAAACGTATATTTTCTACATGGCAAGGATTTTCTTAGGGGCAAGCGCGAAACGCGAGTGACTGATGACGAAACGCAATGGACCATGGAAAGGAGAAAGAAGGCAGGCGAAGCGCCGTATCGCCCGTATTCTCTTTCCCGCCTTTCTTAGCGCGCAAATTTTCATCGAGAGAGAGACTTTTGACACTTTTGGGTGCGAGGCAGATAAAATACAGTTAGTGATACGGGGAACTCAGGAAAATCTGTTTTGTTATAACAACGGAACATTACTAAGGGTTCCTGTTATGTGTGCTTTGCAAGGGACTATCATGCAGGCTAGCCGTGTAAATGACTTTTTTAAAATAACCAAGAACCATTATGGCTCTTGATACAACCCTTTACACTTTTTTTTTTTTCAATTTTTTTTTTCAGTTCTAGTATCATCAGAGGAGACCTTGAACAGAGGATTTCACAACATTGGTTCCATCTTTTTCGATATCAAAGCACTTAGCAATTCCCTTGGGACTGGCCTGGACAAACTAGACGAAAAGCCAAATAAGCTTCATATTCCGAGAAATAAAGTAGCAAGATCGGTAAATAAACCGGACTTTAAATTTTGTTTGTTTGTTTTCACTCAGTGATGTTTGTAGTCAACGAAGCAAAGTTAAACAGAGAGAGTTGTCTTGTAGAGAGTTGACTGCTAATAGTCTCTAAAATATTTGTCCGTTTCAAAGTTTCACAAACTGAGAAAGCAGATGGGAAAAATATCCAGATCAGAAAAAAACCGACAAAACAAAAAGACTATGATACAGTAAATTCATATGGTTGTTATATATTGTCTGCAAGTTAATTGGAAAGGTTTTTTGGGAGCTGCGAGGCATTAAAGTATTCGCTGCAGTTGTGAAGGGTTTGCCTCTTTAGATATAATACAAAAGTCAACGTACGCATGATCTGCCTTGCCCCTGTACGGCGTGTTTCCAGGTCTTTTCGGTCAATGATTTCCGGTGACGTATTCCAGTGAACGGCTGGACCACGTGACCCGAAACGCGTATGCCACACGGAATAATGAGGCCAAGGACTAGGAAACGCACGCTCCTCCGAGGCAACACAAACAGGCCGTTTAGGAAAAGTGACAGTTAGTGAAGGCGATTTCAGTTGTAAAACTTACACCTTCCTGTCCAAACTTTTAAAAATTAATTCTGGAGTATTTGCCATAACACTATGAAATCTTACATTTGCAGTCGTCTTTTGTGAAGATTTATAAAAACGTCACTGGAAAATTCAAGGATAAGAATCCACCCAAACTAGAAATTCCTGAGTGTACAAGGTGAGGTAACTTGCATTTTCTTGGATATATTATCATTTTATTTTCTGGCCTTCCCTCTTTGTACCAAATGTAACGCCACTAAAAAAAATAATTTGGTAAAAGCTCTTTAAATGAGAACATGTTTTAGTCTTCGCAAGATCATGAACTGAAATTGAGTGGTTGATGGACCGGTTTATTTTACACACTTCATCATTCACATACAATACTCCTCATATACTAGATTCGGCACATGTGAAGTGCAACGTTTGAACCGAGCCTTAAACAATGTAAGTGAGCGTAGTTTTTTCTAGCCTGAGAAAACAGCCGACATTTCGCGAAGCTACCACTGGTTTTCTCCCAAAATGACATCTGAGAGACGAGCGCAGAAATTCCACAATGATGACGTGTCACTATCCAAGACTGGGAATTGCTTCTGATTGGTTGAAGCGAATTTCCTTCGCGACACAACTAAAAAGAATTATACTACCCAGGTCTGACAAGTGACGGTGGTAACACGTCATCAGTAATGAGTATGGAATTTCTGGGATCGATCATCAGACGTCATTTTGCGGGCGGAATCGCGAAATGTTGGCTATTTTCTCAGGCTAAGTTTTGGTGTAATCCAAACAATTTTCTTAAAAATATCCCTCTATTCCTTTGCTTGTAGCTATCAGAGAACAGGCCGCGCAAGGTCTGCTCCTGACATCAACAACATCGCAACGTGGAACCCACGATTCGTTAAAGTGTGCGTTAAGCTGTGATTTGACTTGAGAGAACGTGAATGACAACGCAGCTGGACTAACACCAACTTCTGACAAATCACTTAATGGAAACCTGTTGTTGTTGTTTTATAATGGTATTTTCAGCACGAAAAACAAGGTTTTTCTTTTCTTTAAACGTTCCCTGTTGGAGGGGACTGCTATTCCTACGTGGTCTGGGGTCAGTTTCGAAAGTCCTCCATAACTTTTCGGGCCCGAAATCAAAAGCGCGAGTCCTAACTAGCAAAACAGTCCATTTCGTTTTCTTAAATGATGGTTTTATCATATCATCTGCAAAACTTTTGAACCTTCGATCTTGAATGCGTAAACAGCAACAGCTTTCCAGGCCGTTAATTATCGGGACTTGTGAGAAACGGATGCCTGATCCCGAGCCTTTCGAAGAAGTATAAACCAGGTTAGCGTACCTTCTTATCAACTTCTGTCAATGTTGCAATGTGATTCTGTAACTAGAGCATAGTAACTTCCGATACGGAGCAAGCCCGATTTTCGCGGCGTATAAAGAAAGTAGACAATTGAGAATTCTGAATTTCACGTTGACCGATCAGCATTTCAGAATTCTCAATTGTCTTCTTGGTATATTTTTGCTGATCAGGTCTTCTTTAGATCCGATGTTCTGCAGCATATTCTTTTGCGGTCCTTTGCTGCGAATTTTATTAAAAAAGGTTTGATTGCGGCTCTCAGACAACAGCCCATAGAGGAGCTGGGGACGAGATGGCATTTGTTGAATCACTTAGCGTTGTAACTGAGGCAGCAACTTTCTCAAACAGTTCTGTCCAAGATTGTTCTTACCACTTTCAGACCAAGATTATATATGTATTACCAAATTACGATCGCTTAAATTGTATAAACGCAGCTATGTTAAGTTTGGTGATGTTGACTTTTCCATAGTTATGCCTCAAGAACGAATCACGCCCCGCAAAAAATAGAAACAACTACAGTAATGAAATTTTGAAATTGGTTTCCCCGCGAAATGACGTCTGAGGCCGAACGAGCGGAGAAATTCCATACCGATAACGTGTCACTACCTAAATCTGGGTAGTGCTTCTAATTGGTTGGAGCATATTTCCCTCGCAGCACGACTTACCAGAAGTACTACCAAGATCCGGGAATTCTCTTTCCCAGAGCCTCCTGGAGGCCTGAGCACGAGGACCAGGAGGCTCTGGGGACACACGATTTAAAATCATAGGGTTTAGGACTTCCGGTCATTTCCGATTCAAAAGTAAGTTAGAGGATTCTCTTTTAAAGCTTTAAATCACCTAAATGTACAGTCATTGACAGTTCGGCAAGAGCAAGTGAACACTATTCATAAGAAACGTTGTAGAAAATCAGAAATGACCGGAAGTCCTAAAATCTAGGACTTCAAAATCCTGTCCCCAGAGCCTCCTGGTCCTCGTGTTTAGACCCCCGGGAGGCTCTGGGGACGGGAATGAAAGGGAATGAGAGGGTAGTTACACGTTCAACCTCGTTCCCAGGTTCTCCCTCCTACCCGTCTCTCTCGCTCCGTAGGGACCGGTATATCGGTAGAAGAGAACCCTGGGAACGAGGTTGTGAACACGTAGTCAGTACGGAATTTTTGCGCCCGTTTCTCAAGAGTCATTTCCCGCGGAAACTAGCGGTGGCGTGGCAAAATGTTGGCTGTTTCCTCAGTCTATATATACTAAGTTATTGTAGCCATGGCTTCAGAAAGCGGAGTTTTTCGAATCTTTTTTAAACGACAAGAAGGACAGTAATATTGTTCTATCACTATTTTCAATCAAATAATCATCGGATTTCTGTTTTATTGCAAAGATGATGACTACAAAACATTCGATCTGTACAAATTATGAAATAAATATACCTCCTAAGCATCAATCTTGGACGAAACTACTTGAGAGAATGGCCAACTTAAAATACGCATTGCATTTCAATAGTGCCAATACTAATTTTACAAAAGTTACTTGTTAATCTCCTCCCCTTCCCCACACGGCAAGTTGATTTTATAAAGGGGTGGTAGCCATAGTCTCCTATAAGAGACATAAACAACGTTGATTCGGGGGGGGGGGGGATCTCTCTTCGTAAGTTTGTCTGCACGTGAAGAACCCAATTTTCTCTGCCTCCCCAACATGTTTTCCCGGGTTCTTTAATAGGCGTCGAAACTGGGCACGGAGAGCGGGCATATGCAGAGCGCTAGCGTTCATCCCAGCTTTCCTGGATATTTAACTGTAATATCCGCAAACAAACGATTCCTGGGGATGAGGCAGCAACTTAATCAAACAGTTTTGTCCAAGATTATTCTTACCATTTTCAAACCAAAATCGTGAACATCTGTGCGTGACAACACAGCAGTAATTAAATATAACTATTTATTACTACGGGGTCGGGTAAAAAAGAACACTTACTACACACTCAGCGATCAACCTCCTTTTATAAAAATATATATCTTCGCTCTCAAATGTACCTTAACAATTGGCTTATTCGTGATTTAAATATACTACAAATACAACCCTAAACACTTCAACTGTGCTACCACTGCCTACCTTCAATTTCGTGAGTAACAAGACTTTTATTTGAATTCTCCTTACAAATGTCTTAGTGTAACTTGGCAGATGTGTTTCCAACAAAAAAAAAAATCATTTACACTGGATTAAGATTACAGTGAGCCTGTGAGCAAGAAAAAAGACTGCTTTTCGTATGTATTGCCCGCATAAAGATTTAGTGATACTGTAAGGAGAAATCAAATATTGATCACTTAAGTTGCTGTGTACACCTAACAACCACTGCACTCAGGGGTTTGAAATCGACTAATATATTACGAACAAGGAAGACGTGATTGTGACAACATGAATTTCAATAGGCTCGTCCAGCAAGACCACAGCTAATACTACTATTGACCAGTCGAAAGCACTTTGAGACTTGATTTATAGGCTCATTGTTACAGGGACTATTAATGGAAACTCTTTGAAGTGTGCTATCCAATACTATGTTAAAGATGCGTCAGCGGTTAATCACATGACTGCGCATGCACGACTTCCTGGTTGCACTTTAGGATCTGCTTTAATCTGGCCGCCATTTGCCGTAGTCCCATTTTGTTCCTTCAAAAACTGAAATTAAGAAAAAAACATCATCAAGGTTAAGAGTTTAAACCCTTTAACCTAAAAGTAAGGATTGGCACAGTTGATTAGTGCGCCGCCCTCTGTGAGGTGACCTCAAATCGCTTCACCTTCTTTCCTTTCCGTTCCGCGTTCGAAGTTTTAAAAACCCCTAAAACGAAGCAGTGATGGAGAAAGGAGTGGGATAAGCACACTTTTGGCCTCACATTTGTTACTAAGACGATAACTATTGAGCCACCGACGTAACATGAGGACGCTTTACCCTTTTACTTTACTTTCACCGCCCCCGAAAGCACCTTCAGTGACAAGCATGATTGTCCGCACGAAGCGAGGCCCTTCACGAGGTTTTGTCATACAAGTATTTTTAGTTTATTTTGAATTCCAATCAACTTACGGAAATGATCATTTCCCTCTTTTGAAAACTGAGACAGTCTACCAAACTGTGATAAATTAAATTAGCTTAACTAGCTGACCTATAAGCAAGTTTTTTTCCTTAAATCCCAGGGATTAACCCCCCATACGGTTCCCCCTCAGCTGGGAAGTGAATGTTAGCGACCTACTTTGTTAAGCACTTTTACTATGTATTTAAGCTGTAAAATATTCGGGAAGGACTCCCCTTACCCTACTGGAAAGGATCTACTTTCTTAAAAAGCATGGTGACTTCCTCGTTTGAAAAAATATAGAGTTAAACTTTATACCCCATTATTATTGCAGATCAGTTGTATCTGAGCCGTCCCTGGTTTATAAGACCTCTCCCCTCCCCTGACAAGTAGTTAAAACTACTTGACCCATAAGCTCGTTGACTTTTGTATTTCAGCCGTTATCAGCACAGGGCACAAAGAAGTTATGTTTGACCTTGACTCCACTTAAATAGCCCTAAGCCCATTTCCGAATTGCCCCAAGCCTCTGTCATAAAGTGAAGCTAAGTGCGATGCCGTTGATGTGAAAATGATTTTTTTACTCTCTTGCAAATAAAACTCATTTTCACGACAAAGGTTTTGCACTTACCCTAGTTTTAAAAGTGAGTGTTTTTGAACTCGGAAATGGCCTATCCAAAGTGCAAATAACTCCTCTGCAACTTGTTTCCTTAATAATTGTGGTGGGGTTGTAAAAGGTCCTTTCCCCTCCCTCGTCAGGTGATTTAATGTACTTACCCCCATAAGCATGTTGACTTTATACTTCAGCTTTCCCCCCTGATGAGCTGCTGCAGCGGAGATTGCGCGGTGAAATGCTTCAAACGACTGTTCTTCTTTCGGTTTCTTACCCCACTCTTCACATAATTCCTAGCCAACATAAAGTGATATGTATATATTGAAATACAAACATGACTGGTTTGGTTTGACAAGAAAGCACTCTTAGTGCATCTTTCCTAGTTTTTTACCATGAACCTACCACCAACCCAAAAGTTTTCCAAGCAGCAGGGTTAACCGAGTTGAAAGACCGTTGGACTGCACAAGTTCCATACCTGGTAGCCCGAGAGGAAGCACTCTATTTGGGGAATAATGTGAGAGACCGACCACGCGCGAGCCGCACGCGAAAGGACAGTTCGTCCCGCCCATCGCGGCTCACTCGCGCGCTTTTCTCGTCGATCACTTCACTTACCACTAAAAAAGGAAAGCTTGATGGCTTGCTCCCAGGCTAGTACTACCCTGGGGCTCGACCAATACTCAGGGTCTTTTCAAGGAGCTGTGTTGCGTGTTTTGTCAATGCTTTAAAACCCTTAAAACGAGGTTGACATCAAAGAAAATCCCAAAATGATGATTCAGTTTTGTTTAAGCTTACTCTAAACAATAAAATGTTCGTGAGTTTTTTGGAATTTCGATAAACAGGAGGGAATTGGATTTCAACTATAAAAAGAGTGGGCAAAATTTGAAAATAGAGATTTCGTTTCACTAATAATCAGGGCAACAAGCTGCCGTTGAAATCTCGCGTTTTTATCACTCATTGTTATTCCTAAATTACCCAGCGAGCAGAGGTTTCTGTCTTTCATGGCTTTTACCGTTTTCGAAGTTGTTCGCGTGGCTTGTCTGTCGCGTAGTTGGTTGAACCACAACATAGACATGATAGTCTCAACGCCCGCACGGCATGCATAAACAGTAGCCTAGAATAATACCACGATTTTTTTCCACAGTTTTCAGGCAGCTTAACTGAAGGCAGTTTTCTTTTTTAGCTTAACCCATATTTTACCATGCTACAAGGCTCACCTGCAGACGTTTTTCTTTCTTTTCCAAACGAAGGTTCTTTCTCTTAAGCAAAATAAGCTCAGCCTTGAGTTGAGCAGTAGAGGTGTCAGTATTTATCATGGTGGTGGATCGTGGACCCATTCCTGGTCTACCGATTTGCATTTCCATCTGCCGTAATTCCTACAAAAGCAAACAAAATACAAAATAACCACGCTTACTTGAGTTTATGGAATAATTTCACGATTGCATTGCTTATCTGCAGCACTACAGTTTTTGATTGGTTGAAAATCTCGTGCCACTTCCTTAACCAAATAGAAGAAAACCAAAACTAATCGCGACTTGCGCGCAGTGTTTTCCCGCGCTTTGCTGCGGCTAATTCCCCCTGGATCTGATTGGTGTGTTTGATTGTCTGCTGGTATAGTACAGCCTAGTTTACTATCGTCTTGGTAAAATAAGTCCCAATCCGTACTGGAGGGATTGCACTTAAGACACCACAAGCAACTTTTATTTACTCGTGTAAGGGCCATTTCACAGGTCAGTTTATTTTCATATCGATTTGGGCGCGAATTTAAGACCCACAAACCAGCCAGCAAGACCTGCAGACCTGAAAATGGTATTTTTGAAGGTTTACTTTAGTTTTCATTTTTTCATATCTTATACTTTGAATGCGCATATAGATGGAGCAGAGCTTCCATTTTTGCTGCAAAAAGTGACCTGAAATATGTAAAAAAAATAAATCGGTCCGTGAAAACGCTGTGACATAGGAGAGACATTGTTTTTGTTCTTGAAATTTATAACGAGTGAAACTAAATAATCTTTGGTTACAGGAACCAATGCGCTTCTGGTTGGCAAATTTATGTCAATGGGTGATGTCAGCGTGAATATGGCCATAAGCTTAAGCCCTGGGCAAACAGGCGCAACATTGTTGGATGTTACATGATGCGTCCGTTTGCACACCCTGTTGCATGTTGTTTCGTGCTATTGGGAGTTGTTGCATTCGTTCGCACACCAGAGAAAGTCCCAGTACCTTAGTGGTCATTCTTGTACGGGTTGAGTCTGGGTCACTGTCTTCCTGACGACCAAACAACTGAAAGGCGATACAGCCACCGTCAAACCAATCCAGTAGCTCTTGTTTGACTTCTTCAAAGTGGAACACTTGAGAGTGATTGAACTCAGGCTCCAGGGTGCCCTTAACGACGCTTGTTGAAGTGAACTCAGTCTCCTTAAAAGGCATGTACTTGATGTAAAGACCCTTGTTGAACCTAGCGTCATGAACGATAGCATTGCGAATGGTTACCTGCAACGATACATAACACAGTGAGGAAAAACACTGGACGACGGCTAAAGCTTTTCGATGGTAGTCGAGTCCCAGTAGGCCCGAAATCAGCCACCATTTGGGAAATGAGCTCGCACTTCTCCTCCTCTCTTCTCGGGGAAGATCAAGACCAGACACAAAAAACGACGGAAATCGAGCCTAGCGACCTGACAAATATAACATAATACAACTTCCCAGGGCAGGATAGTCATAGATAGGGCAGGCGGTTGATAATCAGGCCAGTCACTGGCGCACTCCTGTTCGGTGTAGATTTGTTTCTCAGTCTCGACGTTCGTATTCAAATTGAGTTTGCTCTTAGTTTTTGGCCCTGGTCCGTAAGTTTTTCTTCAAGTTCTCCCGTTTTCTGTGCCAAACAGGAGCCCATGACTACTACTCATAGGCTCCTGACCCCAACCTTTCCAGATTCCTATTAATTGACCACAGACTCCTGTGGTCAAATAGGAATGGTTCACTCCTGCACCACGTTATGGCAGGACGATTTGTCACGCTCACTTTAAATCTCTCATGGAGGAAATCCTGTGGTGTTACCATTCAAACGAAACCTCTTTCAAAGAACCTTTTGCATAGTACAGCTTATTTCGCAGGATTTTACAGATATTCCCTTGTTTACGGACTGTTTACTTATATAATTATTCAAAGTTAAAGAGTACTGCAAAAGCCATATACCTTGAAATGATAATCTCTGCCAAGAAGCTCAGAAGGATCATCAACAAAGAATTCCTCGTTCAGTGGCTTCTCATTTGCATAGCACGGGCAAACATGAATGACGACTGTCGCTACCTCTTCTCCCTAAAAGAAAAAGAAAAGAGATCTTTTTTAAACAATTATCACATCAATCAAACAATGTATGTCTATGTACTGACAAGGTCGTTCAAATACGCATGTGTAAATAACCAGTCAACATGGGGGACTAGTTGTGTCGAATCCGGGTCAGCAGTAATCCTGGGTTAGCAGTAAACAAAGGATACTACAGTGGAACCCCGTTAATGCGACCACCGTTGGGCCATAAAATCCTGGTCGTAATAACGAGGTGGTCGCATTAACGGGGTCTTCAAAATAAGAAAATGACTCAATGGTTTTTACGTTTGGTTTGAAAGAATATGGCCGTAATAACGAGGTGGTCTTATAAACGGGGTGGTCGTAAGGCAGGGTTCCACTGTAGTTGTCATAGCAAATAGCCCAGGATTTGCGCTAATCCGGCGTCTATGAAACAACTAGTTATATATGGGTGCACCAAAAGGAAAACTAAAAAGAAAGGGCGTTTTCCATTAACCAAAAACTTTCAGAAACTTCGATGGACAATGCACGAAGAATGTGTTCCGTCTGACGCATTGACAAGTTCCATTCGTTCCCCTCTCTCGCTAAAATTCGTAGTGAATAGCAAGGTAGTGGTGAATAACTGTGAAAACACGCAATTGAACACGAATTTTCACTAGAAATGTTTCCAACGAGAACACTAGACAACCTTTCAAAAGTTCCACTTATTCTCGAGAATTTTCAACTTGAACGATGTGTTTCATTTACATCCCAATTAGAATTCCCGAAATTATCCGATAAATGGAAAGCGCTTGAAAGGTCTCTTTCAGTGACCAACCTAACGAAATCCACCGACTGAAATTCTGAACAAACCACTGTAAAAAGCCAAGAACGAAACGGAAAATGCAACAGGACTCTTCTTGCCTACCTTGTAGTCAGTAATAGAGAGCTTGTCATCAAAATCTAGAGCAAAGCTTAGACTCTGTAAAAACACATTAGCTGTTCCAATAAGGACATCTTCAGGAGGTTCCCAAAACGGATCTTCTTCCTTAGGAAGTGAGCCCACATCTTCTCCATCAAGGTGTCGTTGATATAAATCCTAACAAAGGAAAAATGAAGTTATATAATCGCTTGCCCTACACTTTGTTGGCCGTGCATGCTTATCCTAAAAAAATTCTTGATGAATCACTATTGATGGGTTCCGCCACGACGCAGAAATGATACAAGAGGGTATGGGAGGATATTCTCGGGAGTCAGGATTTGATCGACTTACCGTGCGGAATTTGGAAAGACCCAATATTTCTTTACGGGATACGAGATTTGACCGCTTAGCTCCTCAGGAAGCGGGACTTGCCTAAATCTTTAGGCGGGATGCGGTAATGGGAAACAAAACGGTAAACGGGATAGCAAAGACAGAAGTTCGGGACGCGGGATTGTCGTGTTCTTAATCTTACTGAATTCCAGCTGTTATGTTTCTACTTTCAGTTTGGCATGTCATCTCCAGTGGTGATTTTAATACCTGCATTAGAAAACGTCTGTTCATAAACTTTCCACGGTCCCACAGCCAAACATTTCCATTAAGTAAACTCTTCATTTTCACCGTCACTCTGAAAAACACAAATATGACCGAAATGAAAACTGACGCCTGTGTATAAATTCTGGAAAATATTCACTAAGTTAGGTTCGACACGCAGGCAGGGTAGCAAGTAGCAGCGAAGTAGTAAGCGTGTCAGACACGAAATACGGAGGTTCGGGGGTTCAACCCCGCAGTAATCACTAGCTGAAATTGTTTCTATGTTCCACTCGTCAGTGAAGCTTCAGTGTAACTTAAGGTGTTTCATGTGGATTACTTGATTGTGATTATTAGTCTCGCTTGCGCTCGCTTGCGTAAGCAGCGAGACATATAATCTGCAACGCGTTTTTCGCCCCGGGGGGTAGTCCCTTATATAGGCTCTATGGGTATGTGCCGCGCCAAAGGGTATGTTTTTTTTTCAGCCGTTTTGGTCTGAAATAGGGTATCAATTTCGACCATTTTGGTCTGAAATAGGGTATGGTTTGTGCACTCTAGTCTTGAATTGGGTATGCTTTTTAGAAGAGTTAGCTACTTCTTCATCATTTGGCGATAAGACCATTTCCCTTTTAATGTTTACGCCAACTACCGTGTACGTGCCGTAACAGCTTGTCACGCGCTCCGGTCACGCGCCGGGCTCCAGGGCTTCAGGTCTGGAATAGGGTATCAAATTTTTGATCAGGTCTGATATAGGGTGGGGAAAATCACAGATTTTGGTTTGAAATAGGGTAAGGGTTTCAGGAAGCAAGCCGCACACCCCTACACAATTTTTCTGGAGGTACCCCCAAGAATTTTTGGTCGTATTTAGGACACGAAAGGGAGGTCATTGTGCCAGGCGTTCCTTGCGGAGACCGTGGAAACTGGGACTAAGAATCGTTGCGTGATCGAAGCCACGCATGTTTTGCGAAGAAAGCTTAGGAAAGATTAAATTTAGAGCTTTTCCGAAACGTGTCGGTCCACGAATTCTATCGCTTGAAAGCGTTGATTACTTTGGAACAAGTGAACACTACTGAGTGGTCGAAAAAAAAAAAAGAATCTTAATTAGCAAAATTGCGATGGTCGGGTGTTGTAAACTTTCACTGTATGCAAATGACTCTTGTGATGAGCATGCGATTTATTTTCGGCGATGATTGAAATGACGTGCCATGTAAATCACTTTTTGGATATTTTGCAATGATGTAATTTCTCTGGAATCGAGACCCTTCCATTTTCGCGTAATTATACACGCCTATAGCCTGCTACCGCAGAGGTATTCTGGTCGTCGCTAACACACATACTAAATCAATTCAGAAACAAATAAAAGTATCGACGTCGATAAAGTAGGAAGTAAAAAACGTTTAGCGAGTAAATCATGTTTCTTGTACAATTAATCGCCTCCTCATTCCTCGATCTAATTTCCAAGCAGGCGAGACTGATTCCCGGTGTAAGCGCGTTCTTGTTTAAGAAGATCTGGGTCTCCACAAAGCCCGGGGGGGGGGGGTACTTCCTTATAAGGGCCTAATGGGGACGTGCGGCCAGCCAGGGTATGTTTTTCGGGATTTTTGTCTTAAACAGGGTATATTTTTTTAGACAGGAGCCCATAACCCTGTTCTTAGACGATAAAGAGCCTGCGCTTATGTTCTACGAATGTCTTAAACTGGGTATCAAAAATCGGAATTCTGTCTTAAACAGGGTAGGAAAATCAGCGATTTTTGTCTTAAACAGGGTGAGGGTATGAGGGGCCGAGCCGCACCTCCCCACCCAAGGATATATCGAGTACCCCCCCCCCCCCGGGCCACAAAGACCTTTCCCGGATTCCGCTCCAGTGATGACATACAATAAAACATGGTCGATGCTTGGGTGGATAAATTCACACAAATCACTGTATTTTGACATACCAAGCCTCGCGTTGTTGTCATTGTTTACTGGAATTTGAGCGGTTCTGGTATTATTGTGGATGCAAGATCCTTTTAGAGCAGGGTCAGCATTCTGTGACTTGTCGGTACACACTTATCGGGTACCCTTTAAATACCGTAAAATTCCGAAAATAAGCCCCTCCATGTATAAGCCCCTCCAAATATAAGCCCCCCAATCCGATGACGCAAAAAACGCGCCATTAAATCGCCCCTCCAAATATACGCCCCCCGGGGGCTTGTACTTGGAAAATTGCCCTCAAATACAAAGTAAAACAAAGCAAAAACGGTAAATTTGCTTCCAACTATAAGGCTAGCCCAATCGATTTTGAAACGCAAATTTCCCTCTGTAGATAAGCCCCTCCAAAAATAAGCCCCTCAAAAAGGGCCTTTGAAAAATATAAGCCCCGGAGCTTATTTTCGGAATTTTACGGTAACCTGTGAAATGATAAAGTGACCAACCAACCAACTTCGATTCATTGCTATCACTCGTTTTACTGCACACGCAATTCACGAGTAAAAATGCATTACCAAAAGTTCTACCGGCGGCGTTTGATGCCCCAATATCGCTTTAAATAGACTGAACAGCTAGTTGGAAGGGACATTACACAGCTTTCTTTAAAATTGACAAATCCCTTATAAACACTTGATACCTTTAAAAAGGTGAACAACTTACTTTGTTGCCGCATTTCCTCCGTCACCCTGAGCAGCTGCTGAAATAAGAATCACCTCAAAGCTCCTGGAGAGAAAAAAGAAGATTTTGTTAGGAAAGACAGAAAATATTTCCCTACGAGGACATGAGCTTACAGGCTATGAAAGGTTACTCCAGTAACCATTAAAAGTTATAAAAGAAAAAGAGAAACTAGTAAATTCGTCGAAGAAAGCTGTTTGCTACGAGTTCACTTAATTCCAAACAAGCAAATTTAAATTATTTGATAGTTTGTTTCACTCTGTGTGCCTTGTTATATTTAAGCGAAAAAAAAAAACACGCAAGGTTGGCAAAGTCCTTGAAAAGGAAAGGTGCCATCGAATATCGATCGAACGCGATCTCGATTGTAACTTACTAACTTCTTGCAAATTTATTGCTTTTAATCTAATTACCTTTGAAATGAGTAATCTACTTTCTTAATAATAAATTATTGGGCTCCAAAAAAACACAGAAAAGAAGTTATAAAATTCGTAGGGAGAAAAAAAAAAAGGGCGATATTGGGTATCAAACCCGGTACCCTAGGCTCCGAAGGCTAAGGGTTAAGGCCTTGCGCTACATTAGGAACATTAGGGACCTTACGATCCGACAACGGCGACGTCCACGAAAACGTCCACGAAAAATAGACTTCGCATCCTTTTAAACTTTTTCGTGATTATCCCAATTCGCCCTGTTACTTAAAAGAAGAGAATTATGGTTGGAGTTGAAGAGAGGGGACCGCGCCCGGATTCGGACAGAGATGGGAGAATTTATCGCTGTTCCCGTTCTCAAGTAAACTTAAATTTTGGTTATTTCACGTCGTAGTTGTGCAGGGACAGCAAAGAAATGTAGAAAAAAGCGTGATGCACGTGTAGAGTTGTTGTTTTACTCATTAAACCTATTACTTTTTTGACGTTCTCCTTGCCGTCGCCGTCGTAGTTTCGTAGGGTCCCTAATAGAAATGGACTTACGGACGGACGGACCAACACGGACGTTCTAGCTATAAAGCCAGAAAACACAAAAAAACCAGCATTCCTTAGCCCTGAATTCAATACCCTGAGGCCATAGAACTTATGTCAAACACTTACTTGTGTTTGTTGAGTTCCTCGCTGATGGCATTACCTTCACTGACCATGGGAAGCAACTCCAACACTTGCTCTTGGACTCTTGCCTGATCTGTTTATAATAACAACAAAAAGACAATGATGGCGATGTCACACTTTGACTAGTAGACCGACTTTTTTTGGATCGATACCTAGACTTGCCACGAGAACAGTACGAAGGGACCTCGCGAGTTTTACAGCAAAAAAGCTGTAAAGTGAGCGGAGCTTCTTAGGTACTCTTTCGAAAGTCGAGTCAATAATCAACAAGGCAGGTAGCACGGAGTTGACTGTTTGACTCTTTGGAAACGAGAACAAGTAATCTAGTAACTAATGTTTAGGTAGAAACTAACTGACATGCTTTCCTTGATTTGAAACAAAAGTTTTGATGAAAATATCGTTGAAAAGCCTTTGTTCACACAACTTGAATTAACAAAAACGTAGCTTGTTTAACACAAAGAAACAACAAAATTTGCACTTCTTTTCTCGATTAAAAATGTTACAGCTTACGTTTGTTCTAATCGTAAAATGATCACCAGTTGGAAAATGTCATGTTTTTATCCCATTATCTTTTATGCTCAAATCCACAACTTCTCTCCACTAATTCTTCAAGGAAATGTACAGAGATCAGTCTGGAGAATTTGTATGTGGATATACCGGCACAATTACAGAAACGGCTTTTTTCATGGTCTACCCATGGACTATTAGTTACATTAATGGTCAAAGTTCCGCGGTGGGTAACCAACCTTTGGTAAGTCCAGAGCCAGTTCCGGTAGCAAAACCCTTAGCTTGGGCAATTTCTTTCTGAGCAAATTCCCAATCCACATTATCTGGGGTTCCTTCACTTTTCTCAGTGTTGCTTGGGTTAACAAGGATATACATGTGGTTAGAACCTGTGGGAAAACAAAAACAAAGAACAATGTTACCATTTCAGAGAACCTTCTTCACCAATTATATTCAATGTCTTCTTGGAGATCCTGATAGCCAAACAGCTGTTGGAAATGGCTCAAGGCCGCCATCGATGAAGAACTGACTTGTAGTCGACTGCTCTGCAGCCGAAGGATGATGGCGATGATGGTGCGACAATAAGTGCTGCAAACAATTTGCCGGAGCATGCGTCGTTCAGTCAATCATAGAGCGTGCAACCCCCTTACATAGCACTTAGGAAAAGCTTTTGCGCCGACACGCAAACCATACCGGATAGTGCTTCTAGTGCTTCCGAGCCGAGCCGATCTCTAAAGTGGAGAGTCATATATCAGATAGGTGCGCGCTACGCGACACCGATCTCTGAAGTGGAGAGTCATATATCAGATGGTGTTCACACTATACCGAACAGCTTTAGCGCCAACACGAAAACCATATGCGCATACCGGATAGCGCACCCGTTCACACATATGAACGGTGACTTCGACGCAATTTCTGTAACCGCAGAGCGACGCTGTGCCGCACCGAGCCGAGCCGATCTCTAAAGTTGAGAGTCACATGTCAGATAGGTGTTCACCAAGAGCCAGACTATATCGGATACTTCTTCTTGTCGGCACGAAAAGTTACCCGCTATACTGTGAACATAGCATTGGCCTATGCAACGGCGTTTATCACTTTATATTTTTCACGCGAAAATGGAAGCACCGCTTCGTAAATTTGCTCATATGTCGTATGATATATGAAAAAAGGAGAAAAGAAAGCTATCAAAACATGAAATATACTATGTTCTGGTCTACGGTTCTGTTGACTTATTTGTAAGATTTAGTTGATGGTCAAACTTAACGGGAAAATCTATCTAAAAATAAACTGGTCTGCGAAAACGCCGTTGACACAGGAGACATTCTTTTTGTGCTCCTGAGTGGACTCAGTTTGATTTTTTTGTCATTGATCTTTACTATTGAAATTAATTTTATTTCCTTTGTTTTAAACTCATTTTCATTCAAAGAGTACACTGTAAACTAATACTGAAGCAAAGGACCAAATTCAACCACAACACACCTGTAAAGGTGTGTTCCTCTGTCTTGCGACTACATGCGTTTACAAACAAACGAAAAAATAAAATACAAGAAGTTCTCAAAATATGAGCCCCTCAAATGTCTTTGAAGTGAAGTTGCAAGTTACGTGAATACTGATTTCTGATTGGTTAAAATTACGCTGGAGTCAAGCCATACACGGGATTTACGTCACTGTCTGCAAAACAAGCTTTGCCTTGGGCAGGTAAAACGCGCAAAAATAAACAGGTTTTGTGGCAAAAAGTAGAATTACTTTCTACTTTCTGCAACAACATTTCGCAACCTGTAAGAACCTAATTTGCTGCAAGACAGGTTTGATTCGTGGGTGGTAAAACGCGCGACCCCGCTATTCAACTCGTTTTGCAGCAATGTTGGAAAAATGGCTGCAAATTTGTGTTGTCGTTTACTCACCAAACAAAATCCTGTCGTAGTTTTTCAGAACACGTTCGCCAGTAAGTGGCATGCCATTCACTTTTGTCTTGGCGCCAGGCGATGCAGGCTCAATGGTTATTTCTCCATTACTTGACTTAATCAAAGCATGTTGTTTAAGAATGCTGTTTAAAAAAATAACACGGAACAGATGAAAAATTTAAAACTTATGTTTTCAGCCTTTGTCCATCTTACACAAAAAAGCGCAGAGTTCTTCTCTACAACCTAAATGGGGACCACTAGGTACAAAGAAAGTTAGTTTCAAAGCTTGGCTCTCATTCAAAAGATTTGCGTCAGCGTGAGCTTCTAAAAAATGTTTACCAATTGCCGAAGATTTGTGTTCAGCAATGCGTTGATGTAGGCGTCGGGGTGTGTAGCCAAAATAATCTGCATCACACAGATCACATGAAAGATAAAAAACAACGCCATGCTGACTAACATGTGATCTTATAAGCGATGCAAATTATGTTAGCTACACAGCCAGGCACCAGCATCAACGCATTGCTTCAAGCCCCCAAGTAAGCTCTCCGAGGCGCTCTGGTGGTGGGGCCAAAAAGGAGAGAGAACTCTCTCCTTCCTCTCTTCCTTCCCCCACCCCCGTACCCCCGGGAGCACGCATTGCTGAGCACAAATATTCGGCAATTGCTAAACATTTTTAGAAGCTCACTGTGACTTAAATCTTTTTAATGAGAACCAAAACCAAACTTCGATCTAAGATGCCTTATGTTGGCCACTCACCTCAGGCCACTAAAAGGAATATCAGGAGCAGGATCAGCATCTTTTCTTCCTATCTTTGTTACCTCTAAAAACGTATAAACAACAAGCTCATCAGTCAGAATAACAACAGCAGGGTTCAATCTGGTTATAGAGAGTGCAAGGTGCAAGATCACAGGTTGTTGTGCGTACTGTGGCTTGGTGTTGGGGACTCGTGATTGGGTTGCAGTTTTGGGCAGGCCAGTGGGGCGTTCTAGTGCCTTGAGGTGTCATTCAGCGTGCAAAGAAAGTAGTGTCCGATAGCCCGGGGCTAGTGAATGCTATTCTTAACTTGCCTGATGGACAAGTGAAGTTTTTTGAGTAATACAAATAACAGAAGAACTATGAAATCAATTCTGCTCATCAAAAAGTTTTGGGTACTACACCTGTAGTTAAAATGACGTTTGGGCTAGTAAATGCTAGCTTCAGCTTGCCCAAATGGCAAGGTGTGACAAAAGGCTTGCATTGCATTTGCAGCCACATGGCCTCCTCAGGCACCTTAATCCCTTTTCTGACACAGGCGTTAAAAACTGACATTTTTCTGCTACATCTGTAGAATGCTAGTTTATTTGTTTCAGAGTTAATGGTATTAATGCTACCTTGTTCTAGAAAATGACAGATGACTCTTGAGAGCATAGGATCTTCATTCAAGTTGATCAAGTGGGGTATAGTTTGTTTTTTTCGCTGTTTCTCATCCGGTTTGCCAGAAGCAGCATCATCCTGCTGAGACTGTTTCACCTGTTAAGACATCAACAACGGAAAACTTTTGTTCACTTGATAGTCTCGATCTCTATATTTAGCATGCAAGTACTAACTGAGGACAGCAGAGGCGGATCCAGGATTTTTCTCTTGGGTACACCAATAGGGAATGGCGTAACTGACAGGTGGCGTAAACAAATTTTAAAAGCGAATACAAAGAAGAAGGCTTATGACTAGGCAACAACATAATGTGAACTGCTGTGAAGTCCACAGGATACCCATGAATAAGCCATGTGGTGATGATGCAAGCAGAACATCTGCTCTGACCAATGGAAGCCAAGGGCTCCAAACTTCAGCCTGAGTGCCAAACTACCATTTTTACGGCGTTTCACATAAATTCTGCAAACTCATCTCATGTTTTACTTCACCACCAATAAACCACATAGTTTTTTTTTGTTTTTGCCGAATACCAGTTGTATTAGAAAACCACAGGTCATCTCAGGGGGTGGGGGAGGGGGTGGTGTGCACACCCCTGCACCCTGCCCCTAGATCTGCCCCTGGGACACTATTGTTACGTCTCCTTCTGGACACGGGACCACCATATTACGTGGTCATTTGAGCCACACAAAGGTCTTGCAGTTCGCAGGGCAGAGCAAGCACCTTCATGTCGCAGTTATTTCAAGACCCTGAGTATTGGTCCCACCCCGGGAATCGAGCCCGCAACCTCCGTCTCTGCAGTCAAGTGCTCTACCGACTGAGCTAATCCTGCCACAAAGCATTTACTGACACTATATGGGGTGTTCTTATCATTCATGACAAGTTAATTTTTTTAATATTGTTAAAATCGCAAAAAATTAGAAATTGCAAAAATGGTTAAGAATAAAGCAGAAATGAAAAGTCAAAGTAAGAAAACTGACCTTATCTTCCCAGCTCATCATGTTCTGATTATTTAGTTCCATATATGCAAGGAAATCCTCTCGTTTGCGCATTTCCTCTTTCTCTGCTTCAGCTGCAGCGTAATAATAAGGTTTTAGAGGCTCAACACTATCAAGTTTCTTTCACGTTGAGAAAGTTCAACTCCTCAATTCAAGTTGGTTTATAACATATCTATGAGTAAATTAATACTGAAAAACATCTTCACAGGGCAGTCATCAACCTTTTAAAAGGACAAGCAAAAAAGTAGGTGTCCAAGCTAAGAGGGCTAGCAAGGCACTGTAGAAGCACATTAATTTGCACAGTTTGTAATAAAAAATTGGATACAGTATTTCCTGTAGGGGAGCAAGAACATTCATTTACATGTACTGACAACAAGGAACTCGCAAATTGCATTAAAAGTGACATGCACAAGTTGGTAAACTTTCAGGCCCTGTATATGTTCAAAAGGGGGATAGCACTTTTCACCAGATAAATCTCTATACAGAAGCAATTAGTTTTCCCAACACTTATCCAATGGACATTGATCAATCCACCTTCTAAACAACTGCACCTCCAGCCCCCCCGCCACCCCCCACCAATGTTAGAAACAATTTATGTTGACAATATAATCAAGAATTAGAAATATGGCATGTTCTGGCTATTTTGCTCATTTCTCTGGCAACTTCAAAAATTGGAAATAATCCTATATTGAAACTTGACAGAGATGGAAAATCTTGTTATTAATCCACCCAAACACTTATCAAATAGCCATGGAAATCAAACTGATTCATAACTATGTTTGCACTGCAAATTGATAAGCAAGTAAATAATGTGATCTGGAAATAAGACTAAAAAACAGTCACTTTATGACCACATTAAATAAATGAAATCACACCTTTCATGTACATAAGATGTACAGGGGACTCTTAATAAGTTTGCTGTTGTCCACGACAAAACATCTTTTAAAACAATAAAAGGACAACCACTTATGCCAATGCTGTCATATGAGATTAAGATCAGTTGACTGGGATAAATTAAAAAATAATAGATTTAGGACAATAACTACAGCCTAAGCTTTCTGTGTTTCAGTACATGAAAGTGGGGTAAATACTCACTCAATTCTCTGCCAGAAGTATCTGCAGGCATTCCACCACCTAACATCATCTTCTTTAACCTTTCATTTTCCTCTCGCAACTCCCTGATAAGTTTGTCCATTGGATTTTCATTGACAACAGCTTTGTTCTTGATCTTCTTTGCACGATCAGCATATCTAATATCAAAAACACATTACGCGAGTTGGTCAATTGATTGATTGATTCCCTGTATGATTTAACATACATTCTTTCACTTAATAACCATACAGTGACATACATCTGTAAAGCTTAGCAAGTGATGTGCTTAATTATTAATGTCGGACCATAAAAGCACTAAACAGTGAAAAAAAATAATTATTTCAACAACCAAGTTGATCTTGTTGTGGTTCATGGTGACAATAATGACAATGAGAATGACAGTGACAATGATCATAGTATGACAACAACCATAACACATGATGATGATGACAAAAAAATTATCAAAGAGTAATGTTATCAAACAGCTATGTTTGTATCTAACTAAAGGGCTTTGAATGGCAGTTTTTGACTCCTCATATGCATTTGACTGATCTCTGGTTATATATCTCTGATTGTTCACGTTAGTATGAGCACAAAGACAGAGTGACTTAAGTAAAAACTTGTTACCTGAAGTCATTCTTGCTTTCTGCACACATGCAGTTTTCAAAAATAATAACTCACTACCTAAAATACCAGTATTTATCTTACAAACAAAAGTGTTTTAGTGGAAGATGAGCCACTCATGGAAGTCATATAAATTTACATCCAGGTCCTGATTGGAGCAGACATTTTATCAAAGCTATCAAATGCCGGTTGAAAAATAGAGGGAGATTCAAATGTTTAGCAAAGCTAAACATAAATATGATAGACATATTTGTTAATAAAAATTATCACAAATATGAGGGGAAAATAAAATGACTAGCTGGAAGACACATAAACTTTATTTTCCTCTGGTAAAAACAATGACAAATTAATTTGTAAATTTAATATTATTCAGATCTGTCTGCTGCCAAGTAGTATCCTCTCCATACATGAAGCAGAGACTATAGTCATAACAAAAGCATTTTCATGATAATGTGAACACCAGTATAAATCTTGTCTTAAAGTTTGTGATGAACGAAATAATGAATAATTTGCTAAGTTTTACAATGAAAGCTTAAGCTGTGCACCCTGCCAGCAAAGCCTTTATTTCACTCGCTTTGATTTGGGCATACTGGAGAAAGACACTGCATGAATTGAGCAAGATCTCTGTTGAACATGCCCTGCATGTTGCGCGGATACAGTTAAACCCAGGTCTAATACCTGGCACTTGGTACTGAGGGCTCAGTTATGGCCAGAGCTGTCATTAAGGGCCATAACCTGTAACACCTGTTTTGCCTGAGCACACTTGATGTTACAGGTGATCAAAAAGGAAAGCTAAAGGTGGCACTATGAATTTTTGTAAGATGTTACGGGTGAATCTTTGGTTGCTATGGCTGCTTAAAAATTTAAAGACAGCTCTGATGGCCACTGGTTTTTCAATAAATGGATGTTTGCACAAACCAGTTTGACAAGAAAAATGAACAGGATTGACTAGTCAAGAAATTAGGGCTGTGGTGACTTCAAATGCTAAATGCGATTTGGCAGAGGCTCTTTTTCTCCTCCTTGATCAACAAATAACAAAAGGAGGCTCTGCACACAGGGTGAAGCTGTGAAGTTCAAATACAGTAAGCTCGTCCTTTATTACCTCAGAGTGCTTAGTGTTTCATCATAGTTGATATCAGCAGGAGACAAAGCAGCTATCATGATGGTTTTACTGTTGCCACCCAAAGCATTCTGAAGCAGTTTGGTGAGAACAGAATCACGATATGGCACCAACACTTTCTTCTTTCCCATGGACAAATCAGCCAGAGCTGAGATAACATTACCCAGTGCCGAAAGAGACTTGTTGATGTTAGCTCCTTCCTTGAGTCTGTCTCCTGTGGCTCCAGTGCTGTCGGCTCTTTCACTGCCTGATAGGAAAAAAAAAATCATAAATTTACCATACAAATACAGTCAAACCCCGCCTTATGAACACCTGCTTAATTTTGACACCTAATTATTATGGATAGTTGGCTTTCTGCCTGGGAAAGAAAGCCCTTACAATTTCTCTTATCTCAACCTGATTAACACGGACACTTTTTTGACCCCCTAAGTGTTCATATTAATGGCGATCGATTGTACCATGCTTTCTTCAGGATTTCAAATCATTTTAAAAGTGATTTTCAAGGACTCTTTCAAGACACAGGTAGATTTTTTAGGACTTTAAAAAGCCATTTTTATGTAAAGGATTTCATCAGTGGTTAGAATCTTCAATCCAGATTTTGTCACTTAATACACCCGATAACACATTTCAATGGAGAACCTACAATAATTTCCCAAAAAATAGCAGAATAAAAAAAATCATCAATACTTTCTGGGATGTTCAGCAACCCATAATTCCTGGCTTATTTAAACACACTAATCTATAATAAACATCCCTGGAAATATCTATGCTAACCTATAAAACACCAAAAACAACAACAACAACAATAACAACAGGAGCATTTCATGAGACAGAAAAAAGTTGTTTGACACAAACCTGCCAGATCTACTAAATTTATGTTACTGCTCTTTTTAGTTTCTTGGCCAGTCTGGTTTTTGCTAATCTGATCAAAGACAATTGTGACAACAGTGTGAGCTCTGGAGCTTGTTGCATTCATCTGCGTTGCAGCCACTGTACGATTAGCAGTACCTGTTGGATGGAAAAAGTTTTTTATTGTATGGCTAAATCCATGAGAGGGTAAGATTAAGCGTGTCCTGTACTTTGACTGGCTACCCAAGCAGCTAAGATGGGCACATCTTGCCCCCACTTGGGATTTATTCCTGCATTGTTCCCCCAAGAAAAAGTTTTCTTTTTGGCCATACAATAAATAATTATTGACCAAGCTTGTCTGGTCAAGATGGCTGTATTAAAGTGGCCTTGTTCTTTTTGCATTTTTATTGACCTAGACAATAAGAATGTAAATAAGAACTTTGCCATTATCCAGCCATCTTGCTCAAATTCTTGGTCAATAATGCACTTGACAGAGTAGTCCTAAGGCTTGCTACATGGGTGGTAGACAGGACAGGTCAACAGAAATTGTGTGAGAAAGAAGGAAGAACAAAATGTTTTGAGGAAATACAAACTTGTGTAAACATAACTTTCCCAGCGCAGTATGGTGAGTTTCAAATATGGTGTAAGTCCCAGGGGAATTATAGTCAGATTAGTTTTGGATAATTGCAGAGTTCTTTTCAGGGCTCTAAATTCAGACCCTATTTTGAAAATAAAAATGCAATCAAATTTAGATGGAATCTAATTCCAGACATGGGTCAATTTTTCTGTACCTTATTCATCATGATGTCTATTTCACCATTCATTAAGTGAAGCTTTTGTGCAAAAATAATACTAAGCCTGGCATGTTCTAGTTTAGGAGCCCCAAAATCATGACCCAATTGGGAAGCATACTTGTACCTGAAGCAATGTTTGATTTTGGTATTTATGCTTAGGTAGAAATAAATAACCTTTACTTGAACTGGCACTGAATTTTTTAGATCCTACCTTCTTCTATCCTTCGTTCAATGTCTGCATAATCAACTACAGCCACTCTCTTCAAGTTCTGTACAAAGAAGGAACCTTCCTTTGGATTCTGACGTACCTGTGACATTAAAAGCACAGTAAGCAAGTGATAGCAAATAGTAACTATCTACTATGGCCACGTTTCTCTGTCCCAGTGGTGGCTATGAAGAGAGGTTTGATTGTATACATGTATTATAAGATAAGAGCAGTTAGCTCAATTGAATAAGCGCTGGTCTGCCAAGCGGGAGGCTGCTGATTCAAACCCCAGCTGGACCAACACTCAGGGTCTTGAAATAACTGAGGATAAAGTGCTGCCTTTGTAAAGAGATCTGCAAACGGTTAGACTTTCTAGTTTTCTTGAATAAACAAAGTAAATTGTAGGCCCTGTCTCACAACCCTTGCACATATAAATTATGTGGGGCATTAAAAAACCCCTGACAGTTCATAATGAGTAGGGGATGTAGTCCCCAGTGTTGTGGTCTATCTCTCATTGGGGGAGGGACTATAAGCCTGCAGTAATTGATTGGTGCCACACACTATTGTGGTGACCCTGCAATGAATTGGAAAACCTAAGTAAATAAATTTAGCTCAATATTAACTGTTTAAAAATCAACAATTTTTTTTTTTACCTGCAGACCTCCTTTGGGGTTACTCTTCACAAGCAAGTCACGCACTTGTTCATTATAAATTTCTAACATACTAAATGAAACTTGGTATTTCTGTACAAAATGGAAAAAAAAACACAATTACTTCTGTGAATCAGAAAAACAACAACCATTTGTCTGAACTGATTATGCTAATTATTGTCAATCTCCTTTTTGATTTGGAACAGGCAATGTCTTCATAAATTAAGACTTGAAAAGGGTTAACACAGAATTTTTAACTAGAAAGCCAAGTGTTTTTCTTAAAATTAAACTCCTCTGTTCGCTGCCTGCATGGCCTTTGACCACTAACAAAGCCAAAAAAGATGCATGTGAGTGACCATGTTAGAGAGTAGCTGACTTCTTTTGACCACCCTTCATGGTATACCTCCATCTTGGCACCACCCACTGGGTGGAAACAAAGAGTGTTACAGCAGAGCTCTGGGCACCTAGAGCCCTCTTGGTAAGAAACTCTGGTAATAATACATTTTGGTTACATGCAACTGAGCAATTCTTATTTAATAATCCCTCTAGAAATGAGACTTCTGTGGCACACAGTCAAATCAAAGTATCATTCATACAAATTCTTCATAACCAGCTAGTGTTATAACCAAATTTGGAAGATGCAGCAATGTTGCCAATATCCAGTCACAACCTCATTTCAAGGCAGCAGCAACTGTTGATTGGCCTAGAGAGCATAACATCACCTGGCCTTACTTGTATAAAGGTGGATAGTGTGCTATATACATATGGAGGGAAGAGGAAGTCAGAACTTTGCCCAAAGAAAAAGCCAATTTCAGAAAGTTTCAGAAATTTACAGCATTTTGATGAACTTTACTTGACATTTTATTCTTTCAAGCACTTACAGTCTCTCCATCTCCAGCAGCCATAGCTTTAAACAACTCATCACAGGTAATAGGAACAATGCCCCTGATTAGAAAAGATAAAATATTATTTTATTATCCCTTTGCTTATGACCCAACTGGTTTACAACAAACATTTTCCTTCTTGAAGTACATACAGTACCCAGGAAAATGCTGTTAAGTTGTATTGAATTGGATCAACCCCTGTAACACTATGCCTAACTTTCTGTTATTACTGACTTACAAGGGTTGATCCAATCTAGGTTTTGTTGATGCTTGTTTTGAAGAAGGAAAGGATATAAACTATGGGAGCTACAATAAGCTGAACTGAAGCCAAAGCTGACAACAATTTTACTTAATAGCACATTTACACGTCTACCGCTCATAACCACCTGTATGAAATCCCATCCCTTGTTGATCGCTGGTGGAATTATCATTTTTAACAGCCACAGACAACTTTGACACTTCATTTACGCAAGCAAAGAGATCTTCTTGTTGCAAATAGAATCAGTTCTCGGGTTAAACCAGAATTTCCTTTGTCTCCTATGAATAATTAGAAATAGCAAACAAAGGAGAGGGTAAATCCAAATCCTGATTTTTACCCACAGCATCTTTCAAACCATATCCAGACAGGCTGGAGCAGGGAAAATGCAAAGAATCATGTAACTTTCACCTGAGAACAAAATAAAATCTTGTTCCACTACCCACTTCTACTTCAAGTATAGTACTCGAGTTACAAAAAAACATGTTGGGTGGTTTTGCTATTTCCGTGCCAAAGTGTCCAAACTATGGTTTAACACGCTTCAAACAGAGTTTTTTGCCACAATTTCAAGGGTGGATGGGTTAAGTAATGGGAATTCTTTAACAAAGTTGGATATTTGGGTAAAATTATAAATGATTTGACTCTATCAGGATAATTTACTAACTTGTTGTTTCCATATCCAACCATAGAATATGATTTTCCAGCACCCGTCTGTCCATAGGCAAATAAGGAGCAGTTAAAACCTATAATAAAATAACAAAGCAAATCAAGATCATATCTCAACCTTTTCCTTTCACTGTCCCTTTAAAAAACAACAGCTGCATGAAATCAACCCCTCCTACCCCAAGTGAAATTTGCAACAAACTGAGCCACTTCAGTGCCGTAGCCAGACCAAACGGCCAACTGAGGCAGGCGGGAGTTGCTAGGGGGGATCGGGAGCATGCCCCCCCCCGAGAAATTTTGAACTTTAGTCTCTCGGAAATGCGATTTGCAGCGTTTTCTGGGCCTTTCCGTAACTTTTCTTCGAGTTAATTTAAGTGGAATTTAAAAAGCAATAATCAGAAACAAGCTACATAATCTGGGTGACCATTAACCTCGCCAATGGTTTTGATCAGTATTTGTTCAAAAAAAATTTGAGTTAACGTACGTAGCCCCTTGAGATCGATGATATGGTAATTTTTTCATAGTATATTGACTGAATTGCTGAATTCTTTGTAATACCATGATGCGTTAAAAATATCCGATGATCGCTTATGTAAAATAAAAATGATCGGCAAAATTCGTCAAAATTTTACCGAGGCGAGTGCCTCGGTTGGCCTCATACTAGCTACGGCGCTGCACTTCCTGAATTAAAAAACAAAGCAGTGGTGCTGCATCAGTAGAGAAGTCAAACACAAAGAGTTTGGTTTCATCAACTGAGTTGAACTGTAGGCTGACACCTCAAGTGCACATTTCAGGCAGATTTAGCAAAAACAAGTTGCTATGTTTAATTATAAGAAGGCAAAAGTGAATTCCAGTTTGATATGCTATACACAACTGGCACAGAAGATATGTGCTGCTGTTACTGTCATATCATATTGTCTATATCTGCCTGTTTGCTTTGACAAAGGTCTAGGGATCAACAGGTCAGCTTTTGCATTTCCCATATACAGGGGAGCCTCGCTTTGTGGACACTCACTTAATACAGACACCCACATAAAACAGATAGTTTTGTTTGTCCTGACAAAAAAGTTCATACATTTTCTCTAACATTAACCTGCTTAATACAGACACCAGACACTTTTCTGTGTCGCGAGAAACAAATTCTCACATTAACTTTGCTTTACAGACACTGTTTATCAATACACTATCTATGACTGAATATCTTACCGGCTAAAACTTAACAGAACAGTGAATGACCTGTCAAAGGTTCTGTCTAATGTCATGCACCATAGCAGAGTGGCAGACTAAAAATGTCAGTGCAAAGTTAAGTCAAGGATTCCATTGTTGCATTTCAAGACAAATACTTGGAAGATAGAAATTCTAGTCTGAGACTATGACAAATGATCCTGAAGTTCTTTATGATGAACTTGTTACAGTTACTTTTAAGAAATTAAACAACGTTTACCCACAAAAAGGTCTGCTTAAGTCTTACTTAAGATCCCAAAAAAATGTGTCTGCAATGTTTTTTCTGAGAGCCCGCTTAAAACAGTCACATGGATAATATGGACGCCAGGGCAATTAATCGCCTTGATGTCTTTATTAACCAGGTTCCACTGTACTTGTTCAATTCAGTATGTAAAACTGGATTTTTTTCCTATTTATTCAGACACTCCCAAGATTAAGGAGTTTAGATAAATTTAGGGGTTAATTTCTTTGTCCAATGGCAATATATCATCCAAAGTCACCAATATCTGGAGATCAATGACAACCCACTCAAAAAGACCTGGGGCCCATTTCTTGAAAGGCCTGGAAACTTTTTGGGCCCGAAGGCAGATTTAAAATTAAAACTTGTTGAATAGTAGCACAGTGCCTAGCTCAAAAACCAGTCAATTTTGCTTCGTTAACTGATAGTTTCAATTTATGATTGTCAAAATTATTGAACCTTTGATCTTGAATGTAAATACAGCAAGCACAAAATAGCTTTCTGGGCCCGGAAAGCTACCAGGATTTTCAAGAAACTGACCCCTGCCTCAGTTATTAAAAGGTGGATGATGCTATCTGGTAAATAAATCTCTACCCAGCGAAAAGTGCAATTGTTTGTCCTATTACTTATCCACTGGATAGTGATTTATTATCCAGCATTTAACTAACCAGGGCCTAGTTGCCCTAGTTGTATGAAGGCTGATAAGTGCCGATTACTTTGTTATATATAACAATATTTATTATATAAATATTAAAGCATTCTCTCAGATAATTGTCCCTATTCTTTTAGTGCATCCAATTATCAAATGGTAGACACCAAAAGAATTAAACTGAATTTGTTTTTTAGGCTTCCATATCTAAATTCAAATACTCAGTCCAGGAGACTAGCTCAAGTATTTAACGATCAAAAGATGATAACATTAGTATACTAATAAGGTTAACAGAAATGAAGATCTGGCACTAAAGCTTATCTGGAAACTAATAGGAAGAAAAGTTGCAGTTTAATCTTTGTTTCGCTTTCATTACTCATACTTGGTCTTCAATATAAAAGTTAAATTGTTACATATTCACTTCAAAAATGATGAGGATTTCGCGCTTGGATCATTGCAATTAATCTAAGCTTTTCTAAGCTTACGTTAATCTGAAGTAAGGTTAAGTTTAACAGCCATGAAAACAATGAGATAGAAGAGGAGTAGCTAAAGTCATTATATTACCGAACGCACATTGCTGCTACATGCATATATTAAAAATACCGGTAGCTCTTCAGAAGTAAACAGATAGGTGACAGACGATATTTAACAAGATTTGTCTGATGGCAGTTACCTTCGAAAGCATTCTTCAAAACACCAGCGCCGAGATCGTCAAATACTTTGCGTTGATCTGCGTATTTCGCGTTTGAAGGTCGAAGATAACCGGCCTCGTCTTCTTGAAAACCATCATGGGACCTGGGTTTATTAAAACGGCGGGAGTAACAGATGAGGCTCTCAAATGAATACAAAAGTTTGCTTAAGGGAGTCCTTGTATTCAGCAATTTAATAAAAGGTGAACTCCGGTGACTATTAAATGTACAATTCGTGCTCAACTCCCAAAAACAAATCGTTGGCACTTACCAATACGAAAAGTCGAAAGTAAACTGCACGATGACCCATCATGAAAAGAAAGAAAAAAAATTTAGAGTTAAGCCTAGTGTTGCGCAATTAAAGGGAAATTTACAGAAACTGTAAGCTTAAACGTACAGTATTCACCGGTAGCAAGTTGATGTCAGAATGACGAAATAAAAACATGATGGCAAGTCTTATATTCTCACCTCTTTTGGCGGATTTCCTGTGAGAAAAATGAAAGAGAAAAAAATTGAAACAGTTAATTGAAGAAGAGTAAAAGTGACTTGGAAAATTCTTCGCAGACAGCTAGTAGAGGGTAAACATTCCTACAGCGCGAAGACGACAAATTACGTTGTTAACCTACCTGGATTGTCGGGGTCGGTGATCTGTGTTAGAGCCCCAACCATCTCAAGAACGAGCTTCGCTCCTCGATCCTTCTCTCTGCGAAAACAAAAGCATTGCAGTTACAAAATAAGACGATAAAATGAACATACCATGCTTTCTGTAGGCTTACCTCGAGTTGAAGGGACGAACTCGGACAGCCACTTTGACCCTGCAAAGATTATCAAAGCGCGATTAGTTTTGTCCTCGTTTGTATCAAAGAGTTTATAAAGTCACCAGAATGTTCACTTACGATTCCGCCATGGCTGGCTTGTGGTAGGTTTAACTAATTTGCTTGTCCTGAAATTCTAGTTATGTTATCCTTTGAGTTTACGAAGTAAATTTTTGATGCTTGTCTAGCTGCTGGCCAGCCTCTTGCCAAACGCGAGATGTGATTTGTGCGAGGAAGACGGGGGATGATTGTGTCCTCTTAGCAACCTCTGGGAGGGGAGGGTAAGGTTTATATTAACGGATAAAGCGCAGCAGAAAATAGGGTAAATTTTTTTAACAATAAAAAGAGTTTTAGGAGTATTTTATTTTTTTAAAGGATATTTTGAAGACTTTTTATTCGTTTCTGTTCAAATTGTAGCACCCTAAAAAATTAAAATAATTTTATAAAAACGTAAAACACCTGCATACGAGTGTATCAATTTTAATCAAGAAAATTTTTCCTCTTCCTAGTTCTACTGTTCACATAATAAAACGACGGAAAACAGCGAATTGTGAAGCGAGGTTTACCTTTAAAAAATCGCCACACAGTTTCCGACATTCCAGTCTGGTGTTTTCTCTTACAACGAAAAATACATTCAACTTATTTCAGGATTATTTTTTTAATTAAAACTCATTGTTTTAACAATCGTTTGTTCGATTCTGTAAGACTGACATTCATGAACATGAGAAGCGTAAATTCAAATAAATAGCTTTAATTTTATCCACTAAATTGACGTGGTGACAAAAGCAACTTATTCATATTTGCAATTTTGAGGGAAAAATTAACTACTTCTGTCATAGCTTGTGTAACAGCGTAATTATTTTTCTTCTCGTTATATCCGTTTCATTCATAACTGGAACAGTCGGTATCCATAATGAGGTAAATGCTACACAAATGTCGAAAACCTTCTACAGCTATAAAATAAAGTTGGCCGTTTATTTTAATCGATAGTTGACGACAGGTAAAGCCCTATCGAGACAAACAAACCGCTCCCCCCCTGAGCCTATTGGACATCCGCTGTATCCATGACAATGCTCTTGTATTGGACCATAACAGTACTTTGGGGTTCACAAGAACAATTCAAATTCAAGATCGTGGGTGGAATACCTTTGTTGTCTAGTTACCCTGAAAGAAATAATTACTTTGACACGCTGATTTCAAAGCCAACTAAACAGACTCTAAATAATATTCAGGCAATAAAACTTCCCTAATTAGAACCGCCTGAGCATTTCTGCAATTCTTTTTAACAACTCTTCAGTTAAATTGATTGAGACAACTGTTACATGTAAACCCAACAAAACTTTTATCAAATACGCAAGAATTTGTTGTTTTACGTCAATAAAGACTTTCTCCTCCAGTGCTTTTGAATCACACCGAAATCACTTTTGACGTCTTATCTCCCCAGACAAGATAACATACTAATTGTTTTTTTTTTCCTAGTGCCTAAAATATTATTGTAAATAATCATCAGTCCTTGATGAGTTTCCTTCGAGATGCACTTACATCACTTAGCTTCGGTTCATAAACGCGATATATTTACATGCAAATTATCAAGCGACTAAACTGTGAATAAATGCATTTTAGGTAACGCCTCAACTTCCAAAAATTAACAATAGTTCTAAATTTGCTAGTGCTATTATCATCCAGTACTTTAGCTTCTAAAAGGCAGTGAACTAATATCGTAACACACAAAAGACAATATTCCTAAAAGATAAAGCCATGCGAATTCAAGTTTCATGTTGAATATTGATTAAAATTGCACAATGTTATTTATATTTCATCAAATGTACGAGAAATTCTGAAGTGGCTTGGAGATTTAATTTATAGTACAGTTTGTAACGCCTAATTAGTAATAAGTAATAAGACAATAAGTAATAAGACACGTAATGTTCATCCACCATAAAGTATCCAATTTTTTCGCATGATTTGTTATGTACGTTAGTTCCCAGATTCGTGGCATTTGACAAAGGCTGGGTTGATTGTAGCCCAAGCCTTTTAAGATTTTTTTCCCTTTGACAACGTCTGTTTCTTAGACTACAGCGAAAGCAAACAAAATAAACGCAACATAAAAATTACTATTTATAAAATCGCAAACTAATAAAAAAGGCAAACTTTGTACAAAAATGGAAGACTGTTCGTTCCGAAATATAAAAGAGAGAATAAAACTCGCAAACCTTGGTTAGTAGTATGAATATTTGCTGCTAATATTTAATACCAATCTTACTATTATTGCAGTAGTTGTGTCAATAAAAAACGCTTCAATCTGATTGGTTCTTAACAGCCCATGCTATTGTAACTCCGAAACTGTCCGACTTAATACCAGGAGCTTGTTCGAACGGCTGTTCGGACAGATAAAGAACCAATGAAAATCAAGCAGCAAATGCCACTAGCCAATGAAATTTAACTACATAGCACATGATAACCAAACAAAATCAATGAAAAAATAGTGACAAGGTAAGCTGTCCAGTTTCAATTGGAAAAGAAAAAAGGATGAAACTAACTGGTCCAGTGACTTTTATTTACATTAATAAATGTTCCAAGACTGAGATTCTCGCATTTTGCTATTGAAACAATTAACTGGTAATAGGACTTCAAGTCGTACAATACAAGGGTAATCGGGCTTGCAATTTCAAATCGGCCTCGCACTACACGCTCGGCTGATTTGAAATTACTCGCCCGATTACTCCCTGAATTACACTCCACTCAGTCCTATTACCACTCCTAACCAATATATTTATGACGATCAAAAAGCTTAAAATTCACTGTGGAGCTTGCTGCTTTTTGCCAAAATTTAAGAAGTTTGAAGCTACTGAGACTTACTGTTTTCTGGTCACTATGTATATAGCTAGGCATAACGAGGTAAAACTACAAAATGTTTGCTTTATTCCCGACGGAATAAACTGAAAAGGAAAGATTTCTTTCGTCTACTTTTTTGGATTTTCTTCCTCATGTTTGATTGTCAGTCTGTTTGTACGTTCTCTTGCTTATTTGTACGGTTTGTTTGATCATAGTTGTCTAAGGAGACTGGTTATGAAAGACAACAAACATCAAGTATAAAAACACCAGTGCTACAGTTTATGTTGGAGGCTCACTGATGGTGCACAATCCTTTGTTTTCTGTTGGCAAATTGCGACGGAATAAATAAATGCAACGTTTTTATTGGTCAGTAAGATCAAAATGATGGGAATGCTATTGAACATTGTGCACCGTCAGGTCCACAAAAACATATAACGAAGGAGTCTGACGGGTTTCATAACCATTCCACTCTATTAACTATGGTTTGATTTGTTTTCTGCCGCGGTTCTCTAAGCTTTACAGAACAAAATTTCGCTTAAAGGTACGGAAAAACGGGCAACAAAAACATGCCACTTGTTTTACAACATTGCTTTAAAACGAGTTGAAAAGCGATGCATGTTGCGATGTTACCACCCACGAATCAAACTGGTCTTGCACTTAAAGCTCATAGAAACTCCGCTCGCTTAAAATCGTGAGGTCGACTTGTGGTAAGTCTATAGTTGCAGGTTGCGAAAAGTTGTTGCACAAACTAAAGAGACGTTTTACTTTTTGCACCAAAATCTGTACATGTTTCACGTTTTACCGTCCAAGTAAAACTTGTTTGGCAGCAACTGACTAAGGTCCAGTTCAGACGCCGAACTTTTCATGAGTTGAACCTAATACATTGAATTAAACACAAGAAAAGTTCAATTAATCAATCAATCAATTGGGAACGCCTGTTTCAATTTGGAACAGCTCAGCCGTTCTTTTCGCCTGGCCCAGCCGGGAATTTCGCCTCTGGAGCGACTTCAGGGAAACGGCTTTGATTCAGACACCAAACTTTTCATGTACCGAACCTAATGCATCAATTATTATAAAGTATTTTGTAAGTAGTTTGACCGAAATGAGCATTTTTCTCCTTTTGAATTTATTTCGGCTGGAATTAAGATCGGCGTCTGAATCAATTCAGCTGTTCTAAATAATTTGGGTCGGCCTTAATTCGAACTTGGTTCGGCTCATGAAAAGTTCGGTGTTTGAATTGGACTTGGCCCGTGTATGGCGTCACTCCCGCGTAATGTTGTCCAATCAGAAGTCAGTATTCACGCAACTTGCGACAAACTGATTTGTTGCAAGACAGGTTGGAACGTGGGTGGTAAGATGCGCCACATCGCGTTTAACGCCTTCTGTAGTAATGTTCCAGAACAAGTTGCCCGTTTTGTTACCCGTTTTTCCGTAGCTTAAGGGTCAAAAAGGAACGACAGGTGCAACCTCGTTCCCAGGGCTCTCTACTACTCGTCCCTTCGGAGCGAGTAGGAGAGAACCCTGGAAACGAGGTTGTGACAGTTGGCAAGTGATTCTACCAGCCTGAGTTGTATGATATTTTTCGTGCTTCCCCACCTTGTCTGCAGAATCGAGAACATTCGGTCTTGGTTTCTAAAGACTAGCCATATGGCACAAGTTGACACTTTGTTGTTTTATGTAGAAAAGTGGATTTTCTAGAAAAAACTCAGTACTTTGCTTAAAGGCCACTAAATGCGTCTCAGCTGCTCATAAGGGAAAGTGCAAAATTTTAAGGAGGGGAAGGTTCTGAAATTAGTATAGTACTACTTAAAGTAACCCCCTCCCTATTTCAGTATTTCAAATCGCTCGTACCACGAGGGTAATTTGCTTCAACCAATCAGAAGCACTACCCAGATCTGGGTAGTGACATGCCATCAGCATGGAATATCTGCGCTCGTTCCTCGGACAACAAGTGGTGACCTCGCGAGGTGTTTGCCGTTTTCTAAAGCTTAAAAAACACACTGAATTTTACTTTTACACATTCACCTGCCCGAAATCTTTGTCTAAAATGGGAAGATAACCGAAGCTACATGAAGGAAAGACATCAGATCGCGATCTGAAAAGTACAAGTTGTTTGCGCAATGAACTAAGCCACCTGATCGACGTATACGTAGCCGGACTGAGAACCAAAAAGCCCGGGAGAAACGTTCCTCATAATGAATTGTATGGCCGGGATAATCCACACAAAAGGTGTAATTTTTTCAAGGTAGAGATGTGTGGAAAGGGATGAAAATACAATAAAAGGAGTTTAACACGCAATTAGTGGGTAAAACTTTCCAATAGGTATATGAAAGTTACCGATTTCTTGCGCGAAGTGTATTATCAATTCAAAGGGTTTAGATGTGCCGTTTTGGACAAAGGTGGTGATATAAAAGGG